CGCAGTGATTAAAGTTTCATCTGAATAAGCAAGTTTCAATCACTAAACCATTAATACAGATGCTCCAATTTGTTAATAGCCATTATGTATTAAACAAGGATTACCATACAATAACAAAAATTAATTTGGTAGGACTATGGTTACATTTATAGTTTCTAATATGTGAATTAACCACATACACATGAAATGAATACTTTTATGGATCGCAAATATTCTTTTGATAGTCATCTATATAAGAAGGTATACTGCAATCTCTTTATAATAATAGACTAAGCTTTGTCAATGAAAGTCAAAAGCCTCCACTTACACTTTACAGTCTTTAAATTGATATAGTAGTATTAAAATTATTCAATGATAATAGAATTATTATGATTTATCTATGCAAAACTTTTGCTAGCAACAGCATAATTTTGAAATATTGCTTCTGTTTGAAATGTAATGCAGTTGTAATTTAAGAAGACTTTTGTTCTTTCAAAAGTTATTCATTGCCAAAAACAATAATTTCTATAATTATGAAATCTAAATCCGTGACAAAAATACCTCAGCAAATTCCTTTACCTAATTTAATGCATCCTTATGAACTCAAGTACTGAAATACATCAAGCATTGCATTTCATTTTGAACCAGAAAAAGAAAATGTCAATTTAAAAAAAGTCAAAATATCTAAAACAAATAAATTATTATAAAAATTTTCATAACAAATATGATAATAATGCTTGTTATGAATAGTCATACAAGACTGTAACATTAAGTTTTGACTGACTTATCAAATTTCAATCCATATTTGGATAATAAATGCTATTAAAGAGGGTAAATGCATTTATCAACCATAATCCTAGGCCTATAGCCTTATAGACTGTAAATTACTCACCATTGTATTAAGAGTAGTGATAGTATCTTCCACCGAGTCCTTACCACCATCTGTATGCAAAGGGGATGAAGGGTATGGGGTCTCACCGCTACTGCTGGACTCTGTAAAGCTAGGTGTCCCTTCAGTCCAAGTGGGAGTAGATCCTCTTGGTGTAGAAGCAGATGGTGTCCAATTGTGAGTTCTACCAGCATTGTCAACTGATAAGTTACTTCTTGTATCCAAACGCACCTCAGAAGTACAAACTGAATCATCTTTGTGTGATATCCTAGTAATGGTAACTAAAGTTCTCCTAAGATCTGCAGAATCTGCAGGGCCATGACTCGTTGAATGCATTACATCATCAAATGCAGGTGGAGGTGTAGAAGAACTAGAACTGCAGGAAGGGGCATTTCCTGATTGGAAACTACGACCAGACGATCTAGATGTACCAGGTCCATTATTGCGACTTCCAGAAAATGTGTTACTATGCCAGGGTCGCCTGTTTTCAGCTTCACCATCCCCTTCCACTGGTCTCTGACCTCGTGTGATGCTCTTGCGTTTGGATGGTGAATGCTTCAATGGTGATGGTAATTTCTTGAATACAGTTTTAGCCATGAAATCTTGAAATCTCTGAGCATAGAACCCAGGGCGGTGTACAGAAACTGTGTCTCCATCATGTATTATACTCTTCCAGGTATGTTCGAGTTTCTTCTTTAAACGATATGATTGAAGAATATCTATTATTCCAATAAATAATAATAATCTTTCACCTTTTGCTGTGCGTGCAGGAATACCGCCAGGAGGTACATCTTCCTCTTCATAAATTGGTTCACATTCTGCTTGAATGCTTTCCATAGCTGTAGAGTGGGCTACTAGCCTTTGCCTGTTAATAGATTTGGAGCGATTCAATCCTTCACGAGTTCTTTCATGTTGAATTAAAGAGTCTGGATTATCAGATGCACCTTCCTCATAATCAGATTCGTCAGCACGATTATTCTGCACCTGCTGCCCAACTTCAGACTTTTCCATCAAAGCTGTATCTAAGTTATGTATGGCTAACAGAAGAGAATAATCCATAATTTTGAAACTCTCCAAGACCCTACAATCCCTTTGTATAGTTTTTACCAATGCATTGTACGTATCAGCTTCTAACAATAATCCTTCCGGATGCTGTTCCATAAAGTCCAAATCCTTGAATGTCGGTGACTTTTTGTTACGTTCCAATTTAGAGGCTTTTCTTTTATATGTAGAACCTTTTAAATCATATTTTTGATGGAGCTTTATTGAACTAGGTAGCAGATTATTCATTGCGACAAGACGAACATTTTTACTATTGCATTGATAGCAATAAAGACCAAAAAACTTTGGTAATAATGTCCTCGGATTCTGGTTAAGGTTCATGTAATATCCTGGAAGCAATTTTTGTAAAAACTCTCCTTCTTTATGTTGTACTGTTTTTATAATAAATTCATCATCCTCTGTTAAATAAAAGATTGAACCACTCGCACCCGGATTTGAAAGCTCTCTAAGGGGAGCTGAACACATAGACATTAAATAGTCATCTGGCTGGATACCAAAAAGATCACGAAAATAACGAAATGCAATAGGAGCATAATTTTTAAATCTAAATTCAGAATAATGATGAGCAGGAGTATGATTTGAACCTTCATGAGGAAAATTGGTGCTCTCCAGGGTCATGAAGTCCTGCATTAGCAAATCTCTTTCAGGCTTAGAAGCTAAACTACCAACTGCATGCTGAATGCCTAGCTGGATAGAGCCCATAATCTGAGTTGTTTGAATTTTTTTATAAGTAATTTCACCACCAACACCAACTCTTCTGTGACCAATTTTTCTTTCTTTATCACGCATGCCTACAGAACGCCCAATTTGAGCAGCACCTGATTCTAAGGTCATCATAGACTTTGGTTCAGCAGCATGGTTTTCATCACCTATCTGCACCTTGGACATATTGTTCTCTTGCAGATTCTTGAATGATTCTGAATTCGCTAATTCTATAGCATCAATTCCATCACCGGATGCCATTTTTCACTATCAATGTCAAATATCTTAACAGAGGCAATAAAAGAAAAAATGTAAAACACCTGCAATAGAAAATGACAGTGTCTGAATCGACTAGATCATGATAAGTATTGTACAATGATATATCATTTGATGTTTCTCTAAAATTATTTACCCTTATATATAGGTCACGTTTAATTAATTATTTGTGAAGAGTTCCCAACCAAGCCATGCCCAAAGGTCGAAAAACAGCATTGTGGGCAATAGAACAGTCGCCAACAGAAAGTAGTATAAGAGTGTTGACATGACATACTCTGAAATATAAGTTATATTTACTACTTATTCAGGCAACATATTTCACGTTTTATATTCTTATAAAAATTGTGAAAATGAATTCAATCTCGAGAATTCAAAAAATGACAATTTTATAGAATTGAGGTTAGTTAACTAATTAGAACATAGACAATTAGTTCAAATAGTTGTGCGTACGTTCTATAAACTCTGCATGAAAAAATTATACGAAAAAAACACAGAACATTAAACTTCTGTAAAGAAATATATACTCTAAGCGATACTTAAAAGAGATTGACGCCCTTGTCAAATGTTCTGTAATAAATTATGTTTACGCAATTTAGAATTATGTCAAACAATACTTACAATTCCCATTATATAAATGATTAAAATTTAGATATCCATGAATTTAGTTAGGTTTCATATTTTCATATAAAAGACAGGAATATAATATAAGAAAGAAACACAGTTTATTACACCAATCACACAAATATGTCAAACTATCGGATTTATCTGCTAATATCTCCCTTTCATGCTACAACGAAAGACAGCATCGACTATGAAAATAATGTGGATGTAACCTTTCTAAAAAAAATATTATGTTTTTTTTGTTTTTGCCTACATTAATTTTATTATAAAATATCTTATTAAATGAACATTGTATTATATTTCCGAATAGGTACAATTTAATCCAAAAGGTAAATGTTTGCTGCATCGATTTAAATAAATACAGTAGTACCTTATATATATATATATATATATATATATATATATATATATATATATATGTATATTATTAGACTTTGTTAATATATATATATATATATATATATATATATATATATATATGAATATATATATATACTTTTCTTTTATCTATGAGTAGTACCTCGATTATCCAGACCTCAGTTATACGGATTTGCGATTATCCGGACTACCAACCAAGACAGATTTATATGTATGTACATACCTACAATTCGAATTTTTGCACGATTTATGCTGCAGTTTAGTATATGCATGTAATATAATCTAAGAAAATATATATGTACATACATAAGGAAATGCTAATTTCTTATTAAACATTGACTTTTGTTAATATTTATGTATGTATTATATATATGCAAACAATATTATATTATGATAGTATAATGATATTCCCAGAATAGATGTATACAATTTGTATCTTAATGTAAAAATCAACGTATGTATTTAAGTCAAATAAAGCAAATTTTCAATTTAAAAAAATTATGTATGTATTTGTTATTTTTGATAAATACACACCATTATTCTTCATACATTGGATTATCCAGATGCCTATCGACGACAATTAGTCCGGTTAATCGAGGTTCTACTGTATTCAATTTTGATACAGCAAACCATATAGTAGTTCCATGTAAGATTTATTTGATATTATTTTTAAAAATAAAAGTAACAAGACATTTTATAAAAATATAAGATAAAGTATTTTAATCTGAATTTTCAATGTCTGAAAAGAAAACTTTCAGAGTGCTTTAAAAACAGATTTTCTAATATGCTGATAATTCATTAATAATGAAGGTATTATTCGATTGACTATGTTGAAAATGTTATTTGATATAAAAAAAACTAATTAAGTTGGGGCACTATATTACAATATGCATAGAAATAGAAATTATGTTTGATTCGTAAGTGAATCCAACCAATGTTTGCATAGTCCTGTTCTGTGTACAGCGTGAAGGTATATTCAACAAATGGGCAGTGCTTGCAGCTCCACTCATGCTACATGTAAAAATTGACAGTAGTGTAAACTGAACATTAGCGAGAGTTCTCTATAATCTTGCTCTTTTAGTAAACTAAAACAATAGTTCGCTCGCGAAGAAAGCTCTCGCCTAATGTTCTTCCTGGTAACATTAATGGCAACGCTAATTAAGTGGCAATGATTAAAATACTCTGACAAGCGTAATGGGTGCTCACTGCCCCAAAAACGTGCGCTTTTCAAACAAAACATCGACACACAATAATGTAAAATGTGAATAATTGTTCAAAATAAGTGTCCGTTTTTTAATGAAAAGTGTGTGTTCTGTCAATCAAATATGTCTTACGTACCCCTAAAGTTTTACGATGTTTGTCGTCTTTGCTTATCTGTTTGTGGTTGTGATGACAAGTTCGAGATTTTTGACGATTTGCCGAATGAAAACTACAGTGGGATATCGGACAAAATTATGAGTTGTTTGTCTGTTGATGTAAGTGCTTTTAGTATTAACTGCTCTTTTCGATTCTTTTGGCTTTAGTTTTTTTGGATGATAATAGCAACGCCATTATGCACTGTAAACTATTTTCGTCACTGCATTAGTATATGTGGTGATGCACATGTATGTGTCGATGGTATAGAATCGCTTTTGTCAGGTGCCCTTTTCAATGTGTATGTGCGAATCGTATGAGATCATGGCAACCTACGCAACGCTCTACATACTTGCATGTATCAACAATAGATATGATTCATAATATTTTACACAAGTTTATTGACTCTCTGGTAACGTCAGATATTTCGACTGCTTTTTCAGCAAAAGATAATATTTTTTTTTAAGTTGTTCTTTTTTTAAGTCGTATATATTAGATAAGATTCAGCTTTCTCCTTGATACGAGTTTCATCATTTCTGGCGATTGCTCATTATTCAATTAAATACGTCTGAAACTAAAATTGCGCATGTGTATATATGTATATCATGTTCCTCTGAATCTGAACGCCAGAATATATCAGTAATAAATATTCTTGGAATGGAAGCAGTCTGCGTGACAGGGTTTCCCAATAATACATCTCGTACACGCAATTTAAACATAAAAATCAGCACATATCTCATTTCATTGATAAAAATATTTAGTAAAGATGTATACAAATATCCCGCAATATCTACATCAGATACAAATTATTAATTCTTTGGAAATAAGTTGCATATCTAACTTTTTATCTTTTTCTTTGCATAATTCGTATAGAAATATTAATAATAATAATATATTTCATATTGTTAATTTTATAATGAACAATGGAAGTAAGAAAATTTCACTTCATGTACCATAAAAAAGTGTCTTCTAATATATTTACTCATATAGTTTCTCAATAGATTTTGTGTGAATGGTTTTCTCATTCGATCCATTTGTTATGATATTCCTGTATTCACTATTTTCATCCGTTTGCTTCTGCTTCATCTGTTGGCCACTCACGTATCTTGTAACAGGCCAGCCTTCGTAGAAAATATAGTGAATGGTGACAGGTAAATCCTAACCTTTTTTTCGACCACGAGATGCACGCATTTTCTTCAAAGATCGATAAAAACAATAAATGAAATTTTTGTTATGCTGAAAATGCCCAAAACATAAATTTGACAAAAAAAAATTGAAGTGCTTTTAACTATATGTAACGAAATTGTATTATTCATTTCTCTATGTATATATATATATATATATATATATGTATATATATATATATATATATACATATATATACTCCACTTTTTGAAAAACTGAGATATTAGTGCGAAAGTATGATCATAATTTTTTGTGATTTTAATAACTTTCCGGAATAAAAATTATCACTGTAAAACGGATTTTTTTGACTATTGAATAATAAGTCATTTATTTCAGAAGACATTTTGATTAACTCCATTCTGTAGCGTATATGATCCGACTGGGACGGTTTTCGGAATCAAATCCATGAAGTACGGATAAGAATTTAGGAAAAATATAATATATAAATATGTTTGATTAGCAAAGAACTGTAGGGTCTCGTGGGCCAAGGAAACAAACTCTGAAAAATAACAAACTAAAGTACCCGGCAAAACAGAAATATTAAAACTGTCTTAAGTTTATTAAAACTTGTGCAAAGTACAGAAATAAGAGCTAAGTCAATTGAAATGATATTTATGGTCAGTAGAAATAGCTATTTACCTAATGATTCAAAAATTTGCCATTATTGAGCCACACATGCGAAAAAATCAATACATTTTTTCATCAGATGATTGGTACAACAATATAATAAAAACATGTAAAAAGAAAGCGCCATTTCAGATTTTTTATCAACAAAACCATTAGATCAATCAATCACTAACAGAAAAGTAACCATCACAGGGTGCCAATTAAATTGGCTTAAAATGCGCTGGATAAAGTTAAAAAGGTCCAAAACCAATATAATACAATTTAAATGTAACTATAATGAAGATACGGATTTTAAAGTCGTAATGTAAGAAAGTCCAGGTAGCCCAAAATGTTTGAATAATATACATTAGTCTTTATTATATTCTAAAGCTAGAGCTTTGGCAAAAAAAAAATTGAGAGACATGAAGGACTTGCTAAAATTAATTTCTCCCGTTTATCATGAATACTACAAAAACTGGGTTTTTAATATGGAAATTTCAATTGACAAATCATCACTGAATATAGCCGATGGAGAAGTTATTATTTATAATATTACTGTTTAATCACTTTCATCAATCAACTTTCAACAATCATTATGACAAAACTGTCAACATTTATTTTTATGAAATGGCTTTAACCCAAATATATAAGAATTATATATAAAAATTATGTTTATTACTTTTTTCAGTTGACAACTTGATCAACTTCACGAGTGAGTCACTTTAATGATAATTATTTACACTCTATTGAAAGTTATTAACTATAAATACCGTTACATGTAAGCTATATATTTATTTATACGTTCTACATTGTATTTTTCAATTTATATTATAACAGGAATTTTTAAAAGCAATATATATTACTTCATCGCTTTTCTCCACTTTCTGTTTTTTGGAGTGACTAACTCCTGTGTGCACTGAACGACTCATATCTATATGTATTTATATTCCGTATATATTCTATTATAGTGGAGGTATCTACCTGACCATGTGGGTTTTCTATGCCAATTTGTGAACATACCAATCTCATGTACTGGGATCCCTAGAATACTTAATTTATGTTGTATTTTGTGCATAAACTGTATGTTTTTATTGAAATAATTGATGCAAGTGGGGATATTTACAGTTTTTTTCAATGATATACAATTATATCTCTCACACTCTTGCATGAAAATGTATTAGGAAATCTAAGGTTGAAAAAACCGATTTTAAGAGTGTATTGCGCCAGTATATAAAGGATATTTTAAGGATATTATTTATGAATAAAAATTATGACAATTACGTTACGAGCTATTAAGAACCATGTTAACAATGTAAGTGATTTTAGTAGAGCAGTATAATTACAAGTTGTGGGCATGAGGAACACATGTAAAAAGGTTAGGCACATCTACTTAAGAACATCGTGTATATCGGTGTTTCACTAAATCCACAAATTCGTAAGAATTTGTTCCATATTAAGGCCAAGTAATGACAGTTATTTTAATATCATCATAAATGCTAGAAAAAGGAGAACTGATGTAAGAATCAATAGCTCTGAAAGAGCATTCTGGTTTATAAAATATGAGGATAAATATATCAGAATTGTATAAATAATACTATGAATAAATAAAGCCGATATTATGATGAAATAAATAATGATAGAATCAATTCCAACGAACAGTTTTCTAATCAGTTAAAAATAAATCAAATGATAATTTTTCTTGAACTAATGATATATTTAGGACTTCCTAGATGGTCTGATGCTAACAAATCATGAAGCGACCAATCGTAACAACCGTCAAATGTCCTGTACTAGTTTTATGATTTGCTAGCCTCATGGTTTAGACAAAAGGAATCGAGAAGTTTCCTAATCAGATAAAAATAAATCAAATGATAATTTTTCTTGAACTAATAATATATTTAGGACTTTCTAGATGGCTCTGATGCTAACAAATCATGGAGCAACCAATCGTAACGATCACCAAATGTTCAGTACTAGTCTTAGTTAGCCTCATGGATTAGACAAAAGAAGTCGGGAACTGAATCCGGTCAACTCACTCCTTTAGGATCACTCGCATTATTGGAATAAAATATAACTCATCTTTAATTTTTTGAATATCATGCCATTACAAAGCAGTTTTCTTATCACCAAACCTGTTCCATGATAGTTTTGGTCGACTTAGATTTTGAAGCTGACTACCGCGTGCCCACCTTCAGATGTAATTGTGTGAATTACACTTTTTATGCATACATAAGATACTTCGGCGAAATAGACAGAATAATGAAGCTGACTACCTCGTGTCATATGTGTTGTTGTATATTTAAGTAGTTCAATATATTTTTTCGAATGCACACATAAATATTTGACAAACAATATAAATACCATTTCTTTTTCTACACATCTATAATAATGAATTTTTACTCACCTTCATCAAATACGTCAATAATCTTGCTAGCCTTTATTACTAAATGCTTCGATTAGTCGAGTGTTTACTGTCATACCTGGATGAACATAAAATATTTGATAGATACTTAACAAATAAATACTTTGTATACGGAAATTTTACTTTTTAAAAACCAAAATGAACATGTTTTGATATTCTAACTTTTCATTATTTCCTTATAATTGTGACATACTTTAGAAAAAAAAAAGAATGAATGCATGTTTATGTGCAGTTACAATTGTTTGTGAGGAGTTGATTAGCTTAGATTATTAGAATATAAGGTTGATCAGTTTTTGAGAATGGTCGTTCTGGTGATTAACTTATAATTAGAATTCCATATCAATATGCAGTAACTTACCATAATATAATATTGCCGCTGTCGTTGCTTTTTAAGTTTAAAATCAAATTTTTAATGGTTTACAGATTTTAAAAAATAACTATAACTTTTAATTTTTTTTGGCATTTAGAATATCTATATTTGAAAAAAAAACAAGGTATTTTAAATGTCAAAATTAGTTTATTATAAAATTGATCGACCTTTAACGATAAAAGATGTTGTGGAATATCGGGTTTTATATCGTAAGTTTCTAGTAATAAAAATAAGTTAATAATGACTTCTAAAATTTTCAAATAATACAATTTTTAACCTTTGATTCATAATTAGACATTTGTTTCATAATTAGATTGTTTGTTTAATTTTGTTTTGTTTTTTTCTTTCAAAAGGCATTTATTTACAAATCGGAGAGTTCAAGCAGTTTGCCCCATGGCAAAATGCAAATGTTTATTTGTTGTAGTGAGAATAAGACAAATACAAGAATCAAAAAAGATAGTGGCGTCTTTTTACTTCTTGTGCAGACAGGCTAAGTTGTTTCCCAAATTTTTTAAGCAATCCACATCTTTCATTTTTCGATTCTTACCGATATTCTCAGAGACTCTTTATTCGACACGAAACCGATATGTAATGAAACATTCGATTCTTTGATGTTAATTTTTACTTCGACTATTTGGTTTCTCATATTTTGTAATTCAGCGTACTATCTCGTGTGAGCTGTGTGTTTTTCACCATATATTTTGCAGCTTTGTTATTTTTGGATTAATTTAATGTCAAGCTTAATCAACTTACTGAATTATTACTAAAAGATTTTGACTATGTGTATTGTGTTATCATTTATAGTTCTTGTCTGCAATAATCCGACATGCGACTGACTAACCATGAGTTTAGAAATTTATTACATTGTTATAGGTACTATTGATATGTTGATTTCCAAAACTAATTGTAAGATTTAAAATTTACAATTGTTTGCGATATTTTCTGTTTCCTGATTTAATATTTACTTTGAACAATGCTTGTTGGATTTGAAACAAGTTTGTTTTAACAACTTTTTTTTACAAGTTGTAAAAATCGAAAACAGATTTTTTAAATACATTTTTCAAAACACTCACAGTTGAGTAATAGGTATAGGCCCATGTGAATTTGGCTACACACTGGTATTCATAGGCTATTTTTAAAATATTTCCTTTTTTACAAATTTACTTTTTATGATCATTTATATTGACTACTATTTTTAAATTTAAACATGATTATAACAATTTAACATTTTGAACATAACATTTATTATAAGAAAGATATTTATAATATAATTATATATTTTCTTTAAAGATTTCTAAAGAAGATGCCTTACCTCACGTGCTATGCAGAAACTGTCACGAAAAACTGAAAGCTTGGGAGTGTTTTCGAACATTGGCTCAAAAGAACCAGCAGGCGTTGGCTCAATTTGTGGCTTATACTTGCTCACTGCAAGGCACTGAAGAGGTTCGTGATAATTAAACATGATTTATGATCAGCAAAATTATAGAAAAAATACTATTTAGTTGCAGGCGAAGAGAGCTTTATTTATATTTTATTACAATGAGCAAGGGTGTATAATAAGTAGGGTGTTTAATTTTTTTCCCGTTTAAGATTTAAAGTAAAAACAGATTTTTTTTAAATTTCTTGTCAACCTTATTCAGTTCATTAAAAAGCGGATTTACTAAATACGCATGAAAGGACAATATATTTTGTTTAAATAATATAGTCCGGTCATTTAAGATTGAATTAGGTAAGAATCTCGGAATTCCAGATACCCAGTTGAAAGTCTGTAAATACTTGTATATTGACACCGTAAACTTGTCTCAAAACCTACATATGGTAGGGTGTCAATACTATATGTAGGTTTTGAGACAACTTCAGGGTGTCAATATACAACTATTTACAAACTTACTGCTGGGTATTTCGAATTCCGAGGTGCACTTACTATAATGACTGGACTAATATGATATTTTGGGCCACATAAAAAGTTTGGCGTTTATTTAGTGCAACCCAACAAGTAGTGTGAAAATAATTTTATTCAAACTAAATATACTCCATCATTATCGACCATCTTTTGCCATTTTTCGGGTAGAGTTATGATGTCATCGGCGAAGACTTCTGTGGTTTCTGATTAAAAAACTGAATCAAGTACTTTTTATAGGCTCTTTTTGAAATCAGTTTAATTTCATTAGGAGAGAGTTCAGCAGATATTGGCATAAGGGTTAGTCAGAGGGTGCTATGTCTGGACTATATGGTTAATATATCAAAATTTCTTAAACAGGCTTCCACAACTTTTGGCAGGTCATCAAAGCATGTTATGAAATGTTTTCGAAATTGTTCGATTTCATTGCATTTCAGCAGCGCATCGCAGACATTAATTCGGTCTATCAAGTTTTTCCGCGCCTAACTCGTGGAGCTTTTGTGTAATTTGTTTAAAACAGTTTTCTGGTCAATGGCTAGTTCTATACCAATGTCGATAGACTTCTTCAAGAGTGTCAGTAACTTTTTCAGTAGTTAGACGAGCAAAGCGTTGCATATCTCAAACAAAACCAAAATCGTCTTCACATTCAGCTTTACTTATATAATAATAACCTAATATAAAATTGACAATGGGCAAATATATAATTACAATAATATAATATAAATTTTAATTAAAAATTTTTAGTTTTAAACTTAAGTTTATAGATTTAGCACATCGTCACAATGATTGGATTTCTTTCCATGACGCAACTTAAAAAAAAAATTACAGATTGATAAAGAACTGCCACGATCGTAATTCCCCAACGAGTGACGCGTATGCGAAATTAACATAAATTGTGCTGATAAAACAATCTTAATCACAAATACATTTGCGTTTTATTCATATTTATATGGAGTTATGTGTCACCGTGTAGGTGTGTTTTCTTTTTAATTTTGTACAGATCACTAATTTTATTAGATATAGAAAAGAAATCATTTTTACTTCCTGTCGAATTGTATTTAGTTTATCATATCTATGCATTTAAATGCTGGCTCACACCAATATCCAAACGGTATCTTTGTTTTATACAGATGGCTTTATTTCGATTGCTTATTAAAATCGACTAAAATTGCGTTTTTTGTTTATATAATACTGAAGGAAATACTTTTAGATACTAGGCTTATTGTTGAATGTTGTGCCTGGCTTTGTCGGACTCAACAATAATATCATAATATCGACTCTCTACTTTTTCCTTTGCTTCTTGCGATATGAAGTGTCGTGCAGTCTAACGATGGACTTACCTTTTTTATTACTTTTTCTCATATTTTTACATACTGAATACTGTTTCTTAGATTTTTACATACTTAACCCTTTCCACTTGGGAATTCCGGAATTTATATGTATTTTGTCGCCGGAGCGGCGGCATCCGTGTCGAAAGGGTTAATACTTTACTAACAATTACATGTTTTTTTTTTTTTTACTTTTTCATTTTCTTACATATTTTTTATTTTTAACTTTTAACTAATTTTCTAAATCAGTCATGGGTGCACTGAGTCAGAGTCATTCTTTTCTTTTCGATGTACAGGGATACAGTCCAAGTACCTCTTACTTGGACTGTAATCTTGAGGGAGGCATGTTGCTATGCCCCCGCTGCATATACGTATGCTGCAGCAATGCCCACGAAATGATCATATTAGAAATCTATGATTTCACGAGAAAAATCTCATTTTGACCCATTTAGAGCGCCCCAATCGCGTCCAAATGTATATCCGCCCCCCACTAACTTTGAAAGGCCGATCCGTGGTTCACACCTGGGGACCCCCCTCTGAGTGGTTTTTCAAAATTTAACCCTTATCTTTGGGTCAATGCACAGAACATCAGAATTTATTTTAGAGCCATGGTTTCTTCAGCAAAATATCTTGTTTTCATCCCTAGTATTCGAAAATCATTTGTGCGTATATATATAATTCGAATTCTCATTGGAATAGCAGTAGTGTAATCATTCTAAAGTTGTTTGACAGAGCGGTCTAAATATTATAGTTCAGCCCATACAGATATCATTAAGTGGAAATGATTATAATTTGTACTTAGATTTTTAAAAATCGTAATGTTTGGAAATGTTTTTCTTGCTAACCCTTAAATAATTGTGACGAATCTAGTCGATCCATGCAGAAGAGTGCTGCCTCCTAGCTAATTTAATGTTATTAAGTTACAAAATTGTGCAGATTATACTGTTGTGCATTATTCCAATTGAATCATCATTTTACGCAAAACGAATAAAAACAGTAATTTATATATAAGTAACTAGTTTCAAGTTTATTAGCGATGATTGTTTCTAGATATGCATAACTCCGTTATGAATACTGATGATAATAGCCGCAGATGACGCATTTCTGTATATATTAGAAATATTACGTGAAGGTAGAGCGAAACATAAAATTGAAATTAATAATCGAAGAGATATGCATATATGTACATACATCAAGACATTTATACATACATTTCGCGCATACATGCATCAATATTTTGTATGGTACGCCGAAATATTGAGAAGTAGTGAGAAGGGCTCACAACATAAAAGTATAGAAAGAATAACTTTTCCATATTTTCTCTAATTCAACAATTACTTATTTTCATATACACACATATTTTCCATAGAATAAATAAAATGTTTATTTGTTTATTAACTATTCAGTTTGATTTATTAACATTGAGCTGCTCGACTATCGACATGTATTTAGGTGGCCATTTGATAATTTGCGTAAAATGCATATATGCGGTGCTCTTACTTAAAGGGTTAAGGATAGTGATAACGACTGAATGAACAAACTTTTGCAAACGAAATGAGAACAAACAATTTTATGAAATAAATATTTGGTTGTATGCAATTAAATATTTTTAGTGATCGCGTGTAAATCGATGAAATTTTTTTGGAGAAGCGTTTAACAGTAAGTAGTAACAACTATGTCATTTCAAGCTCTTCTCCCTTGATTTATGGTGATCTATAGTCAACGCTTTATCGGATAATAATCGAATTGAATCATATAATGCCGCGGGAAATTTGTAAAGTGCGCGACGCAGAATAGGTAGGTGCTCTCAAATCGACTGACTCATATAGTTGCCCATATTTTTTCAATCATATTCTTTTCTGCTTAGTCATAAATGGCGAAAATGGCTTTTTTTCTATGTGTTACGGAGGAGATTTTTTTTTTTATACTGCTCGTAGCAAGGATGTTACCTAGTTAGAGATTTTTGCAAATTTCAACGCTTGCCGATGAATCCAAATTTTTATATGCATGCCAAGGAAAAAATCGTTAAAGTGAAAATGTATACTATGATTAAGATATAAACTAGCTGTAAGTGGATTTCTGTCTTAAGGCAATTAAGGCATCGTGCCTTAAGGCAAATTGCTGGAACTTCCCGTACCAAAAATTATTTTTTTAAAAACGATTAACATTTTTGAAAAAATTTTACTTCGAAAAAATTAGAGAGAAACTATAAATTTGACAAAAAATTACTTTTTTTGAAAAAAAAAATTTTTTTTGAAAACAAATTTTTTTTGAAAAAAAAAATGTCTTTTTCATTTTGACATACTTTGGAAATTCTGAACTGTTTTTCAAAGCAATCGTACTGCTTTATCTGCATAGGGACAAAATGTCAAAGCGCGCAACTGCCGCGCCGCCGTCTAACGGATAAGCATTGGTACGGAACCCATAAAAATGTAAAAAAAAATTATACTTATTGTTAAAATCTTTATAAAATATCTGATAATTTGATGTGCATATGTCTAATGATCATTTTTGACCGCCAAATGGCTTTTTTTTTTACTTTTATCATTAGATCTCCGAAACTGCTAGACCTGCCTTCATGAAAATTTGATCAATTCTTCATCTTGTCAATACAAGTAAAATGTTTTTTGAATTATTAAAATCGGACGCTCCGTTCTCTTAAAAACTGAGTGACCGTTTTCGGCACTTTTTGCCCCGTATCTTTGGAACGGCTGGACCTGCCTTCGCCAAAAACTAAACAGCACGTCTCCTTATCAATACGAATCGAATGCTTTTTGAATTATTCCAATCGGTTGATCTGTGTTCCCGAAATCGTCGACGAAAATTTGTATCCGCACATACATACACACACGCACATACATACACACACTATGCCAAAATGTTCAGAAACCTCTGAAACGTAAAGATATATAAAAAATTTCATTTTCGATTTTTTTGCGATTACTATAACTTGCCCTACGGGAAGTTAAAAATATTGCGTAGAAGTTTCAGATTTAATAAATCATTTAAACATATGTTAGCAACAACTTTATTACATTGAACAATGTGATAGTTTTCACTTGTCTTGTATATTTCATTTGGAAATGTTATACTATAATACACTTGAATTGTGTATCTACTATGTATTATATAACGTACCAAATGAATTAATGAGTTATAATGAGTGACCTGTCTTTGCGATGCTACGTAGGTCTTTAATGAAGGTGGAAATGTAATGAAGGTATTCATTATCACCTCGCTGCTGTAGGTTATCGGGCCAACATCAACGCGTTTGGTTGCGTTTTATTATTTTGTATTGTACGCAAGGAATATAAGTTGGTAACATAGAAGGCGTCAGGTTAATAATGATATTGTTTTCGTAATAGTATTGTTGAAATCAGCCCACAGATCGATCAGAAAGACGTCTAATGAGTAATCATTCAGTTATTTTGAACATAACAGAATAGATAATTTGAGTATTGTTTCTCAATATTGTAATCCTGATCTGCTGTGGTTAGTTCATTCAAGTATCTTTTTTTTTTTCAAAAGTCCGGACCCATTACGTTGTATTTTATACATAACTGACAAGTAAAAATTATGTATGTATGTGTTTAGTATTGTATACAAATGTTATACGTTTGAAGAATACAATATCTGTACTCAAATTCGATGTTCAGAAAAATGAAGTCAAGAACCGATTTTTAAAAAATGCATGTGTTGTAAAAACACAGGAAAAATTGCTAAAAAGGGCTTAGAATGGACTTAGACTATTAAAAAACACAAAACTGTTGATTACATCATTTTTCTAAATTAAAGTCTATAAATAATTTAAAAAACGTTTCTATGAATTTAAAATCATTCTATGATTTATAAAAGATTCGTTATTCTAACTAAGAACAAGGGCGTTAATGCTGTAAAATACTTAGCGAATATTATGTGAATATAAATGCCAATTTATATCGTATTATGCTGCTGGCATTATCGCTCTTTGAAATATTATCAGGTGCTATTTTCGAAATTTTGATCTTATTATATCCAATTCTTATATTATGTCAATTTAGCTATTAACTATTTATATTATTGTCAATTTAGCTCATATGAATTTTTTTGTATTTCTTTTTTTCTTTTAATTATATTTATTAGCACTTATGTATTTCGGATAGCTAATTAAAACATAGTTAAAAAAATATAATAATATTCAATTCAATTTGTTTGTACATTGGTTATGATACTATTGCGGATATGCGTATATTTAATTGGTTGGCTACTTCTTCGTCGCAAGCGCTCTTTCAGACAGCTACCCAAGTATCCTAAAGTAGCTCCAAGAATAGTCAATATCAAAACAAATATGACCAGGGCAGTTATAACATGAGGTCTGTAATGCCGAGGTGTTGACTTTCCCGGTTTTGGTACTGTAGTTAATCCTAAGGATAAAATACAGCTAAAAATTTATACTGAAACTAAATGTTATTTTATAAAATGCTATACAATAGTGTATATTTGAAATAAATGCGTGTGGACCTGTATTGTTTGCATTTTCGAATACAATAGATTCTTATGTGCAGTATGCAAAATCTTTTATGTGCAATTAAGCACAATTTTCTACATAAACAAATATTTTATCGTTTATTTTATCATTCAAAAATAAGCCGTTCATTAATCTTAAATATTGTTTGTTATTTTGTTTAAACGCAATTGCTATGGAGCAATAATAAATTTTGTTGTCATTCTTCAACACTTTAATGCACAAACTGCTCTCTGAATTATTTAAATTTCGAGCATTAGTAAATAAACTTGAATTTGCTTTTAAAATATTCAAGGAAAATATTTATAGAATGTATAAAATTTTATCTAATAATGAGATGAATTAATGAGTTATAACTGTTGATATTTTGCTATACTAAAATATTTACTATAAAAAATTAATAACAATCAAACGACTTTTTTGTTTTTCTGCTATTGTTAAATATTTGCTTAAATATTCACAAAAAACTATTTTCATCTTACTGTTTGATTCCTGCCCGAGAGCAAGAATTAAAACAAGAATTCAGTTTTACGCTTATATCGTTTATACTGGACAGATGGTCTTTCTTATGATAAGCGAGAGTCACAATGTGAGATCAAACTTCTCCGGATATAAATATATACAACATAATTAATAACAGCTCTTGAGATCAAACTTTTCCGGATATAAATATATACAACATAATTAATAACAGCTCTTAAGCTTACCAATAGTGTCATCATCACTGGTCGATCGAATCCCTAAACAAAATTCTTCGGCTACATTTGTTAAAAGAGTTCCAGCACGCTCATATGGAGTTTTGCATCTGAAATGAATTTGAACAATGAAAAACTGTCGAATGAACAAACAAAATGTTCATATAAGTTCGCATCAAATTTTAATAGAAGATTAGGTGAATAAATAACAATCATTTGTTTTGGTAAATTTATAAAGTATAAAGTACATCAATAACAGTTTCTAATAAATAACCTTGCTGATGTATGCTTCAGAGCGTTTTGATGATAGTCCAAAGTAAATGCCAGACTACATTTACAATTCCACGGATTGTCATTTAAATTTAAGACCCTCAATGGAGTCCATTCGCGCATTAGTATTGGCAATGTAGAAAGATTATTGCCTGCTAAGTGTAGCTAAAAATAAAAATACTTGAAGTATTGTACAATTAGTAAAGTTTGAAATAAAATGTATCGTATTTACAGCTTTTTTTGTAAAACGAGAAATTTATTTTTTTAAATTAGTTAACTTAACATATCATTTAGATTATTAACTTAACATATCAATAGAAATATTTATATCTTATGAAATTGAAAATTGAAATTAATTCTTACTTCTTCTAGCGTCCATGGGCCATTTAGAAGTTTAGGATCTGCAAACGCTAACTTATTGATATGCTTTAAATTTGGACAGCGTGACATTTGTAGAACTTTGAGATTTAATATACTTGAAAATGCATTTTCTTCTATCGAATTCAAATTCGGCATATGATTCAAATTCAATTGTTGTAAAGTTGTCAAACCTACCGGTAAATTTTTGATAATGTAATAGGCGCAATATAATGTTTGGAAAAGGGGACTAAACTTATTCTTAAATTCTAAAATGAGTGATAAAATTATCTTCACGGAATCATTTTTTGCTCTATGATTATAAAAAATCATTGAAGCTTTTCAACTAATTTCAAATTCAAAACTATTTTCAATATATCAATTTGTATCACCATATTTTATTGATTATTTTGTAATTAATTAATTATTAATTATATGATTAATTAGTAATTAATTATAGCTGGTTAGATATATTTGATTAGTTAAATAAATAGCTATTGTGATCTAATTTTTTTTCATTGATTTTGGTGAGTTGTGATTGAGATTAAAATATTTTTTTTAGTCATTCTTATATATATATATATATATATATATATATATATATATATATTAGGTTGTCAAATATCTCCCTTCCGCTTTTTTGCTCTTGGTTTATAATACAAAAAGGCGGAAGGGAGATATTTGACAACCTTATATATATGAATATAATTTAGATGATGTTATATGTACATACTAAATCTTTTTTTTTCATTTGTCAAATGATGCATTTTTTATATTAGAATGATGAAAGCCAACTAGCAACAAAGATGCAATATCTCAATATCTACTATTTAGCTTAAAGATTATATTATACGAGTGTATAAATATGATACTATTTTTGTAAATTGATAATGTTCATTGAGTTCAGGTGATTTATTTTTTTACGAGCGATAATATTCGGTTTACAACTTTGTTCAAATATTTACCTAGGAAGCTTTTTTCATCAATTGATTGTAAAGGATTATTGCTGAAATCCAATTTAATCAAAGTTTTTCCAGTAATTGCAAGCGATTCTGGCACAAATACAAATTTGTTACCCCTTAGATTTAATTCTCTAATGCTCGTCAATGACTTTACTAGTCTTTGGGACAGGAATGAAATTCCAGTATGGGACAAATCTAACACCTAAAATGAATATTCATTCAAAATTTGAAAATCCAGGAAGGCTCCGATTGTCTGAGGCTTTCGTATATTTGCTCTATTAATTAAAATAGAAATACATATGTTTATATTATTTTATAATGTTTTATAAAGTCTTTATAATAATATTCATAACATTAGGAACATGAAAACAATATATTGCAAGATTTTTGCGATATGTGAAACAAAACCATACAGAATAATGTTTCTTTTTTTATCATAAAATATTATCAAAGGGGCGTTGATATTTTTTATATTGTAGTTATATAATTCTAATGTAATATATTATACTTGATCAAAGTAATATAGTTACCCTATGGAGCACACTACATTTCTACATGTGCACGTAACTAATGCAATCCACCAGTGATCGATCCTTATGCATTTTCTTCACTAACATTAATATCATGTACTCTAAAAATAATTTAATTACATGTGGTGTTTGCTATTAACTCAAACAAATAGAAACAGGAATGCATTGTTATTATAACATCAAGGTGCAAACAGTGCGTTAAAATCATTTTGTATTTAATTATATGAATGATGATAATGTAAAATATATTTCACCTTTTTTCAATTCAGTATTTGTTGCAACCGATATATTGGAAAATAGTAGATGTAACTGGCATGTACGTTTAAATGTCTCTTGTTTACGTAATTAAACTATAAATAGTTGGGGCGAGTGAACTATAAAAAAGAGCTCACAACAATAGATTCATATAGCAAAAGTATATTATACGATTAACCCTTTTGACTCGGATGCAGCCACTCCGGCGGCAAAATTCATATAAATCTCGGAATTAGCGAGAGGAAAGTGTTAAAATTGTAATGTTTTAGGTGCGTTCTCTACTGAATACTCATTTCACCTGGAATGAGTTCCTAAGTACTCTACTACTACTACGGTTTGTTTACCTCTAATTTTCTAATTCCTGTAATAGCTCTCAATGTGCCTTCATGTAGCTCATTTATGTAGTTGTAAGATAAATCTAATTTACGTAAATCCGGCATATGTTCTAAGGATAATGCCGATAAACCATTTGTTAATCTATTTTGTGCCAGTAACAAAATTCGAACAGGCAAAGGCTCGTAATTCCTCACATTGTAGCGGCCGCGAAATACATCTCCGTGCAAGGATTCCGCTGCGAACATTTTTAGTATTTTGAATAATTTTGAAAAGAATTTTAGTACCAAAACTACATTTAAGTGATCTACTATGTTTAATTCGTTAATGCTTAATATTCAAAAATGCAATAGGAAAATAGAGCAAGTTGTAGTGTGGTATATTCTAATTAATAATAGGAATGTTCTTCTAAATAAATGGAATGGACTTATGAGTTAAAATAAGATGAGTTGCAATTGCAATATTACCAGATTTCTTGTAATACTTATTTTATATTCATTTTAATGTATCAGAGATTTATTTAAGTGTGGTTTTCATTAAATTTTAATCATTACATTTCCTTACACCATTATTAATCACAATAATTTGGTCATAAAATTTTATCAGACTAGTGAACAGGTTTATAAATTATAATAAAATAACAAACGTGTTTTAAAAATGATCTTACTAGTCAGACTGTTACAGCTAAGATCCAGCTTTTCTAAAAATGGCACGTCCATAAATGCACCACTTACTAGTTCAGTTAGACCGCAATATCGAAAACTAAAAGATACATTTTTAGCTAGCGTAGGTGGCAGTTTCCTCAATGTGATCAGCGGATTTCCAGAAAATGAAACCACTAATGCGGCATCTGGAATGATATACAAATATGCATATTATATATATATATATATATATATATATATATATATATATATATATATATATATATATATATATATATATATATATATATATATATATATATATTAGGGTGGTTCTTAATATGGACATTTTCGAATTTCCTTGCTCCCAGAGGCTCAAATGCTTCCGAATTGATAAAAACTGAACTCTAGATTTTTAGCTTTTAATATTAACTTTTAGATAGAGCGCAATTCCAATCAAAGTTTCGCATGGAAAAAAATTCAAAAATTTAAAAAATGCTTTTTAGATATAACTTATTATTAGCGATAAGTGAATCAAAAGTGACAATTCATGTCATGTTTTATTAAAAATTCGACGCTTTACAAAACAGGTATATATATATATATATATATATATATATATATTTCAAAGTAACTAGCAGCCCATTCGTCGAAATAAAAAAGGTATAAAGTATAAAAACTTTTATTTATACGTTTCGACACAAGATGCGTGTCATCATTCAGCAACACAGGACAAAAACACTCAACAAAAATTTATTTTAAAAAATTAAACTTAATAACATATTAGAGAAAAACATTTTTTTAGAAAAAATTATGAAAAACTAAAAGATTTGAAAACTAATTTGACTAAAAGTTATGAAATGCATAATTGTGAAGAGAGAAACACGCCCATACTGAGCATCCAGACTCGACTGCTATATATATATATATATATATAGCGTCAAATTTTCAATAAAACTCATCGCTAAGTTATATCTAAAAAAAAACATTTTTTTTTTGATTTTTTTTCTATGCTAATTCCGTTTGAATTTGTACAGAGGTATCAAATTTAAAATTTGTACCTTTTAGATCTTCGCTCTTTGTTATGTTAGAGGGCCAGTCGACAGGCAAGTCATTCAGTTGCCTTTGCGAACAATCTATCGAAACCTCTAATTGATTCCCAAAATAACCTCCTACACCCTCCATGCAGTGACATTTTGTACAAACTTCGTTAGCCGTCAATTGACTTTCGCCTGAATTATACGCAACTGTGGATATTATTTGAACTAAGCACTGAAGAAAAATAGTACAATATTATTTTAATTAGTAAATATACGTTAAATTATATAATGATCCTATAACAATCGAAGGAATCAACAATTTTGGTCGGTGTTTCAATTTTAAATACATAGTTTGTTTATATGGAAGCTGTAATTTTTTATATGCTGATAAAGAACCCTAAATTAGATTAGAGGCCAATGCAAACGTGAAATTTTGAATGAATTATAAAGTTTCATTGTTAATGTTGAAGGCTATTGGCAAGCATTTTTGGAATTATCATATTCTGATTCGAAATTCAAAATTGTTAACGCTAGATTTATCAGCGTTATCTAATTTGAGCTATATACAAATACCAGACAAATAATTTGTGCATAATATAATATATTTATATTATAAAAGCACAAAATCCCAGTTTGAAGCAATGTTCCTTGTTTTCTATAAATTCGTTCTGAAAACGTTATAACTGAAAACGAAGCTTAGGTAGTCTATTTTGTTGTGAAAAATAGGCGATTTACAGAATCTTCAAAATTAGATTTATAATATTCGTGCTGAAGGAAAACTTACAGTTTTGGAAGATATGACTTCAATTTTACTTGTGTAATTGTCTATTTTTTACTTCTTACAACTTTACAAAGTTATGCGAAATGTATTAAAAAAAAATCACAAAAGTTACAAACAAGGATTTTTCGTAATTTTCTCGGCATTAAAGTATTGCACTAGTTTCATAGCAATTCCATCTTGTTATTTATTTTGTGTTGAATCTAATATTTGTATACCAGAGAGTATCTTCTACCTTATAATGCTTTAGTGACACAGAAATAAAAGCTGGTCTAATATTTGCTAACTGGTATTAAGTAATAACTTTTTTTTCAATTAAGTAAAAACTCTTTTTTTCAATAATTCTTGAATTGAAATGGTATATTTCGATTAGCTGAGACGTATAGTATTTCTCTATTTTGGCTCAAAATATTTCAATCAATTCTAAATGATAAAGACATGTCAAAAGGAGGTACGCAGTTGAATTACTATTGTATGCAAATGTCATAATTGTTTCTTACCAGAATGACGATTGATCTAAAATTGTTTCTGATAGTCATCTCTGTCGCAGAACAACTGCCATTTTGGGCGCTTGACACCATTTCGTTATCGCGATCGCCCAGAAGATTTTACCTTTATAAAATTATACATTTAATTTCCAACATCTAGCTATTTGATAATTTATATTTTATATAATATATATGCGTGTATGTGAAAACAATTTGAATACTATTTTAATCGAAACTAGATTTTTAGTTTATTCCACTCGATCATAATCACCATGTATAGGAAAAAGAATAGATCATTAAAAGCTTCAACTGCATATAGACTTTCTTTCTGGTTCGGCAGATCTACCAATCGTGGAATTAATTTATATTTTGATTAGAAAAATGCACAAACTTATCGGGCATATTATTTTTCTTCTTAATTTTCATAAACTATATTGCAATCTTACAGACTGTAAGTTACAGTTCACAAGTTTACAGTTTCCTAGAGTTTACAGTTTGTTTACAAGCATTTTCAGAATTCTTATATTGAATCTATAATAATAAACATATACATGTTATGAAATATTTTATACAAAATTTTTAATAGAATTATACATATATCATGTATTAGATTTATATCAGATCATTGAATTTGCATTATTATCATTCAAACTGCCCTTATAAGAACATATTATTCTTTTTTTAATTTAATTTAATAAAAATTAATTAATTTAATCGGCTTCAGGGGGGCGATACATGTAATCGCCTTAATTTTTACCATTTTTTGAGGACTTTTTAAACTGGGAAGGAATAACTGAATCTTTTTGAATTTTTTTATGGTTATTTATTATATATTAAAATACACAAAAACATTTTTTTTTTATTTTTTTTTTTTTAAATGGCTGCCGTAAAAATAGATCTGCCAAGACCCTCTCGGAAAACGCCATCAATCTGCGGGCGTTCTCACTTTTCGTACGGTGATCTGAATTCAAAAAAATTAGTTTGTACGTATTCATAAAACATATATCTTCTAGTTAAACCAAAAAAAAATTAAAAAAGTCACAAAATCGTAAATTGGCAGACCTCAGAAAAAAAAAGTTCGATTTTTCACCATTTTTTCACTGTTTTTTTTGGTAAAAAGGTTAATTTTTGAAATTTTTTTTGGAATGTTTGAGGTTTAACTAGAAGCTATTACTGTAAAGTAGATGTGTGCAAAATTTCATTGGAATCGGTTGAGAACTTTTTGAGTTATCACGCCCGCAGTATTCAAAAATGTCGTTTTGAGAAAAACGCGTTTAAAGTTTTGACACAGAAACAGATAAGAGTACAATTGCACTCGAGCGTCGAGTTGAGGCGTGGCACTTAAATGAGTTTTTAAGGTATAAATAATGATAATTTTGTTTTGAATTTTTGCAGGCATATTTTTGAGATGTTATTGTAACGATTTATGAAAAAAAAAAAAATCGTTTTTTTTTTTCTTGTTACATGTATCGCCCCCCTTCAATAAAAATAATCATCGATGTTACAGAAACTGTAATCATAAATTAATCAGATAGAGATGTGACAACCGTTTGGATTGCTATGTATAAAAAACACGTTGTTTAATAAGTGGTTATCTGATTTTATAAGTGAAGTAATCAGACTGCTGTTAAAAATATATGAATAATAAAATAAATGACGAATATTGATAATCGTACTCGAATTGTAAAAATATTGTGTGATTTGTGCAATAATACACAGTATTACTCACGCAATTATTTTATCAGCTTTAGGTGAAAATATAAAATGTCCAACAGCGACTTTATCTTCGATATACACATAGTCAATATCCTGTCACAATCCGCGATATAATCGCTGGAAGATAAGATAAAACATTGAAAAATATCTAAAATTATTAACTGACAATGGGAGAGTTTCATTCTTACTTGTTAGTTAGCAAACCAAAATGCTTGAAATTACCCTTGATCCGTTTGTCTAACAATTAGGATTTCTGCTCGTTTGAATCATATTTAATATTAGTAAATCAAATATCAGTTTTAATTATTGAATATATGTATGTACATGAATTACTTTCCTTGAACACTTAGTTTGTCATTATATATTCAGCAAAGCTTATGACAAAATATTGTGGAAAAAAATCGCAATGAATGCTAAGACGATATTATACATTTTTTTTTTATTTTTCTATCTATGAAAATACGAGAAGTCTATTGATTCTTTCTGAAGGGAGTTCAACCATTCTAGAAATATGAATAAACAATTATAGTGTCATAAATGAATATTTGATATATGCATTTAATACCATTCATTAATATTTTTATTAAAATTCAGTTTCCGTAGCAAATAACAATTCTGTAAACATTTTCTTGTTCAAAATATAACAAACATTTCTACTATTCGAATTTTGTAAATCTTGAATATATTTGGTTTGTGAACTAGTAAGTTTGCAATATAGTTTAGGAAAATTGGTACGAAAAGCTTCAAAGAAATAACGTAGTTATAAATTGATTATTTTTATTAAATTGATCGGTAGGATCTTTAACTAATTGTTTATAGAAATGTTCATATTTAAATAAAAAAAATAGTTTTTTGAACAATAATGAACCTTATCGATTACGACGATAAGGCGTCCCTTATCAACATTGTAGTGTTTACATTATTGATATTACAATATATTAATAAAAAAATCGTTTATTTTTACACTGAAGTTAAAATTTTGAATTTTGTATATTATTTGCATCATAAATTCTTAAAATGTTAAGAAGAAATATATAGATGATACGGTAGAAATATTGTATATATATATATATGTGTGTGTGTGGGTGTGTGTGTGTGTGTGTGTTGGGTGTGTGTGTGGGTGTGTCAAAACTAATATTATTATTATATAGCACTTACTCACTTAAATATTTGAAACGTTAGTTAGATTCAATTATTGATTAAATATGATTATTCCGATTTAATTAACTCAAAACTCACACTCATTCATGTTGAATAGACACAACACTTAAAGCATTTAATTTTAATCGAATGCAAATTTAATATTTGCACATACACTGCTTTTATGTACTTTAATGTCAGCCTATACTGTTACGACCATACGTATAATATACAATTCGATTTTTTGTGAAACGCACAACTGCTGTAGGTATGTCTGATAAGGTTTTATTTCAATGTATAGTCATCGATGTATATTGAATTGACGAACTTTTCAAAGAAAATATTTCTGAAAGACTATGAGCGCATTACTACATGAAATCGACTCCCTCGTATATCAATATGGCATTTTAGATGATTTTTTTAAAAAAAATTGATACACCAATTTTCATCTTCTTACTTCATCATTTGGTCAAAGATATCATTAAACATTTGAAAGTGTCCTCTTTTTGCGACCGTAAGGATACCGGAAAAAGTTTTGGTCGCAAGTGGTTTGGATGGATCTTATATTTTTGAAACTTAAATATATAACTAGTGGGGCGCATGGCATCGTGCCTTAAGGCAAATTGCCGGAACTTTCGGTACCAAAAAGTTCAACATTTTTGAAAAAAAAAATAGATTTTTCAGAAACTATAAATTGAAAAAAATTACTTTTTGAAAAAAAGCTTTTGGAAAAAAATGTATTTTTTTAGTTTGAAATATTTGGAAATGTTGAACTTTCTTTCAAAGCAATGCATTGCTTTAGCTGCATAGAGACGCAATATTGAAGCGCGTAAGCGCCGCGTCGCTGTCTAACGGATAAACATTGGTACGGAACCCATAGGAATGTAAACAAAATTTATACTTATTGTTAAAATCTCTATAAAATATCTGATAATTTGATGTGCATATGTCTAATGATCATTTTTGACCGCCAAATGGCATTTTTTTTCTACTTGTTTTTTACTAGATCTCCGAAACCGCTAGACCTGCCGTCATGAAAATTTAATCAGTTGTTCATCTTGTCAATATAGGTAAAATGTTTTTTGAATTATTGAAATCGGACACTCCGTTCTCTTAAAAACTGAGTTACCGTTTTTGGCACTTTTTTTCCCGTATCTTCGAAACGGCTACACCTGCCTATGCCAAAAACTAATCAGCACGTCTCTTTATTAACAGCAATCGAATGTTTTTTGAATAATTGAAATTGGTTGAACCATGTTCCCGAAATCGTCGACGAAAATTTGTATCCGCACACACATTCATCCATTTTTTCTAATTATAAGGTATGCCAAAATGTTCAGAAACCTCTGAAACGTAATGATATATAAAAAAAATCATTTCACAATTTATGCAATGTAGTATGGCAAATGATCTTATCAGTAATATTTGGCTCGACCAGTCTTACCCAAAAACCAGTGGGCTTTTCACATCATCAGTGCGAAAGGAATCTTTCTTGAATCATTCCAATCGGATAATCTCACTAGAACACGTGAGAGGAAAGTTTATTATTAAAAGATATTAATTATATTTTGGTTTTGAGATGGAAAATAAATTTTATAAGGGATTAATAATAATAATATATTTATAGTGGATACTTTTAATTATTATTTTGACGTATCTAGTTTAGCAAAACATAGTTATGTATAAACTTAACACAATTTATATTTGTTATTATAGGAGATAATAAAACAGACAAATAAAATATTGGAAGAACTATTATGCCCTCCGTGCATAATTGACCAAAAAACAACCCCCGATGATGATCGATTGAAAGATTATAATTTGAAAAAGCAAGAATCTCAAGAAAAAGTATTAGAAGTTCCGGAAAATCTGACGATGATTAAAATAGAAAATACTTCAGGTAAAGCAACTGTTAAAACTGAAAATGAGGAAGCAGTTAATTTGAAAGTGACGACAAGGCCGGAAAATATATCTTCCGAGTCGAAGGATGGCATAAAGGTTAGTCAAATATTTATCCATTAGTAAATATTACATTTTCATAAATAGTTTAAAATTTTTATTGTTAATTGTTATTATTGATTACAATTTAATTATTTTGCTATATATTGATTTCTGTAGGACTCTACCCCAACTATAAGAGTACTCTCACCGCAAACGATTCAGGCAAAATCAGAAGATCTACAAAGCTCTAGTGAACTGCCAATAGCTTGGAGACCTCCAATAATTACATCTGAAATGATACAATGCCATAATAGGTAATGTTTAGATTCATTGCTGGTTCAAAATATGTATACTACACTATGCTATACTAAAGTAATTGAAATCGCGAGCTAAATCTTATACCATTAATAGTTTCATTGTGTCTTACATTCATTTTCATGCATTTTTCTAAATATAATTTTAGCTGATCTCATATTTTTCTTCTTTGCTTACTCTATTTTTTTAGTTTTTATTTTATTAACACATTGCTTTGAATATTCAAATCATAATCTTTTAATTTTCATAAATGTTGTTTTGCGACAAATTTATTCTAATGAATATTTCAATGGGAATTAAGATATGTCATTTTCACTACCTTTTTGTCTAAAGCTTGAGTTCACTTCAAAAATGCAAATATTGTTATTGTTTTAGATACTAAATTTTCTTTATCAAACATTGTATGTAGCTAACAGAATGTTATTTCTACTATTTAGTAGAACATCAGGAATGAATGGTGCTATCAAACGTGGCTTCGATTCGAATCCTTTAGGGGAAATGGATTTATCAGTATCAAAACGAACTCGCATAGATGATACATTAAGCAATACAACAAACAAAGACAACAACACGCACACAACACAAATGGCAAGTTTGCTGATTGATGAAACAAAGGAGTCTATTCCAGAAATAGTTCAACAAAATCAACAAATTTTAAAACAATCATGTGATGCCAGCAGTGAATCTGGAGACAGCTCGGATCCTGAGAGATTGCAAGTCGATATGTCTCAGGTAAAATATACGATTATTTTTGTATCTTATCTTCAACAGTCCAAAGAAATATATATATTTTTTAAATCTAAATTTGAAAGAAATTTAAATGATTCAATAACATATATCTTCTATATATATATAAAAGTAAGTCGGGTTTTCCTTCCTGACGAAATAACTCCAGAACGCACGAACCGATTTCGACAATTTTGCATTCGTTGGAAAGGTCTCGGGCTCCGTGAGGTTTATAGCTAAGAAAATTAGTTGTGCATGGCATCGTGCCTTAATGCAAGCTGCTGGAACTTCACGCACCGTAATTAAAAATTCGAGTAATGACATTACTGAGAATTATCAGAATTATGCTTGGTTAAGTCAACGAGCAATTTTTGCCGCAAAGAATAATGATGTACACGCCCTGAATTTCACTATTCAATCAAAAATTGCTGGCGATTTTGTGACATACCAATGATTCTGACTGGTCTTCCATTTGACTTCAAACGATTGCAATATCCAGTTCGCCTTGCGTTCGCAATAACATGTCGCAAGGCCAATCGCTTAGTGTTTGCGGGATAAATTTCAAATAGATTATTTAGAAAATCATTGTTTTTTACATGGGCAGTTATACGTTGCCTGTTCACGAGTTGGAAAACCATCCGCTTTGTTTGTGTTAACGTCAGACCAAAAAACAAAAAATGTGGTTTACCAAAGATCACTTCCATAAATGGATAATTTGCGGATTCACTTTCATTTACTTAGAGAAGTTCAACTAAAAAACGCTTCATTTTTGTAATCAAAATAAATTCGTTACTGTTGTATAATCAAATTTTTCCTTTTAAAATATAAAACAAACAAAAATTTTCTTCATCTTTCTCACGAAACCATCTGGTGGCGAAACGGAGTTCGTCGGGTTTGCTAGTTTGTTATAAAATGGGTGGTCTCAGTATTTTGTCTCAATGCTATACTGTACTAGTTGCATTTTAAAATTTATTATTTCATACTTTATTTTATATGTTTGCATGTTTTTTTATTGTGTATTTTTGGGGATAGATCAGTTGAGTATCAAACATATGTGGCATAAATGTTTCAAAGTTTATAAGTTTGTGTGTGTTGCTTTATAGATTGATGATCTTGATGAATCCACATTATCTACACCGAATTCACCAATCATGAATCACTCTAATTTACCAAATGCAAGCGGCAGAGATACACCAGAGAGTTCGGCTTCTGAACCTGAAGAACCAAATTCGACAAAGCTCTGGCAAGCACTTAATCAAAATAGCAGTAAGTTTTTATTTTGTGCTAAATATTATTTTGACGTGAAATATTGTAAAATTTTTTTTACAGCCATGGGAGGCGAAGCAACACAATTATTGCGAAGATTGATAACATGCCGAAAATTAGGTTTAACTCTTACACCATCAGGCGATGAACTGCGGAATGGATTATTGGTAATGGTTGATAATTTTAATGCAATATTTATTTTATTATAATAATTATTACAAATGATTTATCTAGTCGAGAGGAACAAGTTCAAAAGGTCGGCGTAAACAGAGTGTTCCAATGAAAGCTTCACCTTTGGAATCCCTGATTCCTGACGACTTGTCAATACATAGCTTAATAAATGGTGGGTATTACATTATTCTTCAAATCTCCTTTAATAATTGAACATGCTTGCTTTATAATGTTTTATTCACTATTTTAGATGATACAATGAACAAATTAAATTCTGCGCCAGTTTCATACGGTCATACAACATTTGAGCCTACAAGAAATACTACCTCTGCAGAGCAAGAAGATTCCTGTAGTGATTTTGCTTTATCAAATACATGGGGAAGTCCAGATGATAAAGACAAAGTAGGAAAGTTTGAATATTTTTAATAAGTTGTGGTGTTCTATATGCAGTAATTATCTGACCATAACATTTTACAAACATCGGTAAAATCGGATAAAGTGTGAAATTTGAAAATCTATAAGTCACACATCTTATGAACGTATGATTCAACTTGGCATTAGTATCATTCCAATGTTAATAACTGTATTACCTACATTATTTTTTGTTTACGCTTAAGTTCAAGTGCGTCTCTTTTTAGAAAAAAAAAGTTGATCCTCTGTTGAACCTGTCTTCTTAAATTTGAACCCATTTTCTAATAAATTCAATTGATGGAGCGTTTTTTGTATTACGTATAAGAATTGTCAGAAAATTGGTAGTACTTGTTATGCGAAATACATTTTTCCCCGCTTTTTCAATTTTCAATAATAATCACGATTTTCTAAAAATATATATTTTTTGAAAAACTTTATTATAGAGTTTATTTGTTTATAGAGTGGAAGTTTCATAAATTAATATCCTTTAGGCCAAAAACCACTAGTTTTTTCTACATGTTTCAGAAACGAGTAGAACTTTCTTGTACGAATTGTGGCACGAAGACGACGACGATTTGGCGACGAAACGTACGAGGAGAGATGGTATGCAATGCTTGCGGTTTATATTTCAAGCTCCATGGTGTAGACAGACCTCATACTATGCGTAGAGACACTATTCATACACGCCGGAGGCGACCTAAAGGAGAAAAACCTAGGAGAAGTAGTGAGTGTTTAGTTGGCATATGTAGAATTTATGATAAAATCATATCAGCTCATTATTTATTATTGCCTCAGTAAACACTTTCGCTACGAGAGTGTTATATGGCAGATATATCGCCGCTATACGGAACAGCGAATAGCTCAGTAGCTTTACTGAACCAGGACTTGGCACAACGACATATGTTGAGATTTTTCAATCATCGTCAATAAAAATATGTTTAAAAGTTAAAATCACTAAAAATTACAATAAAAAATTAGAACGACATCAGTATACACAGGTTGTCATGCGGATTTCGTCTACAGACGACATTAGTAGCGAAAGGGTTAAGTGCCTTTTATTATTGCTTCATTTTTTCTTGAACGTAATCGAAACAAGACTTTTATATTTTCAATTTTTTTTCAGATTTAAATTTCAGGCAGTTAATGAAATTTACTTATGTAATATTTGTTATTTAAACAGAAAGTTTAAGCAGATTGTCTTAAACCGCAATCACAATAATATGCGCGACTAGTTTTCATTACTTATAATAGTAGTCTGCCTAAAGGCAGGTCAATTTTGTGACCACAAATTGATGAATCTTTTTCCCTTCCTTGTTTATTATTTCCATTAACATTTTATTACCATCAATTATTTTTGCCCACTCTTCTCAGCACTTCATTTGTTACATTATGTGTCCACTTTATCCTTCAGCACAGCACAGCATTTCGAAATTCTGTAGATAGTTTTTGTCAGCTTTATCTAAAATATAACATTAGAATTATAATTATTTAATTTCAAAATTTTTTGAGAAGAATTCGATTAAAAACGAAAAAAATATTAATCTTTGAAAAAAAAATCAACATCGAAGAATTATTTATTATTTTATTTTTAGCAGGATAAAGTTTATTTATTCAAAATATGTTCATTTTTACCAGAAATAAAATCAGAAGATTCTCAAGACAATATAGAGATGCCTAAGCCAATTCCTTCACCATCAGGACCTGATGTATTGGCAACTCTTCGTACGCAGCTTCAACCCTCTTTATTGATGGCATTACAACAGTCACATGTTTATCCCAGGATGATGGTAAGTTTCTATAAACAGTTGAGCTATTAAATCACTCATAGTTCAAAAAAGTTGCAGCTTTAAAAGTTGCATTTAAAACTAAACTTTGATGTTAGTGTAGCATTTTCATACTTTATTGGCCAACATTTAACTTGAATTTAACTTTAAAGTTCCGGTGACAAACTAAAATCAATTTTAGGAATTTCATCTTTTCATGAATATATGTTAAAATCGTAATCTCTATATCAAATCATTATTTAATATGTACTATTTCTCTTACATTAAAAACTAGACACATTACAATCATCCACATTTTATGAAAACCGAAATGGAACCAGAAGTGGAACGTCAACAAATAAATCATTCTGAACTCACTGCAGAACTGCCGCTGAATTTAGTGCAGACGCATGTTGCATCTGGTCATACAGGGAATTGATCGATATGCTTGATCAAAAATTATTAAACCAGTTTTCATTGTCGACTTTATGCGTGTTTGTTTGTTATTCATGTACTTGCTTTTTGCGTGTTTGGCGATAAGTATTGTTGAATGCTCATCCTAATAATGATTCATTGTTTTTCAAAATTAATTTTTAGCATTGAAAATAAATAATTATATTTATTATTTTTTCATATTTATGACAAATATTAAATATGTGACGTAAATATGTTGCAAAACTATTGTAGGAATCCTAATATCCCTCAATTATTTTATTTTTAGTCGGGAGTTGTAAATCACATAAGCGAAAGATACTTAATAGGCTAAATCAATAGTTAATATAGTTAAAAATGATAAGTTTTTACAGAAAAATAGTTTTTCATGCCAGTATATCGATTAATATTAGTATTTACATTTTACATTACATTGTCATATTTTATGAAGTATTTTTAATAGCAATGCTCTGCTATATTATAAACTGTATAGTATAAAAAACTGCGGTGCCTGATATCGTTTTTAGTCTTCCATGACAATGAAAATAGTAGTGAAAGTTTCCTTACTCCCGTATTGGTTGAAAGAGTACTAGAGTTTTAAATAAGTTCTTTATGGAATATGTTTCATTTTACGGAACTGGTTAAGTTTAAATGGTTTTGTCAAAATATTATATAGAAAATTAATGCTTGCCAGGTATAGGATTAGTAAAACCCTAGTATAAACCAATAAAATCTAATATTTCACATTTACATTTGCATGTGATGATTATTTATTTCATTTTTCATTTATATTTTTAGTATGTTCCTAGTGAATCACAAGACGTCAATATTATGTAGCAACTATAACGTCAAAAATAAGAACGTAACGGTTTTGTTTGCGCTACGTTTCTATGCCAAATTATAACGTATTTTAAGAACACATATTTAGTGAAGCATACTTACTACTATATAAATAGAATTTTTATTAATTGTTTTAGTTGATTAAAGATACTAATAATAATGATGAATAATAAAAAATTTATTAATTATTAAAACAGCCCTTGTTCGAAGGAATGCGGTGTTAGTCCATGAATATTTTAGAATCTAATCATATGGAATACATGAAAATAAATAATATTTTATCTTTTAATCCTATAGATTTTTCTGTAAAAAAAAATAGAAGACATCTGATGTTATACTTAACTAATGCTTCTTACTTAATAAAGTTGTACTTTTTTTTAATTTTAAACAGTATTAAATTCATTCTTCAAAGACACGGTTCACATATTCTAATCTTCTTGATATTCGTCTAAAGTACCACATGTCGGTTTCAAGTTTGAATCCGAAGGCTCGTCCTTTCTATAAATATGCGTTTATGTTAGTCTTTTTGTTTAGTTGTTTCATACTTTATAATGTTGTTTTGCCTTCCAATGGTTTCGTAGATTTTTTGAATATTGGCCACGTTCTATGAATTTATCTGCTATGTGTCAAAGAGCTCTTCTGCTCTGCTATTCAAACTTTTGTGACTTGCTAGGATATTACTAATGGTATTGCATTTTATGTTCAAAAATTTATAAACGCGATATATTATATTGGAATTCGGGTACCAAATATATTTTTAATAGTATTATTATAAGTTTGAGTTATAATAGATTTTTCTATAACTTGATTATCATAGTTACAAAGTATTTTTATCAACTGTGTGAGTTGATTGAGAAGCGCGATTATATTTACAATTGAAAAATTGTTTTTTTGATATTATTTATTAAATTTATTATTGAATACTAACATGTACACACAGATATATATTACACCTATGGAACACTGGTCTAACGATTTGGGCATATAGGTATTGTTAATATCGCGAAATGCTTTTAGATTGTGATTTGAACTGTTTTCTGTACGAACTTACCATTTCTAACTAGATGATAACTAAACGCAGAAGATGAACGATTTTTAATGAAAAGTCGATTGCGCTTCTTATCTTGCCAAAATAATATTTTTCATACATACGTTATTATTGTTCTACTTATGATATTAATTAATTGCGATTTGAGTAATCGGTCGTAATGAAAAAGTATTACCACGTTATTGATAATTATTAACTAAGTATTGATAAAAATAACTTAACGATATTATATATCAGTATTCGATTAATTTTTATATAAATTACTTATAACTCTATATATAAATTTATATTGTGTACAAGGGACGCAAAGAATAAATGTGTAATTTTTGTGATAATGGCAAACATTAGTAGTTGAATTTTTTACCAAGGTAGCCTAACAGACAATAAATATAGGAATCACACGTTTGTTGTAAATTAATTAATGAGCACAATAATGATTTTATTACTTGCTATTGAACGAGACATAATTATTCAACTGGAAGATTATTAATTATCGGAAATTTGAAAGTTTTTCTCATTGACTATATTTAATTAATATTTTGTTTATTTAATATTATATTAAAAGATACAAACAGATAAATTATCTCAGATACGTTATTTGTAAATTTCCTTATCCATATATTTATTAAATAGATTTTAGTAAAAGAAAATAATAAGATTTCAATTGTGCTCAATGTTTATTTACTGCAACCTACAATAACTGCTTTTATACTAAATGGTAATACAAATGATTTAAAAACGATTCTGCAGAATTAACCAATATAGAGGCAAAACTCATTAATTTCTCACTCTCAATTGGAAACAAAAACTTTAAAATTGAACAATTGAAGATGATTTTCGGAACTATTGATTTTTAAATAATTATTGAAAATAAATAGCCTGAAATCAAATTTATTTGATTTTGTCTTTTAAATAGAATTAATGTCTAGTCTGTTTCACACATTGCAGAACATTTAATAATTTCAAGTGGTTATTATGTGTGAAAGCAATGTAGAGTTAGAATTGCCTTGGTAGCAAAATTGTGGTATAGTGTTTCGGACCTACATTTGTATTATTGTTAGGTAATAAACAATTGATAAAATAGTATATATTCAACGTGCCTTAATTCTAAAACGAGATAACAGCACTTAAATATTTTTTTATTAATTCATTTACAAGAATACTCGAATAATTAATACAATTTATAATGTTATATGTAATTAAATACATGACCAACGTATAGAGTAGAAGCAATACTTTGTATTTTTTATATAAGTTTTTAAGTCATTCTCAGATGCTTTATATAATATTTTTAGCATGTAAGTACAGTAAAGATTTTATAGTTTTGGAATTTGAGTTAGAACGATGATCTGTAATTTTTCATATTGATTTTTCACTTGAAAGAACATCTTTCACAATATTGTTTTGAAAAAATTTTTTTTTTTTTTCTAAGCTCAAATTATTTTAATCGGACGCTTACTTTACATACATACATGCATACTTATATATATATATATATATATATATATATATATATATATATATATATATGGGTTTGCATGTATACATATACCAATATACTCAAAAAACTTACAAAGCACTAAGAAAGCTCTCTAGCTTGTTATATGAGATTATATTATATATTCATTTTTTTTAAGTACTGCGTACGTTTTCATTTTGAATTTATAGATGTATTATCTATGACAGAAAGCTATTGATATTATAGTTATAGTTAACTTAGATTTAATTTATTTTATGATATGTATTTATCTAATGTGTTACCAATACTTTAGTGCATGTAATATCTTAATATTATTAAAGCTTACTTTTGGTATTGTTTTTAGAATAAAATAAAGTTTCACACATTTCTATACTTTTTGCTAGACATGAAATATTATTTCTGATTTTTATGATAACTGTAATATAGCCTGCTACATCATGATACTATTTCGAAAATATTTAACATTTAATGTCCTGTACTTATGTTTAATGAATTATTTACTTTATTTAAGGGCAGCAACATTTGCAAACGACTTTATAGCTTATAATTTAGTCAAGTTCAAAATTATTATTAGTAACCCACAATACTTACTTATATAGTTCAATTCAAGTCTTTTAGTCGTTTGCCAATGTGGTATTTTATGATATATAGACATATGACAACTAATAGTATTTGATGAGCATTATATTTCATTAATTTATATTGTATTTATTTCTAACTATTAAGTACTTGCATTATAAGTACACATTACATAATCATTTGGCATTAAGTTACTATTATTGTACATAAGGTCCCTTACTTTCAGTACAGTCAGTAGGTTAAGGCTGGTGATTTCATTCATTCATATAAATGAATGTTCACAGCACAATTCATTCTATAAATGTAAGCGAGTGACCTTTGGCAAAAATCAAGTGATCAATTTCATAGATTTGTCTCATAATAATGTTTTCAATATGGATAGTAGTAACACAGTTCCGACTTAAAATTTACAATCAAATTTACATGCACAATCCAGACGGGTTCAAACAATTTTGATTTCTTGTTTCCAACAATGCATATACTAATGCTCAATAAGTACTGACTACAATGCAATGTTTTTTGCGTGACCTTACAAAAAAATAACTAATACAATAAAAATCACCATATGTCACTCGCTAATTATTTTTTATTCAGCCCAGTGATGAAAATATCATTAGGTATATTGTTCATTAATTTAAAATTTACAAATTAATAATCTACAAGCATTATTATTGGCATTTTTTTTTACAGATGGCTATTTAAAAAAATAGTTTTTCTTGTAATACTGATACCCTTGACACATTGTGATAGAACCATAAATTTCTTGTAAGTAAATTCAATGCCAAAAAATTCTACCTCCACTTTTTATAATGCAGCATTTTTACATTTGTAGATTTCATCATTTCATTATATTGTATTTCAACGCGGTTCGAAATAAATGGAATTTCGAATTTATTATACGCAAAAGTAATCACTGTTTAATTAAAACATTAATTAAATAAAAATTATAATGGGTCACTTGTTAATTATTATAGATAATTACATGGAAAAATAACCAGTAAAAATTGATTTTTGTATCAACAAATTTTCTGAGTAATGTACCTTGTATGTTTTGATAGAAATGTAACCCAAAAATCAATTTCAAATAAATTTGTTTCATGCACAATTAGAATGTTAGTTGATTCCTAATTTTTCCAAGTTTTTTCAAAACATATATATTTTGTTACATCTTTTGAACTAATTATTAACAGTTATTAAACACGTTGGTCGTTCTTACTTTTTGCATTTCACTCTTAAGTCACGTCATAATTTTTTAAAGTGACAATTTTATTTACAGCGAGTTTCATCAGATTTTTTGAACGTAATCTATTATTTTTTCTCAAATAAAAGCAGTGTTTATTTTTGTGTAATGTACGTCAAACCTTTTTTTATTTTAATAAATATATAATTAATGCTTTATTAAATAAATGTTACTCAATAAACAGTATTTTTTTGAATGTTCATTACATGTATTTTTTAAGTGTTTACCACATAGCTGTTTATTTATTAATAAAGTAATTATATATTATTATTGATGTGAAGCAATCAGTTACATTTAATTATTTTGCCGTGATATATGTTAATTCTTAATATTGTTTATTTTCTTCTTATGAACACTTTTAAATTTTTTGTGAAACCATATAAAATTTAAAGCTATTTTGATTTGTTTTCAATTTATTTATGAAATGAGAAGAAATGTTTAGCTAGAAAGTATTAAATTAACAGATACATTATATCCAAATATCATTATTTATATGTATAAGACCACACTATTTATAATAAGCCTTTGTATTCACAGTGAGACACAAGCAGTATATCTTCTTTCGTAATATACAATTACTAAAACCAAATATATTATCTCATTAGTTACAGTATTTAAGTGGCATTATTTACTTTATTATTAATTACATAAAGCTTCAATATTATTGTTTATAATTATTGAACAAAAAATGCCAGTTGGTTGTTAAACTGCAAAGTATATTGTAGTCAATTTTAATTTTAAATTGCAAAAGAAATGAATCAGTTAACCAAATAATAAATAAACTGCTTCAGATTTTGTACATAGAATATGTGACTCCACTTAAAAAATAGTATTTCTATACATGAGAAATTATCTTGAATATTTAATACTCATCTTGTTGTTAAGGTTTTTAATAGGATATAGTAACTATTTTATACTGAAATAAAAAAATATCTTAATTGAATACTGATTTTTTTTATTTACTTGTGACCACAAATAAAACTTCAATTAAATAACATTTCATTTTTTTATTCAAAAAGAAAATCACAAGAAATTAACAAAAATAAAGCTAACCCACCCAACATTTGGAAACTTTTACCCATGACACAAATATCCTTTTTTACATAAAAAAAATCGTTTCATTATCCGTATTCCGATTTTCAAATTCAAATGGATAGCATAATTTATCCAGCAAATTAAAACCTAGTATTTGGTTATCATTAAAATCACTTTTATGTAATCATGTCACCAGTAAAGAACTACTGCACTTCATTAAAGTCATTTGATTTATTTGATTCTCTAATACCAGTATGGATTTTTGCTCCAGAGTCTGCAGAAATCCCTTTACTGATTTCGCTAGCTATCTGAGAACTATTACGGTTTCTTCTGATTTTCTGCTGATCTTGAATTAATAAACCACCAAGATATAATCCAATCCAGAGAATATATCCAAAATGATAAACAGAGCTATAATGATTCACATTATTCACGATTTTCAGTAAGAATAAATATTTTAATTCAAAATATCATATTAAATATGCAGAACAATATTAGTACAAGTTTTATCAACAGAATGCTAATATCAAATATTGATAAGTATAATAGATTGTTTATAATATAATACCTGTAATATTTCCACACCAAGTCAACCTTCAAAAGTAAAAATGCTATTCCCATATATGAAAATGCAAACATTTTGCTAGCCCAAAACAGGTGGTTCCACAATTGACGAGCCTACGACAACATATTGTAAAAGTAGTTATTTAAATATAAAAAATAATGCAAGAGGCACATTAGTTGATAACACTTACAATACCACTGGAATATTTCCGGAATAGATTTTCATATAGGTCCTCAATTGGCAAATAAAATGGTGCACCGAGTATACAAAAGTAATAACCAGCATAAATGCCATGCCACAAGGCAGACACCATCAAAGTTGCACTAGTTCTAATTAGAAATTACATTTAGCTACACATACTAATAAATTCAGGTTCTTGCAAATACCTATATTTCTTGCTTGGAAATCTTTTGTAGATATTTTTAGCCAACCAATATTGAACACACATATTCCAAGTTTTCATAGCTTCTCTGAAAGTTACGCATGTATCTGTTTTAACCGGGTCAATGTTATGAATCACTTCAAAATCCATATCTTCATCTTTCAAAGACATTCTGAGTTTATAAAAGTATTAAATATAGGTCATTTGAAGCTTAGAAAAATTATAATTAGAAAGATTAAATACATATCCATTTTTCCCTTATATTCAACAGTAGGTCCACCACCTGGCGTCGGGTGCGTCGACGCTGGATATGCTCCCAAGCCAGCCATAGTACAAACACATTCGCTAAGGATTAGTCCTATATAAATGCGCATTCGAAAAGTAAAAAATACAGGCCACACATACCACAATCGATATAGAAAGGATCTATCCATGAATGCATCAGTTGTGACATACTGGAAATTTTACATACAATTTCTAAATTTATAAATAGTGAAATGTGCATGTAGATAGATGTGTGCATGTGTGGGTGCATGCATGCATGCATATATACATATACATATACATATACATATACATATACATATATATATATATATATATATATATATATATATATATATATGTATATATATTGCTAGAAATATGACTTACATTTACTGGCCACATATTTTCAGATATCAGAAATAATATAGAAAATATTGGCACCCATTTCAGTTTTTTAATTGTTTCACCCATACAGTCGGCCGCTTTGCTGTAGGGCAATCTTAGATAATCGCTAAACGTCTTGTAACTGTAGTATGGACCTATGTAATAAATATTTATTTTGCTATTTGAAGGAAATGAGAGTTACAAATAAAGAAGTTCATATGTGACAAATAAATATTAAAATTATATACACAAATAGCTATTTAGCAAAGCAATATATATATATATATATATATATATATATATATATATATATATTATAAAACTAAATAAGTAAAGTTCAATTATATTAAAAGATATCTTATATAATGACTTTTATATGAAATTAAAGTAACTTCAAATTTATTGTAGTTTTGTAGATTATTAAATCAACAGCAATAATTTTCTAAGCTTATTTCAAAGCAAAAACGTAGTTATGTAAATGTACCATACTTGAAATAATAATCATTAGTTCGAATAACAAGATTAATAATTACCAGTTAAGACCCCTATATAATTAAATCCATAATGAAACATTTCAATGAATGTTGGATTAATTTCTGATGAATCATGATCTTGTTCTTTCTTAGCTACCAGTTTTTGTGTGTGGGATTCGTTGACTTCAAATGCCAGTCCAACGAGCTGTAAGTAAAAAACATCATAATTCGACATGCACATTTATTCATAATATGTGTTTATTTTGTACAATTTCGCATACCTTTAATGTCAAAATCATTTGAATGAGATTAGTATGAGCTGGTGGATACGGGATACCAAACCATGTGGTACATCGAAAGAAAAATAGGTATAGGAACATAAATGTAAAACTTACTAAGTGACATTTTCTGTAATAGATATTAACTTTTATTCAAGCAAGTGTAGTTGGTTTTATGCTTAATATTTATTGAGCGAATTTATATACCTTTTATCAACGAATAGAATTATAAAATTATTTATAATAGCGCTCAACAGAGGATGTAAGATATGAACCCCGGACACAATGAAAACAATTAAGAACCCACAAGCCGTTCCAATCCATTTCTTTAATGCAATATTATTAAGGTATTTTCGGTAGTAGTGACCAGATCCGATACATAAAAACAGTATTGACATATAAATAATATCATCCACATTCATTTTGAATTGACTGCTAAAAAACGCATGAAATGATTTGACATTAACTGAAATGTCAAAAGGTCAAAACCATGTCAAAATTTATCGGAATTTTTACGGTTGCCATAGATGGCGCCAATTTCATTAATAATAAATTTTCGAAAAAACTTTTTATGTTTAGATATTATTTTATTTTATTATAAACAAGAAAACGGTTATAAATATATCATTTTTACCAAATTCATAAATAATAAATATATACATAGAAAAATACAACAGCATTATTTACTGAAAACCGATATAAACATTATCCGTATTGTGTTTTGATGTAAAAACATAGGGAGGGCAGTTAATTAATTTATTGAATAATTTAGAATAGTTTATAACTATGAATGTGAGTAATTCAAAATATGTCCTCTTTTATATATAATAAATAAATAATTAGTGTTCTTCATGTGCTATTGAATATATCCATAATTTACATAGTCAATGATTCTGTCAATTTATGGTATACAAGGTTTAACAATAATTTTTAAATGAAAAGTTATGAGATTAATAAATTGATGTATGAAATATTATATTAATATTAAAATGTCGAAGTATAATAAGTCAATGGTAAGGAGTTAATACATTTTATTTGTGAACTGCCATAAATTGTGCAAAATAATATTTTTGCTCCGTCATTATTATCAACGGACCTGCATTTGTGCCTTTATATGCCTTATATTCGAACCTAGCGTTAAAATATTGTTTTGAATTATTCGACTATTTCTATAAAAGAGAAAAATCGTACATATTGTGAGATATTATTTTAAATAAATAAATATATTCTTTACATATTTAAAATATAACCTATAATATAAAATGTCAAAATATGAATTGGCTGAAAAACGATTTGTAAGTTAATTTATAAGATATACTGTGAGAAAATTTGAAATTTTATTTGTAATTAAAGGTGCTCAGAGTTCAGACATCGGAAGGTACAAAACGCCTTGATGTTAAACCTAATGACACTACATCTCAGCTGTTTGAAAAAATCCATGATTTATTTGAATTGAGTGGCTTTGCATTTGCTCTATATCGAGAAAAGAATAATCAAAAAGAGGTTTGAACAAATTAACTTATTCATTATATTCACGTTATATAAATATATTATTTAATATTGTTTTTTTTATTAGATTATATCAAGTAAATCTCGAACATTGACTAGCTATGACTTAAAACATGGGGACATGCTGTACTTAACACCAATAAATGGTGCCAAAATTTTTTCTCAAACTACATTAAGTAACGCAAAGGTACAAAAAACTATTATTATATATTAAGTGAGCGTAAATTCTTACAATTCTTTAAACTAATAAAACATGTTTATGTTTTGTTTCAATATTATTTCTGTGTGCAACATTATTTTTATACTTTATATAACAAATACTTTATATCAAAATATTTATGCCTTTTTAAAAAGTTTTCTTCTTCATATACATTATTAAAAAAGTATTCTTTTTACTTCTATACTGTTGCATTAAAGACAGTTGTATTACCTTTCAATTTATATATTTATTGAAATTACAATTTTTAGCAAATGCCTTATCAACATTTAGTTGAATTAATGCTATTATATTTTTCAATCTTAATGATATCAGGAAAATAATACCCCCTTTGGTGAACCAATTCATGAACCTAGCACTTCGAGTTCTTCATCACAGAATTTAAATCATGCTCCTGTTGAAGATGATGTAGATATTCAACTAACTAAAATAGATGGAAGAATTGAAAGAGGACGAGATGATAAATTGTAAGTTTTTTTTTTATAAACTTTCAAATTGTTATTAGAAAGGGTTATGTATTCTTGGTGTCTCTTTAGTTTGCAGTTACTAACTACAATTTCATTTATTATATATCGCTATCCACAAACCTGTGAGTCACCTAGGTATTTCTTAACCACTTTCTGAATCATCTATAATTACCTATAGACGGTTTAGTAGTTAAACAAATCGTACAGGATTTACTGAAACTGTTTAATTATAAGTAATATTTATATGTACTTGGTTCTTGAATCTAAATATGAATAATTATGAATGAACACTGTATTATCTATAGCAAGATGTAGTATGATCTTTAACACAACTAACATATTAGGGTTTGAGCCAGCCATCTTTTAGGTCAGTAACTCAGTCTTCGACATTTTTGACTCTTGTTTGTAGGGGCTGTCCACATGACAATGACTTATTGCCGTTTCTTTCTCCCTGTCACAACAGCTGTCCTCTATTCTTGAAATGGCTAGATCCTCAAATAATTAGAATTTACCAGAGTTGTTAATGGAATGGTTTCTTTAACGCATTGATCCCCATTGACCATATATTTAGGTGCTGTTATATATGCATTAGATGTTTGCTTTCATGTTATAATTATATTATTATAATTATAATTGTCATGTTATAAACAATCTAAAGTATATTTTGATCGTCTTTTTGATACATTTTAAGATAGAATTAGGAAAAAATTCTTATCTGACCGTTAAATCCAATTTCCAAAATTCGAGAAATGATCCAATATAAAAGTAATTTTTCGTTTATATTTATTGCGTAATAGATGTTGATTAGACCGATCGCGTTAATTGTCAGTTCCTCACGTCGAAAAAGCAAAAAAAAGTGGAAAGTCAAACTTTGATAAATATGCTTAAAATAATAATAAATTAATGCAAAAAGAAAAGACCAAAATAAACGAACAATACATCATATTCACGAAAACAACGTTCTATTATGCGATTTAATTGAATCTAATTAGTAAGTCAGTACAAAAAGATACAAAGAAAGTGTTAACCATAGGGTGATTACATAAAATCAACATATTTGATAGAGAGGGTCATATGCATTTAGTTGTTGTCCATGAATCTATGAATCGAGATGAAAAAAAGAACTGATACCAGTAATAAATGAAAAAAAATCAAATAATAAATAATAATATTAAAACTGATGCAAACAATAATGATAAATAACTTATAAAATAGAATAATCACTAATAAGTTTGCTGGTCTTGTGTGAAAAATGTTCAACATGTTGTAGTCAATAATAAATGGTAGTCCACCCGAAGGCAGGTCCCTGGTGTGAGAGCACCACAAAATCAATGATTCTAATTGCTTTCCTTGTTTATCATTGTTGTTACTGTTTCATTTCTACTTTTCAAACTTCTGCTTCCATGTTTCCTGGGACGCCCATCCTTTGTCATTCACTACCCCACATTTCATTCACTACCCCACATTTTCTCTTCTCGCGTAGGTCATCAATCATCTGCATTCTTCTTTTTTCATTCTTCTTTTTTCCGCTTTTACCTTTGACGATGTTGTGTACAAGGTATTCTTTTTGCAGAATGGGACCAATCCAGTTTCGTCTTCTCTTCAGGATCGTGTTCAGTTCTTTCAGTTCAGTTTCTCCCACCATTCTTAGTACTTCTTCCATTCCATATTGTCTACCCACATTGATAATTCTGTTGATCATGTTTTGTAGTTCGCTTTAAGACTTCGATATCACCATGAGGTCATCTGCGTAATTCACAGTAGTGATTCTTTTACCTCCAATTGAAAGATCTCCTGCTCCTTCAAGTGCCTCGTTGACGAACCAATATTCGTACAAGTTTAATGAGTTATGTTTTTGTATATATGAAATTAAAAAGAAACTGAACAAAAAATAGAACTGATGTCACTATCAATGCAAAATTTCATATGATCTGTCGCTTAGTTGGAACTGCATCCAACAGTAGTTTTGGCCATAATTAATTAAATGTAATGGTTTCGGCTTACACTACTTGTATTGCTGACTACATATACTTTGATACCCATGTCGTAATGAATGTTTATTATCTTTTATTAATGGATATATTTGAAATTTTTAAGTATGGGCGTTGAAAACGATCAAGTTACTTGTATATGGGTTAGATTTGAACATAACATATGATCATTTAATTTTGAACAATACTAACCTATGATCCTATGTATTGTTATTATATGTAGATAATAAGTGAATGATTTTAATATTTTTTTTAAAATAACTTATTATATATTGGAACTATACCTTGATTGTTTTATTTTTTAGTTTTAAATTTAATTACCAACACAAATTGAAGCTCTCAAACTATGCTTTATTAATTTCTTAAGTGTATTTTATATTAATTGAATTTCAAGGTGTCGTCACAATTCAAATGGCTGCTGTGTGCATTGCTCACCTATTGAACCATGGGATGAAGCATATTTGAAAGAGCACAAAATAAAGCATATGTCTTTTCATTCATTTATGCGTAAAATGACTTCTGGTGTTGATCGTGGAAAGTTTCTGGCCATGGATGACATTTCTTGTAGCATTAAAGTTGGTAAGAAACAATTTTTGTACAAATATTTTACTACTACTTTAATATTTTACTTACCATAATTGGAGTTCATATATAATTAGTACGGAACTTAAAAAATTATTTTTTAAAACCTGATCATTTTTACTGGATTATTAAAGATTTTCTTGAATTAAAGAAATCTACAAATAGGTACCAAACATGAAATACATAAAAGTTATAGTTAATAAATGTACATTAATTATGTGTAATGTTACATTATTATGTAACATTTGATAACATTGCAAGGCAATATTTTAATTGTTAGAAAATGTTAAAATAATGCTAGTTAAAATTTGTAGGATGTCGAGAGCATCCACCCTGGCCAAAAGGCATATGTTCAAAATGTCAACCATCTGCTCTAACTTTAAATCGTCAAACTTATCGTCATGTTGATAATGTTATGTTTGAAAATGCTGCAATAGTTGAACGATTTCTAAACTATTGGCGTTCAACTGGACACCAAAGGATTGGATTACTATATGGCATGTACGAAATGCACAATGATGTGCCGCTAGGTAAAATAAATTACAAATGTACATTGTAAATCTTGCATGAGTTTTCTTAGTTAATTTATAAAAGAAAAATTGATAGCTACTATTATCTGGATTATCAATGTCCAATGTCATCCGTGTCATGCAAGCGTTACTATTTTTCAATATTTTTTACTAGGAATAAGAGCGAGAGTTGTAGCTATATATGAACCTCCACAGGAAAGTACAAGAGATAGTGTTACTTTATATCCTGATTCAAAAGCAGAAGACCTTAAAATTTTAGCACAACAATTAGGTTTAACTGCTGTAGGCTGGATATTTACTGATCTCATTGCTGAAGATGCTTCTAAGGTAAAATAATTGGTACTAGTACAGGCATTGTTTAGTTATCCTTATTATCCTTAATTATTATGATAATTCAATAAAATTCTAACCTTAGATATTGCTCATGAGAGAAGTTAATCTTGACATTAAGCAGATATTCACTTAAAAATAAATATGATTCAAATTTAAAATATTTTGTTCAAGAGCAGTGATTGCAATGAGAAGTCACTAGCACTATGTCACATATAATAATTGAATTATACTCCAAGGTTTATAAACTTTATTTTTTAACAAGCTTAACCCTTTGAAGACGAGCGCCGCATATATGCGTTTAATTTAATGCAAATCATCAAGTTGGCCGAAGGATTTATATGTACATTTGGCGAAGGCAGTTGTTAGAGTCTGAATACAAACCAATAGCCGAGAAGCTCAATATTAATAAAACAAACTAAATAGTTAATGAACAAATAAACATTTTATTCATTATATGGAAAATATGTGTATATAAATATAAAATATATGCCCGGAATTTGAATTGGAGCGCTAAAATTTGAGTTAGAGTGCCCCAAATATGCTTTGTGGCATATGTACTGTTCACTTCGAACCGTCCCGTTCTCAAAGGGTTAACATGATCAACATTGAAACATCATGTTGTAGCTTTTAGTGATTTTTTAAAAATATATCACATAATTTAATATATATTTTTTTCTTTAATAGGGCACTGTAAAACATGTTCGAGGTATAGATAGTCATTTCTTATCTGCTCAAGAATGCATTATGGCAGGTTATTTTCAAAATGCTCATCCAAATGTGTGTAAACATGCCTCCAATAATTATTTTGGATCTAAATTTGTCACCGTTTGTATCACTGGTAAGAACTTTAGTTTGTTGGTTTTACTCGTAGACATAATTTTACCCTCTAGTGCAGTGGTTTCCAACCATTTCGTACCGCGCTCCCCCTCAATTTTTTTTAACAATCTAAGTTTATAAATACTCTGATCTTTCAGTTGAATTCAGTTATCAGACTACAAATAATATGAAAGACTGTAAAATATATAAATATGTCATAAAAATGAATATTTATTCATTAATTTTTTGTCATTTCAAGGTTTTTGCTTTATTCTTTGTTAATATTATTTTGAAAGCAGCTGTACGTCCCCCTTGCGGCAACCTCGCGCCTCCCTGAAAGGTTGCGCCCCACATTGTCCAAATATTCCACAAAAAATATAAAGAACAAATGATTTACTACTTGAAACATAGTCAAATGATAGTTCTAATGTATAAAAATGAAATTAACTTGTTTCTTGAAATGATCATGATATTGTTCAAATACAATATATTCCATTTAATAATTATTCTAACACTTGAATTACTTTTTATTATGATATGTTATTGAATTTATTGTTTGAAAGATTATTCCATATTTTTGTTCTAGTAACATTTTTCACATATGGGTATCAAGTAAAAACAGTAGAATAAGGAATGATGTTATAACAATATGTATATTACTTAACAAATAACATAAATTAGTAATGGTTAAATAATTGAAATTCTCTTTAAGGTGATAAAAGTAATCAAGTTCATATGGAAGGATACAGTGTTTCTAATCAATGTATGGCATTGGTTCGTGATAATTGCCTTATTCCAACTAAAGATGCTCCTGAATTAGGTTACGTTCGCGAGTCTTCCGATAAGCAGTATGTTCCAGATGTCTACTATAAGGTAAGTTTTTTTTTTTTTAATTTAACTGCCCATTTAAATCATCATTTAATATCTATTTCAAATATCTAAGGAAAAGGTTGTATGTTACATTGTGACTCCTATAACTTGAACTCATAGTTGTTCCTAAGTAAGAATGAATATTTCAACAATTCTTGGTTGATGATCAATTTGACTGCAACATTGGCATTTACATATATTTATTTTATTGTTTTTGCATAATAAATTTTGCATTGAAAATTTCAAATTAATCAGGGGATAGTATATTGTTGAACTCACAGGTGTGTTGTTTATGTAAAAACCAGCATTTCCTAAAATTATTGATTATCAATTTAGACTTCCAATATTGGTATCCACATATGTTTATTATTGTGCATTACTATCATATTTTTTCGGTATATGAATATAATATCTAAATAAAAGGTTGTCTATTAGACTTTCTAAATTATGTTGTCTTTTGTCTCAGATCGTATCGGGTTCATTTGGAAAGTATAGGGTTAAATTGATTCTCCGCATTTACTCGAAAGCACCAGTACTAATTTACTATCACTAATAATTTATTTATGAAGAACATTGAACAGAATTTTTACAAGACTTATAAGCGAAAAGAACATATAGAACGTAAAATATAATATATAATCGAATAGTGAAGTTCTTACTGAAAGTCAGTAATTTGGATTAAAAAATTGATCCATTGAAAAATTTTTTTTTTATTCTTAAACAGCTTTGTTATTTTAAATCACATTGTATTATCACTCCCCCAAAAGTATAACTACAATATGCTGTCCCCATTTTGACATAAAATAATAAGGTCACCTTATTATTATTATTTGTTGAATGAATACAAAACCTTACTTATAAGCTACTCAGTTAGCAATATCTTTGATTTTATACCTTCACTGATTTGGTTTCTTAATCCAAGTTAAAAGCAAATCCATCTGTTATATTACAAAAATTTCTTTGCGATTGATTAGAGCCTAGTTATGCCATTTGTGAAACAATAGCCCATATGATATAAATATAATCTATAATTTTTTTTTCACGGTATATCCATTTCATCATGCCACTTACAATGTTATTATAAGGAGTTGTTTTCGCTAATTTCATCGAATTGCATTGCATAAATAATCAGTAATATTATGGCCAGAAAACATAGATTGCCTACAATCAAAGAATGAAACAATCGATTATACATCAAAATGCTTTATTATGTATCTACCGGTTTTGACTAGCCTAAAAACAATAAACTTCAATAGATAACTATATACAATATCGCAGTTAGTTAAACCTGTGAGGAAAAATTAAATTTACCATAAATCCAATAAATGGAATTTCGAATTCAACTACATATTGAACTGAAATTTTTTCTCAGATTATATGTTTCAGAAACATAGATCAATAAATAAAAATAATTCATTTACTTCTTATATTTTTTGCTTTTTACAGTTATTCTGTCACATCCACTATAGGAATTTTCTCTCAATCCTAAATGAAAACTAGTTTTCTGCAATTTACTTTGACTTTAAACAAACTATAATTTCGTTAAAACAAAGTTAAATATTTTTAGTCTGTGACAAGATGCTGCAATCTAAATATCACACATAGATATGAAATTCATAATATACATATAGAAAGATTTTGGAATAGTTTAACAATGTTACAAGTTACTTCATCGCTGATTCACTGCAAAAAATATTATATTTTTTAAAATAAATTTATAAAGGATGCATAAAAAAATATTCGTAAATGTTGAATTAATATTAATAATTATGTCAATTGATTTGACGCAAATATTTTTCATATATGTTTACAGGCTTTGTCAGATGTGATGATAATTTGATCGCTAAGTGGCTCTCTGTGATGAAATTTGTTACAGAATCGAGCACTCGGATTATATACCCCATACGTTTATTTTAGTCATGCTTGTCGACCTAATTACTAAGGGTTTCTTACCAAATTATCATTACATTGAAACTTAACTTAATATGAATTCCATCATTAAATCATTCATCATAAGTCTTATTTGACTTAGTTGTGAATTTCTATTTTCTAGTAAAAAGAGATAAAATAATGATCTTTGCCGCTTTTAAATTAGATGTGTGTTTAAATACCTAACAAGGTTTAGATTTTAGATTAAGTACAAATGTTGTTTTGACACGGAATGATACTACATACAATTATTATCATTTAATATAATTCATATATATATATATATATATATATATATATATATATATATATACATACATAGTGTGTGTGATGCGCCAATTAATTTTTTTTTTTCGTATTCACATAATTCGAATCGAATATTAAAATATTTCGAATTCACATAATTCGAATCCAGCAAATCACGCTTAAAATATTATTTAAAGGACATTACTACGTCTGTGTAAGCATTTTGTAGTACAGCTCAAGAGACAATCTTCAACAAATAATTACAAATTTGAAAAAAAAGGATCAAAAATTGATCCAATAAAATAAACATTATTTAATATATTTGTTAACGTTTGTGGAATTAAATTTTAATGATGGTAAAAATACGTTTTCAAATTAGTTTGAATAAAATATAACCGAACAAACTTAACCTTTTACTGTAAAATGCAAATTTTTGCAATATCTGTACATATATGCATTCTACGGGTAGAATTTTTTCAATCTATTTTATCCTGAAACACTCACTACATAAAGTTAGTCTCGTACGATTCGCTTAATTCTCGATTGGTTCAAATTGGCACAACACTAAATACGATTATATATATATATATATATATATATATATATACACATACATACATACATACATACAAGTCCACATATTACACACTTAAACGTAGGCATTTATATATTTTATACATAGACAAGAGGTATTTTTATACTCGCACATACTCGGATATTTAAATAAACGTGAAAACACTACATTTTTTTGTTTTGTATTGCAATGGAACAATTTCATTACATTCATTATACATTATACGTTCAAATACATAACACTAAAATGTTAAGATATCTAATAATGTAATGCATCTTCATAGAACGTTTGATACTTGTGAATTCGGATAATATCAGTAGTGATTTATATAAATATATTCAAAATATAAAAAATACCAAACTTTTTCGATGCTTTAAGTACAATTAAAAATGTATTCGATTAGGTTTTATTTTCGTTGCTGCATAAAATTGTCATTCATAGAATATGGCTATTTATAACGTAAATGAACAGTAATGATTGCAAATTGGAAAGACGGCCCTTTGATCACTAATCCATGCCATGGATGCAAATCAAATTTATTACTAAATTTGTATATATAAATCGTATTTATATATACATACATACATAAATACATGCATATATATATATATATATATATATATATATATATATAATATGCGTCGGCTTTGTTCGTGTTACAGACATTAACTTAAAATTTAGAATTGGTTTAAAACCAATTGAAGAATTGTTCTTAAACTTCTATGTTACATTTTATACATATATTATATTATGAATACATACAATAATTAATTGTTTATTACATACAATTCTTATGTCTGAAAACCTGCTCAGTCTGCGATTATACACTTTGTAAAGTTTCAGTGCACAGTTTCATTTGAATGCTACTCTGTTTTTTATTGACAATAATTAAATGATGTTGCAAATGAGAAACTTTATATTTTTAAATCATTTTTCACACTGGAAAATATTATTTTATCCTATAATAAATGACCATATGTGCATACACACATGCATACATTCACATAATAAAAAAAATAACGTATTTCTTCAGCATAGATTTATAAATTATATATTGTAACATTCCAATAAATCTGATGCTTATTCATTAAAGATTATTATCAACTAAATTAAAATGTTAATTTTTAATTTGTTGATAAAATTTATTCAAAAATATTTTTTCGCGTTCAACCCAATGAAAATGAAATGAATTTAAAAAAAAAATCTGAAATAAAATGGATCACACAAGAATTCTGTTTCATGCTAATATGATGGTAATTTATATATGTATATATCCAATTTATTAAACAAATTTCCTTTTTTTTTCTTTTATGCACATGAAGTTCAAGAATTCAGATTAACAGTTTAAATAATATTATATGGCGGGTTTACTATGTAGGCGATATTTCTATAAACTATTACATTTTAATGTTTGTAAGGCACAGGACAGATATTTTGTTAGCAACAAAGTATCCAATAAACAGTTTAATATTTAGATATAATATAGAATTACGGATTTTCATAATATATCCTGATCTACCGTATGTAAAATATAACTGATTTATGTTTAAAATTGATTAGGTAACGTTAGCTTCACTTATAATTTAATTTCAATTTTCGGTTTTACTTGTCTGCACCCTTAGCTTTGACTAAACTTGAAATTATTTCGATTGTAAATCTATCTTAGTTTAGAACAAAATATTTAATCTAGTGTTAAACGTCATTTTTGGTCATACATTCGATTTTGTAATTTATGCGATTCTAATATTAAGTGTATTAAATTAAAACATAATATTCGTAATTTCATTACTAATTATACAAACAAAAACAGTTAAAACAATTTCTTTACAAGATAAACAATAAAGAATTATAATTAGATGGTAAATGAAATTTGTAACTTAACTATGCTCTTTCCTTCAAACCTTTTCCGTTTTATTTTAATTACGAAAAATGTTTTCTTTTACAAAATAAAAATTACATGTAATTAAAGCTTAACTTAAATACGCGACATTAGTTAATAACATTACGTGCAAAAAATGTAATTCAAGTGCACGTTTTCAATTGAAATAAGAATTCGAATTACGCATAGAAAATAATCGCAATAATATATAGGAAAAAAATATTTACAAGTTCCAGTTAAACTGGCCTAGAAATAAATTGACTTAATACGGAAAATGGTGTGTTTTATAACTCAGAAATGATTTATCTGACTGGTTGATTTAGTAAAAAAATCATTATTTCATTTATTCGATAGCTGCTTTCAAAATACTAGGAGCAAGTAGTACGGAAATGCATGAAATAATTAAGCTTATTTACATATTAATCGTTTATATTATCAATATAACACCCATCTTTATATTATCTCTTGTTACATATTCGCACTAGAGTATGACATTTATAGATTTTTTTTATCTCTTACATATCTATTTTTTTTAAACTTCTGCTTATTGTTAAGCAACTATACCGATTAAACTAGAATTGAAAAAAAGTCTAGAATAAGCGACGATTTTTCAATTACGCACTCATTCAGACCGATTTGTATGATATTAGAGAACTAGCACATGGTGACTTCAAACAATGTCAATAGCATGATATAATATCAGTTTAATTTCATATTGTTTATAGATATTTAACAACAAGTTCTCCATTGTGCGCGCCTCGATATTTATTAATTTTCATATTCGCTTCGTTTTTTAACGAAGTCATAAATATGATTTTTTTATATTCGGCATTTCTCGCTACGTTATTAAAATATAATAAGTTTTGTTAATCTACATATCACCAGAGAAGAGAAACATTTAGTACGGGCATGTACAGCTATAGACTATCAATTAATTCATAGACAAAAAAGCTATTAAGCATCCGATAAAACTACTACTTAGTTTAGACACTTTTAAAATCACGGTTTCAAGCAACATTTACTTTGGTAATTTGTATATATTATTTGTATTTTATATAATAAAATATATTATATTTTTCATCGTGTACATACTATTTTTATTTATATAGAATTTGTAATAAAACAACTTCATCCATAGCTTAAATTCATGTACATGTAAATATATATATATATATATATATATATATATATATATACACATACACACACACGTATATATAAATATATATATTTGTGTATATATTGTATGTTTTAATACGTTCAACATTAAACTAATAATCGTATTTTTTTTATCAGTTTTATATTGCATTTAATCTTTATCGAATCCATCAGTTTTAAATTATAGCAATGGATGTGTTTTGCGCGAACTTTCATTTGCTCCGTAGTAGTAAATATATTACACTTCTTTATTCAAAATTCAGTAAAACTATGTGTATCTCTTAACTAATTACTTGGGATTAAATCATAACCTAATTACGTACATCGATTACTAAACTCTGAAAATATATATAGATTTGCGCCAAACACAACGTACTTATGTTAACCTGAGATTTAAACTACTATTTGATTTTCAGTTTTCTAATCGCGTAGAAAACTTCATATTTTTCATCGTTATAAACATAAACGTCCGACCGGAATAATAAATGCATACTTGCAACCGCCCAAAACATTTAAATAAACAATCGTTTGAAAATTTCGTAAATACAAACTCTTATCACATTTTATCTTAAGCCACTCGTTTTTGAAATCAAATATTTCTTAGGGACTAAAGTTAAAGAAAATCGGAACTAAAATTAGAAAAAAAAGCCCATAATTTTGGCGACTCTATTGCTCATAAAAAGAATTGTTATAGTCTCTATTTTTGTGATGTCATATAATTCAAATTCAATTAATGAAACTAAAAATGATATTTCGAAAATCTTTTAGGAAATTTCTAGGAAGTTATTCGGTATCCTCTGTCGAAATAAATGAAAAATAAAAATATCTAAATTGGTACGTGGTCGCCCAAGAAAATTTACTTCATATGCGAGGACATTTACGAAAGATGTTACCGATCATCGTGTGCTTCGAATTAATTTTTAATTTATATATTTATAAAACTAACCGCTTCCCGCTTTTATCAAAGTATATAAAAATCAATCGATCCTCTGTTTTCTAATAAATTAAATGTACGTATAATATTTTTCTCTATATTTACAAATATATTTTTGTCTATATAATAAAAAAATATGGTATTTTCGTATTTCGTTATTTGTTTTTGACCGCGCCCGTGCTATAAATTCATAATTAAGATCTAAAGACAAACAAAAAAACATCCGATTTTTTTCCATTTCGTTGGAATCTCGTTTCATTTTATCGTTCAAAATAAGCGCATTTTTTGCGGATTTAATCCGCATGATTAAAAGTATTAACATAGTCTATTTTTTTAACTTCGATTAACAATAATAAAATATATGCTTTTCTATCAACACACTCCCACATTTGCCATTAATAGAGATACAAATATAGACATAACGTCTTGTTTATATTATATATATATATATATATATATATATATATATATATATATATATAATAAACGACACAGACTTTCTTTATTTATAATATACTTAAATGAAATATCGAGTTAACTCTATTTGTTTGAAATGATACCATACTACAAATTTTCTTATTTGTGATTTTATCATCTTAAATGCAATGTTTACGAAATCATATGCTTAAAATTTGACTTTAATAAGTGATCCCCAGTACATTACGTTTAGATATATATATTTTTTAAGATACATGTAGTAATAACGATATGTCGGGAAACCGAAATGGGAATGAACTTTAAAATCGCTTGAATATGTTTTTAACCCTGCTAACAACGTTTTCTGAAAATTATTCAAGTCATGCTATGATAATTATTTATTTATACATGCGCACGACTAGCGCCTGTTACGATCATCTTAATATTTAAAAATAAAATGAAATGTCTAACTTTATATCCAAAACGTATTGATAATGTGATCCATTTGTTGAACTTCAAACTATAAGGATCTGTAGCATATTTATGCACACACATACATACAAACATATACACGCATACGCACGCACATATATATATATATATATATATACATACGTACACACACACACACATATATATATATATATATATATATATATACATACATACATACATACAATTGACGGAATAAGAATATATACATTTAATAAGATCTTACGTTTGAAATATAATTAGATAAAGTTAATTGAAAAGATAAAAGAATGTTTGCCGTATATTTATCTTACTTGATTCCCAAAACGCAATGGTTCATCAATGGCGGAACACCGTGATCAGTTAAGTTTTCCGCAACTTGCTATAACTACACTGCTTTGAGGCTTTCCTGCCGAATCACCAGACTGACTTATCCTCTCAACTAAATCCAGACCTTCGACAACGAATGCGAAAATACCAGTAAATCCGCGCATTTCCCTGAGAATGATTCTGAATTGCGATCCGACTAGCCCGAGATTATCGTGCCTCTTCTGTGATCTCCGCATTCCTACGCTGCCTCGTATGGCTAAAATTTTAGTGTCATCGGGCATGAAAAAGCCCTCCTCGAATACTGATCGTCCTCCTCGTCCATTGTTCAACTCGAAATCACCCGTTATTATGCTTTCATTTTCCCAACATTGGAACACATTGCAACCTTTATATCCGATTCCTAAATCACCTGTGCAAAGTAGGCTGAAATTTTTCGCCATTTTTGGAGCGACATCCGAACGAACTTCTATTAATATCCGTCCAAAAGGAGTACCGTTTATTTCGATGTTAAAGTAGAATATTGGATATGCGTGTGAAGGGTTTCGAATCATGGGCTGTTGAGGCGAGTGGATTGGTTGAAGTTGTTGCTGTTGAGCTCCGTTTGGAGAAACTAAAGAACTTTGAGACGAATGCACTTGTTCATGAAGATAGTGACTTCCCGGTTTGTTGGTGGTCTCAGGAAAACCGATACTTTGGGTGTTACTAGTCGCGCTTTTCAGCGCTTGCAGATGAGCTGCAGCCGCCATAGCGTTATCTGTGCCGTGGTAGTTATTCGCAGTTGTGGGCTTTGGCGATTGTGCAGATGGCAGCTGCAGCATCTGAGGCATAGAATACTCTGAGTTACCATTTTGGCAAACTTGTTTTGACGATAGATAATGCCTCGAATATAACTGCGACATACAATAATTTGCTAAGAGCAAAATAGGATTTGGTCCGTTCGGATCACAATGCGGTCCATTTGTTAAACCACTTATGTCGTTATTATGAATCGAACTTAGAGCTTGTTTGAGGAGTTCGAAATCGAACAAAACTGCAGAATGTCTTATGAGATCATCCAATTTACATTGGAGATACATATCTTGGTATCTTGCTTGTAAACGGTGCCGTTCTGTACTGAGATCAGACAAGAGTCTGTACAAATCAGCTGGGCTTTGGGTTTCGGCTAAATTAAGATACATCTTCGCTTTTCCTAGCCCATCTCTTGCGTCCGCTAATTCGTAGCTTGGTGTGTGGTTCACTAGGTCGGTCTCGACCTTAGTCTTGAGGGTCGTACAGGCGTCGAGAATTTTCAATAGAAAATCGCGTTGTTTCAGAACCAAGTGCTGCATATCTGCAAGCATTTTGTGCATGGTTGCGAGCTCAGCTTGCGCATCTGCTCGCAGCACTTCTTTGGCCTCCGCATGAGGTTTTACCTGGTGGCCCGAATGTTCTGGTGCAGTGGCGCAAGCTCTGCAGGTTTGTCCTTGGCAGCTCAGACACCAAAGCGTGTAAGGCATGGCGTGCGTATGACAATTTTCGGATGGGGTATTGTTCGATTTCATTTTGGGCGCGTGCGGTTTATTCTCTTTCGTCGAATGCATCGACAGCGTGCTCAAATTCTGAGTGAGCGCCAGAACGGCGGTATAAGTAGGCATATTGTCTGGTTTATCATCCGTTCGCTTCCAACAATGCATGCAGTACAATTCGCGCCCTTTCAATAACACCGTGTTGATGCATTTTAAGCAAAAATGGTGTCTGCAAGCCAGCAACTTCGGAATTTGGTCAGTTTCGTTGAACGGCAAATTGCAGCAATTGCACAGCGTCAGATCTTCGAGTTCGGATAGACCGCCACCGGCGGACTCCATCTGGACCAAATAGAGATGACGATGAATTAAAAATGCTTTCTAATGCTAGTGCTAGATCTCAATGAATCTATTTCAAGTCAATCGCCATTTCAAAGTTTAAAAAATTATTCAGTTCTCGAGCAAAATGATGAAAGTAAAAAACATTAATAATAAAAAAAATCTTAAAAAACGTATTTCACGATTTTCGAGAATTGTTTATTTCTATAAATAATTACTTTTTTATTATCCATAAGATTCATTATTTTATGCCATAGTTATAAAGCCAAGAGTAATTAAGCATTAATTAATAATTATGCAATAAACCTCCTTTGTCCAATTTTCCACAATTTATCCATGCACGTCTTTAAACGTAAAATTTTCTTTTCAATACGAGTAATTATATTAATCCAACTTCCTCATATTTTAAAACTTATGTTATCAGAGTAGAAACAGATTTTTCGGCAAAGCGTCAATTCTTATGGTAAAATGATATATTTCCGTTGCTACGTAATAATTCATCGGTTAGTTAAACCCATAAATAAAGTTATTTATAATATGTATTTTCTAGTTATACCTGGCTCTGTTTAAACAAATTTCTAGGTGTTTTTGCCAAACTCGAAATCTATCAGTTCTAGTTGAAACGCTATATTGAGATTAAAAAATAATAAACCATTATAAATATGTTTGCAAATGCTATATTATGCGTTTATCTTTATGTTATGTTTGATTCGTGCGATCGGGAATTTCCGGTGTATGGGTCGATACGAAGTTTTATTATTGTAGATCGCGATTATATTATTATTATTATTGATAAAAATTAATTGGTAAAAACAATCAGAAATACCACATATTATATGAACAAACAAAAATTGTTTACATGCTGAAATAACTTCAAACATAATGCGCCCTCATATTTCGCAACAAGTGTGAGTCTTTGTCTCGGCTGTCACATACGTCATTCATATAGAATCAATAAAGGTCTTGTAAACTGTTGAAATATCTCAACTAGGCATACGGTAACTAAATAATTAGATATTACGATACCTATTGCCGACAATAGAAATGAAATTTACTCTTCTTGGTGTCCTTATCTACTGTTATTGTAAAAAAACTCGATTTAATGCACATTTATGTTGACATATATTGAATGACAAGATGACATTTAGTAACAGTTTTTTACAATTTATGCCTACCGTTTCTTTCACCTAGGCGTCACTGTAGTATGTCACACATTTGTGTTTTTATATAAATTATTTACACCAACTCGATTGTGTTTTTCGTATGACGACAACGACATGAACAGAATTTTTTATACTTATGTTTAAAAACGATATTACTGTATGCTATTATCACGGTTCTTGAAGCATTATGATTTTCTATTTTTTTGCTCCATTGCACCGCACTGTTATTTTATTTCAAAACTAACTAAATAAATTTTTACGAATTAAAACAAAATCGATGTGTTCTGCCACATCATTTTACTTTTTGTGTACAGGCGCCGCCATGTTGTTTCAACTATTGTCTTTGAAGGCGAGAGATGGAATTTTTGTCAGTTTTTATTTTATTAGAAAGTTTCCACGAAGAGTTATATTGAATTTTCAACGTTTGTTAATGATAAATATTTAGCAGTCGGATATTGTTATTGTCGCTGACATTCCTGCCATCAAACTAAACTTATTTATACTTGACATTGAAGTTAAAGTTCAATGTTAATACAGGCGCCATCTGCACAATTTCAGATCTATAATTGCATTTGAAACATTATCTTTTATATGAAATTTTTAACTTTCTTAACTTTGTTATAATAATTTTCTATTTTTTATTCTAAATAACATCATCCAATATCAGTTTTATTACATTTTCTTCCGCCAGATAAAAATGATAAAGAAAGACGTTATTTAGGCTGCTTCCGTTACTGGTGTTATCCCTTGATCTCGTAAGTTTTATATTTATACAAAAAGTCCTATTAAGAAAAAAATGCTTATTTCTACCATTTAGATTTTTAGTATAGTATGTATATTACATTCTGACATATTTTCGGCAGAGCTGAACTGATTTTGGTGATTTAAAAATATTTGTTTACGCTAACAATGAGCAGAGTTCAACGATTTTTAATAATGACAGGTTTGGAGTTACAGGGATAAAAGTCCTAAAAACGGCTATTTTGGAGGCAAAAATACTAATTTTACAAGTGTGGGGCGAAAATACTTTTAATGTGACACGATGTGATTTGCATAATTACTATTATTTTTTATTCATTTATTTATATGGCTTCAACCGTAAGGTTGCACAATTACTAAATTTTCATATTTTCACAGCTGTAAATTTACGCAAACTGTTATCAATTATTAATGATATTTATGAATAATGATTTCTATATAAATTTTTAAAACATGTATATCCTTTCTCATTAAATTTTGAGCTTCGTATAATAAATGCATTAGATTGTCCGCATTCTCTATGTAATTTTTTTTATCAATCTGCATATTTTAATCTTTCAAGTTTTTTATATAAGGTAGAACGGGGCGGGTAAAAAGGTCCATCACCGGTATTTCAAAAACCAGTGAAGTAGGAATTTTTTAACAATTTTTGAAAATACACTTTAATAAAATTTTAAAGTATATGTTATTCAATTCTTTTATAAAACGTATTGTTAATTTTAAGTTAGATTTAAAGGTTTTTTTATATAACCGCTAAAAGGTGGTTAGGTAAAAAGGACCAATTGAACCCTTAGCCTGACAAAGGTGTAAACAATAAAAAATTAAAAACGAGTTGTGTGTGGCATCGTGCCTTAAGGCAAATTGCTGGAACTTCCCGCAGCGTAACAAAATGTTCAAGGAATATTCAATGTTTTTAAATAGATTATTATAAATACTGTAACATTGTCTATATAAATATAATTCTTATAAATGAATATTAAACTGAATTACCAAGTTAAAATTATTTATTTAAAGTATATGATTGAGCTTTAGAACTTAAGCCAGAATTAAAATTAAAATCTGAATTATTTTCAATATACAAAAAAAATTTTTTGAAAAATTTTTGAAGTTTATTGAATTATTAAAAAACGGATGCTATACCTGCCTTTGCCAAAATCTAATCACCAATTTTCCTCATCATTACGGATTGAATGTTTTTCGGATCATTCAAATCGGATGCTCCGTTCTCTCAAAAACTCAATTTCTATTTTATTCACTCTTTGCTCCGTAACGGCTGGACCTGCATTTGCCAAAAACTAATCAGCACATCATTCCTATCAATAAGAATCGAATGTTTTTTGTACGATTCAAATCGGTTGATCCGTGCGCCCGAAAACGTGGATAAAAAATTTCGGATACACAAAACACACACACAGCCATTTGTCTGTGGTATGCCAAAATGTTCAGAAACCTCTGAAACGTGAAGATATGCAAAAAATTTTAATTTCGATTTTCCCCATTACTATAACTTACCCTACGGGAAGTTAATAAAAATGTAAATTAAGTTAAAAAAGTAATTTTACAAGATATAAATTTAATAAATAGTTATTCCAACTCTGCTGATGAATATCTCTGACGAAATACCAGATCAAGGTTATTTACAAAGTTGTTTGTACAAAATGCACATGAGAAATTTGAACTCGAAATTTATTGAAGATTTTTCATACATGGTATTTATATTTGATACAGCAATCATTAAACATTAATTATATCAATAATGTAACTAATAAACTAACTAGTGAGTTGCCTATGTAGGTGAAAATCTCAGTCCTTTTTTGAAACAATATTAGTTATTTTGTGATGCGCGACTGTAGAGCTAAATTTGCAAGTGTTTCAAAAGATAAGCTGATAGATTAAACTGATTTGACTACCCCATGGTTAAGTTACCAAAGACATTTATGTGATTTTAATACAGGAATCCTGAGTACCCAAACTCGTGAAAATAAGAATGTAATCTTATTTTTTGTAGGATGTTTTGATTATAAGTTAAGAAATCATTTCTTAACTATTGTAAATCAAAGCAATTTTTATTATATTTATATTAAAAGTTTGCTCAACAGTTAATTTTGCAATTTTTCTGTCAAGGAATATTATCCGATTGAGTGAGAATGTATATTGAGAAAAAGTTAATTTTGTTTTAAAAGTGCAAAGATTTTGTGTATTACATATTACATAATGTTTTTTTCAGCTTCGAATTATGTTTGAAAATATAAATTATTTTATACTTTGTTAAGGTCTTAAAAATAATTGTGTTCTACAGGAGAAAGATTGTTATGGCAACGAAGTATTGCGCCTAGCTAGACCCCTACCTGTTGAATACTTGCTAGTTGATGTGCCTACTTCAACTCCCTTGGTGCCTCAGTTCACGTTCAATACTTTACCGGATAAAATTGAATTTCCAATTGAAAATCGAATGTTGGATGGTCATTTGCAAGATTTTAACGCTATTGTTCAATATTTCAACCAGTTTACAACAAATGAATTTTTAGAGGTAACTGAAAATGCAATAATAAATAAATAAATTAGACATTGCGCAATCTCGATATTTTCAAATCCTTAGGCCATGTCCGATTTTCATCTGTTGTTGTATATTACTACAATGGATATGCTACCGTTAGGTTCTTGCATTGGACCTCTGCTCACAGCTATTCGCACAAATAATCGGCAACTAGCACAAGAATGGAGTACCTCTGAACATTGGGCGACAATGGAACAACTTATAGCAGCCAGCGGAAACTCTCCACCTAACAGCAGGTTTATTTTTTAAATCGGTATCAGTAAATAAGTTAGTTTTGCCACAATAAAGTATTTGTTATGATACTAATTTTATGAGGAATTGACAAAATTGCACATTTGTGCAAAACAGCATAAAAAATTATTTTAATCTTTATTATTATTCAAATAAGATCTGATTTTTTTATTTGAACTTTGATTCGAAATTATTTATTTAGTTTTGATTTTAGTCATCAATTAGTATGGAAAGATATCAAACGAAAAATATCTTTAATTTTTTTTTTTCAATTTCCAAACAATATTTGATTTGAGCTTTCTTACCACTGTAATTGTTCAAGCACGTCGGCGGTCGCTGGCGTTCCTGGTCTATAGCTTATTATCGAACTTGAATTTTAACTATATATTTGCTAAAAGCAATGCTTTAAATAGGGGAGAGGCAACGAACTTGATTGATTTGCACAATTTATAAATAATATGTGCAGTTCACTCTTGTATAAAAACAGATTTCAGTTTTTATAATTAGTTAACTGCTTACAAATGCTGTTAATTCACGTAAACTGTAATTTAAGTAATTATTAATGAATGCAGAAAATGTGTAATTTTTAATATGACAGTTATTTTACATGATGTTGGGTTCCCAGGGAAAACTCACAACCTTGCTAATTAGAATCTTTAAAATAAATCCGTTTTTACTACTATTTATAGATACTTAAGTAATATGCCAAGATATAGTATTTTTTTTTCGGATAAATGGTTTGCATTTTGACCACCAATTTTTTTATACTTAAGTCGCCATAATCATTATATGCTGATACCCAACAATTTTTATTACGTATTACATATAATTTTAATCTGAAGCGGGTAAAACCTCCCCCACCATTCTGTTTTAAAAGACCCATTGCGCATTGAGTATGGAAATGCTAAGTTACAAATAATTTAAATTTTCAATTAGTTACAGGTAATTCTAGAAGTATGAAGTAAAAATTCAGTTGGAGGAAACACATGAAAATAATTTCAACAGATTGGATTTTCTCTATGTTTCTAGTATTACTGTGATGTAAAAGTATTTATAACAAAAAATTAAAATATTTTAGACCAAGTAGTATGACTGGAGGGCCAACTTCGGCCTCAGCTAATGCAGGCACAGGACCAGTAACAGCTGGAGATGTTGGACGACCTTGGACTTGCCCCCATTGTACCTATATTAATCCGGCAGATATGGCTGCTTGTGACATGTGCAGTTTACCAAGGTAAACATCGTTTTCAGAAGTATATATATATATATATATATATATATATATATATATATATATATATACACACACAGTGGTACCCCACATAAGAGTTTATAGGTTAACTCATTCCATAAATACGCTCATATCTCAAAGAATTTTTACCCATGTAATACATGAAAATGGCATTAATTTGTTCAATCACTATTGTTTTTTTGAATATCAAAATTTAATTTACTATTTATTAATTTAATTAATAATGTATAACACGTTGATCTTTTTCCAGGATGTGAGCTTATGACTTATTTGTAAAACCAATTGTGATTAAAATTTAAAGTTGAGTGCTTTTCCATGGATGGTTGAATGTTTACTGAAATCTTTAGCATATGAAATGAGATGATGAAAACAACAAGGTTTGTTGTAAATACCTCACATTTTTTAAATGATTTGTACTCACTTTTTATTAAGATCTACTTTGATGTACTGTACAAGCTTGTTACTATTAAGTTTTTTCATAATAGTTATGTATGTACACAATGAAGAATTTAAAAATAAAATACAGTTGAAAGTAAAAATGTTTATGAAAACACTTTTTATTTGTAAAATAATATTGTTTTAGTTGGCAGGTTTTATTACATTTTTTCTCTTCAAAGCATAAAAGTCTCTATAGAAACTGGCATTAGGCATTATTTCATTGGGTGAGAACTGTCAACTGTGATTCTCTCTACTACTTTCTATGGGATGCAAGTTCATAAGGACTACTCTTGCAAATGCAGCATTACTTCCAAAAGTAAAAAATTCATCACCGTAATGAAATTACAGTCTAACGTGATATGCGGTAAGACAAAAGTGCTACCTTCAAATTTTAAAAAATTGTGTTCTAATGTATGGGTGCTTAGAGGAACCTCGGTTTTCCTAAGTACTCACATATTTTTCAATATGCTATGTTAAATTGTTATTTGTTACAAAAGAAACTAAGCAAACATAATTCAAGTAATTTCACTTTTGTTCACAATTTATGTAATTTTGTTTTGGAATTTCGATTACTCAACACGCACAGCTTGTTCAGGGAGCCTTCTTTCTTCATCACAAAGATGAGATCATATAAATATAAAGAGAATATATACATTTGTTACGTAAGAAGATTATAAAGGATCATCCCAAGCTAAGTCCTGGGTTACCCAAGTTAATTTCTTTTTGACTGGGCATTGCAGTAGGAACTTATACTATTGTTGCGCCTCTAGCAGAGTAGCAAAATGCCTGATTTAAGGCCCCATTTGGGATTTCGCATTTAAAAAAAGGAATCGTAGGATTGCATTTAAACAACATTTAAATTATATTCAATCTTAAAAAGAGTTAATACATATTACTCAGATATTATCTAATATTATCATGTAAGATGAACATTTACTCATTAAGATGGTAATTGTGAATAAACAAATAAAACTTGAAAATAGCTGTACGAATACAGTTTTTATTTCATATTTTCATATCTCAATTTCTACAATCGTAAATACAAGCTATTTGAATTTATGAAATAAGATAAAAGTTTGGTGCAAAGTTGAAAATGAACAATTGTAGTAAAAATACTCTTCAGTCACATGTGCCATCAGATTTGTATTTTACTTGCATTGCATTGAAATTAGTTTAAACAATGTTATTCAACAATTCATTGTAACACTAAGCCAATTTTATTTGCTGTCATACCTGGACATCTCCAATTATACAGGTAATATTGCAAATTTCCATCACCTATTCCAAATTTTAATGCTTCCAAGAATGCTTTGTTATCCATGAGATCAAGAGCATTAAATACATCAAATCCTAAACTTTTGGCTGATATTAATGCATCAGTCATAAGATCAACCCATGGTGTTTTTGTAGAAACATTATAAAATGAATATGCAGCTTTCACAGTTCTATGTACAGGGTGGTGCATAACGGTTGAAGGTAATGAGTAATAACTGACCATATCAGTTATTTTGCCTGAATCATCTGCTACTACAAATGTATCAATAATGCCATTCTGTGGAGAAAACCAATGCCTAAATTCCTCTTCAGAAAAGATTGGCACCAATTCAAATTGTTTTAAATAATTATCAAGTAGCTGATGTGCAGCCGGCATATCGTCCTGTGTTATTTTGCGAAATCCTCCTATTTTTGGTGCATCTGGTAATTTAAAAAGTTTCAGGGTACGTTGCATTGTCATATTACGAGACAAATGAGAGAAATTTACATCAATCAGTTTCTTTGGATTTAGAGATCGATGCCAGTATCTGCAAGTGGCAATAGGCTTTGGAAGAACGACACCAGCTGTATATACGGCTTGAAACATTCCTGTCAAGTTAACACGACGAGTTATTTCTCTGATAAGAACAGGTGCAACTCTTTTTGAACGTAGTTTTTTATGTACGCACAAGAAGTTTATTTCAACCATTTTTTGAACATGGTTATATATTCGTAAAGTTGCTGGTATGGCTGAAATAAAACCTATCAGCCTACCCGACTTGATTACTCTAACGCCACAGTGCCATTCCTTTCGCCAACCTGGAGGCTGTAATGCCCACTTCAGAAATGCTGGCTGATAATCAAATCTGAACAAACAGTCGTCATCTTCTACATAATTTTCATTGAGTAAAGTGTACAATTCTTTTAAAATCAATGGCTCATCTAAATTTAAAGTATCCCATTGAAAGCCTTCTGGTAAACTATAAGATTCTGCTCGTATGTCTGATACTGCTTTCTCAGCTTCGATTGGTTCGTTAACTATAATTTTCTCATCCATTTTAGGGACTGGCTGGGTGGACCAGAACTGATAGGGTTTAAATTGAGCTTCCTCCGCAGTCTTCGCAGCCTTTTGTCGTAAAGTTAACATTTCCATCCTAAGATCAGCTCTAATATCATTCATTTCCCCATTAGTGTTTACTACGGCTAATTTATTCTTATTCTTATTACGCTTTTTAGTAATTTTTGAGCTAGATGTGGTTTCTTCACCGTTTGCATTTTTATTTTCTTCTTCCATTATTTTATGGCAATTTTTCTTATATTACAACAGATGAAAAAGTTTGTCACATTGGAAAATGACAGCTTCACGAATGTCATACATATATAATATACACCATAGACAATGCGGAGTACGCTATGAGTACGCGTTTTTAGTATTCACACTTCACTCATATAAGTTGAGGCTACGTGTCGCGTGAGGCGCGACGAACGTTGAAAATGCCATCAATAGCCATAGATAAATAAGCATAATCAGCTGTCTTTTGGAAATATTTTTAAAATTTATGAACACATCGTATTCTAATATTGTCTAGGTATAAAAGTGTGTTCTTCAATGTCCACAAATTCATACAAAACATTTTTACTTGGTTCTAAAGGTTTTACACAATAATATCGTGTTTATAGCAGTTGCATTTAAACGTCCGTTACGTAAATGTCCGAATCGGTGCCGGACGCAAAACGTTAATTAAGGATATAATTATAATTGTAATTATTTTAGATATTTTTAACTTGTAATCCTGAAATTTGTTAATGTAGCACTGAAGATGGGTCAAATCAAGACTCGAAACGTTTGCTACTACAATAAATAAGGCATCTTTTTTTACTAAATTTGTTAAAATATTGGATGGATGCCCAAGAACAACTTTATCATGATATGTATTAATATATCATATATTAATAATGAGCTTTCTATCTTTTTTTAATGCATACTTTAATTTTAATTTTTGCTGTTGGTACGTCGTTATTTTACATGTTTGTATATTGGTATACAGGTTGAGTAATTTTGTTCTGTCAAATTAACAGTTCAGTTCATATTGTTGTATTTATGGTTAAAACACGACATGCTAGTTTTTGTTTAAATATTTGAAATGAACACGACTATTTCTTTGAATCTTTCTCGCTTTTTTAACGATCAAAGAAGCTTTGTAAATTTGTATATTGATGAGAAATATGATACTATAAATGATTTGCGAAAACATATAAAACAGACTTTTGGCATAAAAAAGAGATTCTGTTTGTTGGTTGCTGACAATGTACCTCATCACTTTTTACCAAGAGCTGAGAGTATAAGAATTTTACAGGGAAGAAAAAATGTAATGTAAGTATTTTAGTATTTGAGTCTTTACTTTTATGTTTCTAATTTGCTTTTTATATTTTCAATAATTTAGAGTTGAGCCCGTAACTTTCAAAGAACCTACGCATATTAAAGAAAAAATAGACAAATATGCAGAGCAATTGGAAAACTTTGATGATGAAAGTATACTTGCTCGTGAAGATCTTGAAAATGAATGCGCTAAGATGTATGTTGAAAATGACCATACTGAAAGTGATAATAAAAAGAGGTCTTCGCAAAAAAAATCAAGTTATGGAGATATCAAAGAAGGGCTATCTTGTAAAATAGCAGTTGATAAAGGTAAAGGTAAGGCTTAATTAGATTTGAATACACTGTAAATATTCAACCTCCATATTTTATGCAATATGGAGAATGTAAATTGGTTAACATATTTAATATCTATAAAAACTGATCAATTATTAATGTAAGTAACAAAGTAGAGCTTAAATTTTTTAATGTCCCGCAGGGTAAGTTATTATTGTTCAAAGATCATAATGATAGTATTATGCTATTCTATTCTATTTATGGTTTATTTTTCTCTTTTTTTCTAAGCAAATTTATGAAAGAAAATTTCATTTTCTTCCACTAGCTTTCTTTTAGCCTAGCAAATATAATACTCATTATTTAAACAACAGTTTCAGCGGTTAGATTTTTGTTGGTTAAATGCAAATGTTCTGGTTTGTTTATATCTAAATGATTTTATTTAATGTGCTTCATGCAATAAAACATTCATGTTTCATTTACAATTGCGTAAGCTGTATGGAATTTTATAAACCATAGGTATTTTTGATATCTTTTTATTTGCACTTGCAGATGCAAAAAATACTTCAACAAAGCTTAATGCACAGACTAATAATCTTCTTTTAACCGAAAATGAAGACTGTAATATGTTAGAATATGCTGTTGATGGGAATAAAGATAGTAAAACTGAAGAACAGAATTTTCAGATTTTAACACCTCACAAGGAACTAAATAAACTTGAAACTTCTACAAACTTTAGTCATATGTCTGCTAAACCAAATATTATTATACAGTCTGTTGAGAAAGTACATTATCTTTTAAATAAAACTAATGAACTTGTTAACAGTACTGAAAAAGATTCAAGATTCAACCTGAATTCGTCTCGCATAACAACTCGTGCAAGAAAACGAGTTAGAAGAAATAAGTCTAAACTTATTACTTTCGATGCCGATAAAATCAATGATGCAGACAATTTAGCACAGAGTTTTAGTTCAAATTTAGTTGCTGCAAAATCTACACCAAACCATATTAGGTAAAGTAGTATTTTTATATATTATTTAGTATGCATCTAATTATTAATGTATTATATACAGTCGGTCAAGTAAGAGCGTGGCCGTGTTAATTTATAAAAATAATTATTTTATGAAACTTTATTATTTATATATGCATTGTATACATTACAAGCAATGATGCAATTCGGTCAATATGTGTCCAGTCACCACCGGAGTTGACAATTGGCTGGAATCTCCGACGCATGCTTTTTACTAATTTACCGGATTATTCTAATCTGACGGCTCGTATTTTAATTTAACGGCTCGATAAGAGCAGTACATGCTCATATAGAACGTTCATCAGTAAAAATGACATTTTCAAAATCTCTATCATTATTTTCATGTGCCCAAGCGGTCAAGAAGACATGTTTTTCAGTCGTCAGAGGCTTCCCCATTGTGTTGCGCCATTTCAGATCATGAATACGAAGAATGGTTCAGATAGTTTTGTAGATATTTTTGTGGATATTTCTAAATATTTTGCCATTAATTTTGCTCATCCTTGCTGCAGCGTTAAAGCAGGATTCCGCAAAAACACATTCACTGTTTTTTTTTTCTTTTTTTTATTTGAACCACGTTCTGATAAATCATCAACATTTTTAGCAACTTTATATAGGTATCCAATTCTGTACAAATTCTTTCAACTTTCTCATATGTTTAGCAGCAGCTGATTGCGACATTTGGGGACATTTTCGGTGGATGCAAAAGGGCGCAGCCTCGTAGCGCGACGCGTAACTTAGCACTCATGGCGTTTAATATGATTTTTTCTCAAAAGATCAACGACAACTAAATCTTTGTTGACAATGCATCAAGGACAAAGCTTCACTTTATTGGCTCACGAAATAATTAGACCGAAATCTTTCATTAACTGTCGTTAAAGTCGGCCACGCTCTTACTTGACTGACTGTATGTATGTATATATAGATATATGAATGTAACGCTTGTATTGCATTACAAACACATGATGTGCATTTGGTTATTTGCATGCAATTCCCTATAATTTTTAGATTCACAGAAGATTTAACAATTTCACATAATGATTCTGCTTTAACCAATGAGGCATCACTTGATATTAGTATGAATGATGCTTATTCATCAGATATAGTTACCAAAGCTAAAGTTATTAATAATTGTCAAACTATTGAAAATTGTGAACTAAACCAAACAAATGATGATGTGGCTTCAAAAAACGCGTGGGAGTTATTATATGAACAGTTTCAGCATGATCCTGATAAATATGCTTCTTTGAAGCAATTACCAGTGGTTGGAGATATAATCGCTTGCAAGGTTTGTTCATGAAATTTGATGATGTATACAATTTTGGAATAATTAAAATTAATGAAATAAATTTTCACCATTTCAGGTTTTAAGAATGACTAGTACGTATGAACCAGAATTGTCATCTTATATTTTTGCATTAGTTGTACAAGTAAATGCTGCAGAGTGTTTTCAGAATTCTGATTTAAAACTCGAAATTTTAGGTAAATAATATATATATATATAAGGAAACTCGAAATTTTAGGTAAATTATATATATATACATATATATATAAATAAATATATATATATATATATATATACATATATATATAAAAATATATATATATATATATATATATATATATATAAATAAATATATATATATATATACATATATATATAAATAAATATATATATATATATATATATAAATATATATATATATATATATTTATATATATATATATATGTAGCGGGTTGCCAACACACATCGCGGCTTGTCAACACGCATCACATGTTACTGGACAGATTGGCCCATATATTGACAGCACAGAAAAAAAACAAAAATAAATTCAAGTGTCAGATCGTACTTGGTTTTTGTTTCTCCCTAGTCGAATTTGCCTAAAATGTATAATTCTTGAAACCTTTCTTTTCTATTATAAATAAGAAAATACCAATAACGTTTTATTAATGATCAGTATGACAACACATAGTGTCGTGGATATTAATCATATATAAAATAAACGAAATATAAATAATATTTTATGGAATTTATTATTACTACAATTTGGATAATATTGGTATTAATATGGAGGACTACTACACCTCCATATATATATATATATATATATATATATATATATGAGGTGTGTTCAAAAAGTACCCGGAATTACTAATAATTAAATTTCGCGGGTCTGGAGTGTCTGATTGTCAAAATTTTTTTTTTATTGTGTTGGTATACATGCCCCTAAAGTATGATGAAATTTTCAGCTATATTCACTGTTTACTTTGTCTGTGGTAGTCGCTAAGGTTCGACGTGTTTTTTTGAGCTCGGCGATTTTTACAATGGAAGAATTGAAAAGTCAAAGAATTTGTATTAAATTTTGCGTAAAAAATGAAATAAAGTGTTGCAAAGTGCAAAAATTCACCAGATATGGCTCCGTGCGACTTTTTCCTATTCCCAAAGTTGAAGAGACCCATGAAAGGACGGCGGTTTTCCTCGATTGAAGAAAATCGCTGAGAGTGCTCAAGGACATATCAAAAAGTGAATATCAAGGGTGCTGCGAAAATTGGAAAAAACGCTGGCATAAGTGTATTATATCTGGGGGGGACTACTTTGAAGGGGACCACATTAATGTAGACGAATAAATAAATATTTTTTTGAAAAAAACGAAAATTCCGGGTACTTTTTGAACAGACCTCGTATATATATATATATATATATATATATATATATATGATTTAGTAGTTAATTTTGATGTTGAAATATATGAGTGAGTTCTTGAGGGCGATACATCAAACAAAGAAAAGGCAAAGATTTATAAAATAATCTTTAATTCCAAACGTTTCGACATTCAATTTAATGTCATCATCAGTGGATATTGAACATGGTATTTTATATCTAAAAATGTGTACACATCACAGAATTTTGCACTAACATTGATACAACTAACCAGTCGATAATCATGAATTTTTTTAGTAAGAAAAGGCACAGAACATTTAAAACTAAATAACCATACATTTAATTTTTATGACGCAAAGGTTCTTCATCACGAGTCGAAAGTCTCACAAAGGCGTTTTTCAGAATCGGCACTATAACGCACACTCGCACAGCGCGTCATACGGATGTCCAGATACGAACACATGTGTTTTTTCTCAAAATTTTGACCTCAGGTTTTTACAAAACTTTATTCTTGTCTAGCCTGCCTCGGAACACGAGTGCTCACGTATAATATTCTATTTGTTAATTACTTTTTATTTTTTATTCTTTATAAAAAAAAAATTACTGACATTTGGTGCTTGTTTCCAATTATTAATTTTTAAAAGCTGTATTAATATGTGTAAGTGATAATCTAAGAAATTCAAGTTTGTAATGTTTTTCATTTTTTAATTTAAGGCTCAGATATAATTATTCTGTCTCTTTAGTTAAACCTTTTCTTTTTACTATTGCTTATGTATATTCCATTTTTAACGTTACTTTCTGTTTTTTTAAAATTGTAGAACCACTGACGATGACGTAGAATTTTACGCCGAAACGTATGGAAAAATAAAGATGTTTTAAAAAATCTTTACTTTATTTATATTTTTTACTTGATGTTACGCCCTCCAAGAAATCAATCATACATTTCAACATCAAATTTAAACACTAAACATACATATATATATATATATATATATATATATATATATATATATATATATATATATGACCGTTAACCGTCGAACCGTCTCTGACACAATTAAATATTCCGGAATCGGATTCCAAAAAAACCTACAACTGCTGTGAAACAAAACCTTCTGCAAGTGTGGGTGTTTGTAAGAACTGTGGCAAAATTTACCATGTGAGTTGTGCAACAAGAAAAGGTTTCAAATTCATTGTTGGAAATTTGATACAGTGCTGTGAGGTGAGCAGTGAAGTGTCGAGTGACAAACATATGGATACTATTAAAAACTTAAAACAAACAATTACCGACAAAAATACTATAATAAACGATAAAATGACAATAATAAAGGATAAGGAATACATAATTCAGAATCTTGAAGAAAAAATTAAGATGCTCCAATTATTAAAGCCAAATGAAAAGAAAAAAGAAGTTTCGTCAGCTGTACCCAATATTGATAGTGATACTGAGAAAGCAGCATTCAAGAAGCTTAAACATAAATCTACCAATAAAAACAGTGCCAATGCTAATAAGGTGTCAAAAGAACAGGTGAGTGTTGCAGTAGCAACTGCTTTAATGGAATTAGAAAAGCATAGAAGCGAAACATTCCGAGATGCGGTTGCCAACACGGAGCTGCCTACTAAATCGACCCAAGCTGAACAACAATCAATTAAAGCAAATGACGATGGAAACTGGACTTTGGTCCAGAAAAAAAGTCGCCGAAACGAAAAAACAAAGCCATAGAAGGAACAAATGTGAGCACTACACTCGCAGGAGTTGTGAGGAAGGCCCACTTTCATGTGTTCCGCCTGGCACCGGAAACATCGACGGAAACTCTAAAAAATTATTTAAATGAGAAAAACTTCAAAAATATTGAATGTGAGAAAATGGCTTCAAAACATCCGAAAACATATGCCTCTTTCAAGGTCTCCGTTGCAGAGAGTGAATTGGAAAGAATAAAATCTCCGGATGTTTGGCCAAAAGGAGTCTGTGTGGACCGTTTTTTATTCCATTTGGGAGAAATAACGAAGAAAAATTGTTAAGCTGGTTTAATATATAATGTCCTTGAACATTCAATGTTTATCCAATAAAACGAAGGCATTAACAAAAGTTGTCCATGACAATAAAATAAACATTTTTTGTTTATGTGAACATTGGCTTGGCAACGAGCAAATCGACCTGTATACGTGATTTTCGGCTAGTCAGCTCATTCTGCCGTAGTATACATATGCACGGAGGTGTTGCTATTTACTGTCGGAAAGAGATAGAATGTTGCGTCGAGATTGAATGAAAGCATCCCAATGAATGGAAATTTAAAAGCAGGAATTATTTCAACGCGACAGTCAAAGAACATCTTCTAGATAAACCTATTTATACAATAAATGAATTCTTTAATCTAAGTTAATTGTTAATTGTCATTAGGTTAATCTTGAGTTGTTCATAAATATCATTGATATTACTATAGTTATATAATAATATTGTGATAATAATAATAATAATAATTGTAATGACGTAAATTGTAATTATTGAATTTAAATAAAGTATCTATCTATCTATCTATCTATCTATATATATATATAATATGAACATTTTCGAACTTCTTTGCTCCCAAGGGCTCAAATTCTTCTATATTGATAAAAAAAATTCTCTAAAAGTTTTAGCTCTTAATATTAACTTTTAGATAGTGCGCAATTCAATCAAAGCTTCTTATGGAAATAGCATGGAAAAAAATTCGAAAATTTTAAAGATGTTAGCGACAAATGAATTAAAAGTGACAATTCGTGTAATCTTTTATTGAAAATTCCACGCTCTACAAAACAGGTTTTTTATAATTTTTTTCGTAGGGCGTAGAATTTTGAACTAAAACTCATTCATTTGTTTGCTAAGTTATATCTAAAGAACATTTTTTAAATTTTTGAACATTTTTCCATGCTATTTCTATACAAAACTTGGAGGATTTTTTTTATCAATTTGGAAGCATTTGAGCCCCTGAGAGCAAGGAAATTCGAAAATGTCCATATTAAGAACCACCCTAATATATATATATATATATATATATATATATATATATATATATATATATATGTTACGGTAAATGTGCATATTTCGGTGGATGTGCACATTTACCGGCTCATTTGGCGAATGTGAGTTCAACTCGCGCATGTGAAATACTAATTTATATATTTATATTTATATATTATTTTAGTCATATGCATATTATTATCCATTATTTATTATTCACTATTAACTATTCACTATTTATCAATTAACAATTTATCTATTAACTATGAACTATTAACTATTTAATTAATAACTATTAACTATTTAACCATTAACTATTACCTATTTAACTATTCTTAATTCACTATTTAATAATAACTATTCACTATTTGCTATTATCTATTCACTATTTACTATTAACTATTCAGTTATCACTATTCACTATTCACTAATTTACTATTGAAATATTTACTATTAACTATTAACTATTCATTATTCTTTATTTACTATTAACTATTTAGTTATCACTATTCACTATTTACTATTAACTATTCAGTTATCACTATTCACTATTTACTATTAACTATTCAGTTATTACTATTCACTATTAACTATTCAGTTATCACTATTCACTATTTACTATTAACTATTCAGTTATCACTATTCACCATTTACTATTAACTATTCAGTTATCACTATTCACTATTTACTATTAACTATTCAGTTATCACTATTTACTATTAACTATTCAGTTATCACTATTCACTATTTACTATATTAACGATTCAGTTATCACTATTCACTATTTTACTATTCAGTTATCACTATTCACTATTTTACTATTCAACTATTTACCTATTAACTATTCACTATTTGACTATTCAGTTATCACTATTCACTATTTACTATTAACTATTCACTATTTACAATTCATCTGTTTAACTATAAACTGTTAAACTATTTAGTTATTACTATTCACTATTCAATAATAACTATTTACTATTTACTATTCACCATTAACTATTTAACTATTTACTATTTAACTATTTACTTTTTAACTATTAACTAGTTACTTGAACTATTAACCATTTACCTAAAACTATTTACCTATAACTATTGAACTATTAACTATTCACTATTTAACTATTCTAAATTCATTATTTAATATTTTTCTAACAATTAACTATTAACTATTTACTAGTTAATATTAATTATTCACTATACACTATATTAAAACTTTACTATTCAATTATTTACTATTAACTATTTAGTGCGCATGCGCCAAATACGCAAGATGTTCATGAGACCGATCCAAGTACGCACGTACACCATTATTTTAAAGTGATTGTTTGAGAACTCCACATTCTCCTAGGTTTTGGGGAATGTGCACATTCACCAAGAGTGCACATTTACTGTAACATATATATACTGAATAGTGTATATATATATATATATATATATATATATACACATATATGTTTTATAAAACATTTAATTGAATTTATATTACTTTTAGAGGGAAAAGCGTTTTTGCAACAGCCACTAAGTGGAAAATTTGAATTACCTGATAGTGGTCAAGAGGATTCCGATAGCAATATGATTAACTTAAAGTGGCACAACATTTATGATCCGAAATTGATTTTGAAATGATTTTTTATTTTTTAAATAACTGGTCTTCATTTATAAGATTTTTTTTTGTTGGAAGAATTTTTATAATTGTTTTTATGTGTTATTAATATTGCAAGGAGTTCATTATTTATAAGGGCTACTATACCATTGATTTTTTCTATATTTTACAGCATTTAGAATAATATTGATGATTTTTACTAATTAACTAGAAGCATAAGACAAATTATCTTGGAAATAGCTGTTAATAAATTGCTATAACTCATCTCGAGAAGAATTGTATGAGTAAAATTAATATGTTAATTATTAATAAATTATAATTTAGAGAATTTTCTACATAATGTGTTTTTTGTGAAATAATGAGAATTCAAAAATGACTTATTACACAAAATTACTTTGTGAGTCTCTCAAGCATTTATTTTTTTTTGTTTCGCCTTTTTCTCATATTGTACAATTAATTTCACTCAAAGAAGTTTATATTTTCACCAGAAAATTTGAATTTCATGTTGTCTCAATGTTTTAAGTCAGTGTGATTCGTTTGAGACCAAAATTAAAAAAGGTGTATGTTTGCTGAATAATTAAAAACAAGCCGTTTTTTGCAATTAAAAGATAACTGCAAGTTTATTTGTCCACATTATAGCTAAAAAAGTTTGAATAAATTTTAAGAATTTAAATTATTAGGGTAAAGTGGTTCTAGGGTAAAGTGGTTGAATTAAAAAAAAATCATTAAAGTTTGGCAAGATAAGAGCGCTTTTAGAAGATGCAAGCGCGTTTTTGTGTCCCATGCAATTACAATATTTTAAGTTTGTTTGCAAGATATGAATTGGAAATTCTACAGTTTTTAGTAAAAATGAAAACTTTATATTCGAAATAAACAGTTGAAGAATCTATCTAAAACACTAAATCCATAGACCTTGTAATAGATTATGAGATTTTTATGTATTTTAAGGTCTGCGACTAAATTTCAATTGAGGGCTAATTTTGATAATAATGATTTATTGATTGAATCAATTATCTACACGTGTTGGGAAGTTTATGCAGCTCGCTTTAAGGGAAAATGCCGCTTACACCTAGTAAATCTAAATTGTTTTTCAATATAATTATTCTTCAAAAATTTCAATTTTTAACAACAGGCGCGATATATATTATATATTTGATCTAAATGTATAGATATAGACTCTTTATGAGTCTATATAAAATATATGTCATTTACAATAAAATCGTAATAACACTATAAGTAAGTATGGGAGTTTATTAATAACTCTGAAGATGCACAAAATATTTAATATAAAACGTTCACGGCGGAAAGAGAAGAGAGCGAGCGATTTTTGTTGGCGCAAGGGTTGCAATATTGGATATTCTAGTGTAACTGCAAACTTGAACCATTAGTTGCGCACTTCACTTGCGTTGCCTGTGTGTTGCGTATACTCTTCTTTTATCTATGTTTAAGGGTTTGAGCGCGATTTATGCTTATTTATCTATGAATGCGGATTCACACTAGGAGCCAATGGTTAACGTCAATGCATAGATAAAAGAAGAGTATATAGATCGCTCTCTCGGGCCATATTTCGTTGCCACATTCCTGTGTTAGTTGAAGCCCCGCGCTACAGATGGCACTAGTCGCCTGAACGGGTGCGTATAAAAAATACTATAGAAATGAACCAAAATTATATGGACCGTTTTAATTCAAAATTTAAAAAAAGAAAAATTGAAAAAAAAAAAAATTTTGAAGCATTTATTTTTCACAAAAACATTCTACATTATATCTACATAGTTCTCTTTATAAACAAAGCACACATAGCATAAAAATGTACATAAATATACACATTATCCACAATGTATATATATATATATATATATATATATATATATATATAACATTATATATGATTATAATAGATGGTAGTAAGCTGTAAAAACTATGTGCGAAAAGCATAAAAATGTACTTAAATGTACACGCTATCCACAATGTATATATATATATACAAATATATATATATATATATATATATATACATATATATATATATATACATATATATATATATATGTGTGTGTGTAATATCATTTTAGCATATCAGCCTTTCAAGCTGAGCACAAAAAGAATAGAAATGTACATGAATGTATATATTATTTATATATATACATATACATATATAACCACAATTCTTTGATTGATATTGATTCAGATCAATATATAACCAATATATATATATATATATATATATATATATTTACATATATATTTATTTTGATTAACATTAAGTTACATAATATCTATGATGTACAGTCTCTATTTGGGAATCTTTTCTGCGCTATTGTTAATGTGCATTCAAATGTTTGTTCAAAATGTCATTATTATCATTGTCTTAAAGAAAAACAACAATCATTGATATTATTATAACAGTACTTAATAGTTTTCTTATAGCATCTACAATAAGACATTTTAGAGTAAAGCTATTGACATCTCTTTCAGAATAGTCAAATGCAATAAGCAAGTGCACATTAAGGGTGTTTTATCCCTTTGCTTTTTAGAATTTTATCATTAATCATGATTATACTTTGCCTGTCATTTGACAGTTCCTGAAAATCTATACAATGTGATTCCCTTTATCATCATTAAACAACACAGATAATAATATTTCTTGTAATATCAAAATGAAATTATTAATACTTAAAAACTTTTCCTGTGACATAGCCAAACCTAAATTAACCTTTGCACTAGCTAGAATTTCACCATTTATTGAGAATTTCCTTTCACTTACGATTATATCATTAGTGTTTTTAGTATGTTCTCCAAACTGACTTAATATATAATTACGAGTCGTACTGTTCAATATTAGTGGGAGATCAGCAAAGATTTCAGCACATTTCAGACTTCATTCTTATTGTTTTTTCCTGTGTATTCATTCATCTCATATCAATACTTGTACACTTGTGAATGTGTTTAGTAAACCGTCTAAACATTTTACATTTGAACGTATTTTCCTTTTATACTGCTGAAAAAATCGATGTAGAATTATTAGTTATGATCCTACATTATTAGAACAAGATTAATTTATATTTAGTTATTTAATAACATACCTTTCAGAGAGCTGACAGGAATTCTCTCTGTCTATTTATAACCTTAAAATTTCTAGTATTGATATAGTTAAATGTCTCAATTATTTCTGAATTATTAAACTGTAATGAAAAATCATATCAGAATAGTACAATCAAATGAAAGTAATTCGAAGTATGCATATTAATAAAAGTACTCACTTAGATTGAAAGCCGGCAAATATTATTACTTATTTTACTTTTACTTCGTCGTTTCTCGCTGGAACTACATAATACATGCATTTTTCTTGGTATTTCTTCTTCGTTAAACAATGCACTTCGACAGCTTATTTGTTTTTTACTCTAACAAGCATTTATTATATTGTCTAGGTTATCTCTCCATGAAAAATTTATTACAATGGACGCCATGTTTAATTTAAGTATCTGTCATATGTCAAATTCGATTTCAAAGTGAAAAAAAAATAAAAAAAAAAAAACAAGCGCGACCGGCGGCAGGGGCTCTAACTAAACTCGGGTTACAGACGTTTGTTCCGAGATTACCGGCCATGCGTCAATGTCAAATTGACGAAGTGAACTAATCTATTGTCCCATGTGCATGTACCACTAAACAATATAATGTGTGCATGTACCTAGGGAATATTCCTATTCCTATAATGTTTAAGGACGATCAAGTACTTTGTGGTTATATTGTTTAAGGTGAAAATTTTATTTATACCAGACATTACTCATGGAGAAAATATGTAACATTAAATTCGGGCCTTTGCCGGAAGATTCACCGTATGTCAAACCTGTTAGATTTTACTATAAGCAAAATGGAGTGGAAAAGAATTGGGATTTATTGAAAGTTCATGATTCCGTTGCTGTTCTCATTCACAATGTGACAAGAAATTGCCTTGTAGTTGTAAGACAATTTAGACCAGGTAAACATACACTTTAGAAAATAGCTATTATATCTCCGTTACCTCATTATTGTTGTCATCTTCTATTTCATAAATTATGAAGGGTTTTAATTCATAACATAACAAATATAAACATACTTACATTTCATCTGCAAAGTTTAAACTTTAATGGTCTTTCATATATGCATCTGTCTACTGGCATTCTGGCAGTTAATGTATACATATGTTTATGTTAATGTATATATATATATATATATATATATATATATATATATATATATATATATATATATATATATATATATATATATATATATATATATATGTTCCTGTTACAAATGTATGTCTATTCTGTTTTTCATTTAGCAGGTTTACTATACTCCTGTGTTTCACCTTCTTCAGATGCACAGTGATTTATATGGTCAATATACTACCTTTCTTCTTCATAAAGATATACATATTTTTATAACATGATTTTGTACATTTTTCTTACTTAGCAAGTGCTTTAAGAATAGTTCACCAGCTTCTAATATTGCAGTATGTTAAATGTGCACTTTGGATTTATCAATGTGACCCGAAGCAGAACACTATGAATTCTAGACATGAATGCAGCTTTTTTGTAATTTTCAGAGGATTTTTATATTCATGATGGCTTAGTATTTCTTACTGTCTTTTTAATCTAGTAGATCTTATTCTCATTTTGCAGACGTGAGCTGCAACTGCGTTATTTGCATTTGTTTTATACCCTTTTGAATCGTTTATATAAAACAGCATTGCACATCTATTTCTCTTGCTGATGTTGATAATTTTAAAAATTAATTAAATCTATTTAAGCTAATTAAACTATAAGGAAGTTACTGTACATATTTAGTATATTGATCACAACTACTTTTAATCAGTTGTGTACTTTTATGTAAATACATGAAAACTTTTGTTACTTAATATGCATATGTTTAATATGGCACCTTTTATATGTATTTTATATGTAATAATTCACAAATAAAGTTGAGAAAATACTGAAAATAATCAACCAATAATTATTGATAATGTGGTTTTATTGCATTGTTATCATTACAAGTGTGCATTAAATTTCAAACAAATTTTCAAAGTTCCAAATAATTCAAATAGTCTCTAGATGACAATAAACTAATGCTAATTAAGTTATTGCATTTTGTCATAACCTGAAGAAAATACTGGATCAAATTCCAGGACAAATAATTGTCATGATTATTACTACAGAGTTTTGATTGCAATTCGTTATAATGCGTTATTGTAACATTTGCAATACAAACATAAAAAGTAAATTTTTTTAACAAATACTTAGTTTTATAATATTTATTCTATAAATAACATAATTAAATAAAAAACATGTTATTAGTTTTTTAAAATAAGAATGAATTAATTTACTGCTTCAGGTTTCAAAAAAACATAAACATAACTTGATGAGGAATCTGGAAATAAATTAGTATTATGTTTCAGCTGTGTATTACAATTGCATACCAGATGAAGATAGAAAAGGAGTAATAGATACCACCAAATATCCTGCTGAATTAGGCATTACTCTAGAATTGTGTGCAGGTATTTGTGATAAAGATGCCAGTTGGGAACAAATTGCTAAAGAAGAAGTATTGGAAGAATGTGGTTACAATGTAAATGTAGAAAATTTACAAGAAATAATTCGATTTCGGTAAGTTAAATTTTTAGTATTCATTGCAATAAAATATGTATAAATGATATAATAGATGAGTTCAAAAGTTATAATTTTTATTACACTCTGAGTCAGATATTGGATTCATTTACAGTTTATATCGATTTAGCCTTTTACATTCATGATGCTATATAGTTGCCACAGTTTTTTTTCACTTTGCACTTGTATGTTATGCAACGACTTTGATATTTGTACATGTGTATAATTTTTTATTTTTATTTAGTTTTGTAACTAACACAATTGGTTATTGTTTGGTACATTTTGTAAACTTTTTTTTTTTGTTGAAATTTTTAATGTAAGCTAGTAATTTTGGATCACTGCAGAACATTCCCTATTATATTTTCTCCTATCTCCTTGATATGCAGCATGTTCTATTTTCTGTTACTTCTATAAATAGATGATTGAACAAAAAATAATAGTAATCAAATAATAAAAAGGTATACAAAAGCTTTATTGACTTGAAAATGATTGACATTGGAATATTGTTAATAATCCAAATTATTTTTTGTTCTAGGTTACCTATGTATACTGTTAGGAACTTGCTTTATTTTAATTTTATGAAGAAGTTTGTTTTGCCAGAAAATTCGATTTTTCTTTTCTGAATTCTGATTTTGATTTTGTTTCTTTTTCGGCGTTTTAAGTGATTCTGAATCATTTGATCCTAAATTTGAAAAAAGCATGTGTGTGCCAATTTTTTTTTTATGACTTTGATGAAATTTTGCATGACAATAGATTTTATGATTTGAACTTATATTAAAAATTAAGTATTTTTTGTAAAATATTCAGAAATATTAGTATTAATTTATAATTGTTAAAGACTTTAAGACGCTCTCACTACACATTCAGAAGTTTTCAAGCAATGCGATTAGAGTCAATTCTTTTATTTACAGTCAGCTTTAGATTGTTTTAGTCGAGAAATATAACTGTAAAAAGTGAAATTCATGTCATTTACTGTATAATAGTTTCTTTTGAAAACATTTTTTAGATCTGGTGTCGGTACATCTGGCTCTGTAATTGCTATTTACTATTGTCAAGTTAAAGATGAGGATAAAGTAAGCACAGGTGGTGGCGTTGATGACGAAATTATTGAAGTTGTGGAATTAACAGTACCGCAAATTAAGAAAATGCTTTATGGAGATAAATTTATCAATAGTCCTGGCGCTTTTTTGTATGGTCTACAATGGTTCTTATATAATCTTGATAAATAATTACAATATTTATTGTAGAAGCATTTATTTTTATTTAATAATACATTTTGTATATAGTAGTTACTTTTATCATAAATGTAATTTATGTTAAACCTGCTTTATAATATGTTGCTATAAAATATATTATTTATTAGTTTTTATTGCAGTAATAATTTATTTGTTCTAAATGAACTTATAATTTTGTTAAATCATTGACTAGTCAGACTGTTGTAAGTAAATTTGTTGGTTTTGAAAAAGTATAATTAAAGCGATCAAAATTAAAAATGAAACATTTTAAAATATACATGTTAAAAATGGATGAACGTTCAGTATTTTACTGGAAAAAAATAAAACGGAGAAATCAAAATTAATGTTATTTTTCATAAACCTTTAAAACTTAACACACTCGGTTATGTGATTTTTTGCATGCATTTATTATTTCTCTTGTAACATGTAATAAGTTTGTTTAGTGATAGTAAAATATTTGATAATTTTCTAAAAAATTAAATTATCTTCAATATTTTATAACACTACCATGACACTACCATACTCTATGTAAACTTTGTGTGCTTTAAAATAGCAATTGAATGAAGAACATGTTTGCCTGCTTGATAAAAGTGTATATTAATACAAAAAATTTAAACATTGACTTCTGTCAAACAAATTCAATCAAGATATTTTGTTGAAGCTTCGTTTTTAATGAAATTAACAAACTTTCAAATCTTTTTACTTTAAACAAATGTTGAAGAACTTTGATAGTATTTCAATCAAATTAATTTACTATAGATAAAAGAAGAGTATAGAGCCATTTACTTTAAACAAATATTGATGAACATAAGTGGATTCATAGATAAAAGAAGAGTATATGAGGTATATGAGTGGATTCAAAGTTTCAGTTTCAACTTTCTGTTTTAATTTCGTGCTTCAAATTTTTCAAGCGCCGACGACCATCTTGCTAACTTCAGCTTGCTTCAGCTGTCAATGAGGTCGTTGCGAGTATTTTTCATATAAAAAATAAATCGTCAAATGTTCATAAAAAGCTACAAAAATGACTTTGTGTGGAAGTGCTTAGGTGTGCATTGAATTGTCATAATTTAAATTATATTTAAACATTTTATTTGCAGTGCTAATGTATTCTTTCTATATGCAATTATCAATAGTTTAATTTATGTGTTTTTGTAGGTTATACTTAAGTACTTCCGCTTTATATCTGTTGAAATAGAATTTTAAATTCACAAGAGTCTCTAATCATCTCTAATGTAAGTCGTGTGTCGTGTAAAGACTTTACTCGGTCAATTGCAAAATGTCGAATAGGCTTATAAAAAACAAAGTTATGTAGTGGTTTTAAAGTAGTGATTTTGTGTCAAGTATTTGGTATTTCTGGCAGATTAGAGGTGATTCATGTATTAGTTTTGTGTTCTGCTAGCTGCTGCAGAGGATTTCTAACAATGTAAGTGCAGGGCATGTTTTATACAAAGCGAGTCAAAGAATATATTTTTGATATTATATACAGGCATTTATCATACAACGTGTAATGCACCTGTACTGAATTAAAATGCTCCCTATCTTAAATAAACAAAAATGAAATAATTTTAAAAATCTTTGATTGAATATTTGAATATTGTTTGTCATCTTTAGTAAAACTATAATTTGAATAGAAATAAATAATAAGATATTACTTATAATTATTAAAAAAGGGATTTGTATTACATGCCACTTTTTGCATATAAAAATTAATTGGGAGATGCTGTGAGAACTTGTCCCTTTCATATCCGATATCCTTTATATATAAGATATATGAATCAAAGCAGCCGGGGTATATTTACTGAAATATTTTATGGCTCGTGAATTGTTAATATTTTACATACATTTATCTTCTGAAAATTATGTTTATATTTGAGTTTATAATTTATGTATCAACGATGAATCGAAAAGGAATACTACTAAATTGAAAAATAGCAAATATTCCATAAATTATTGCAATAAGAACAAACTACTATGAAAAATTGCATCTTACATACCAAAACTTTTCCCACAACAAAGTTTATTCCTGAACAGATTAAGTTTGTTAGGTGAGGTACCACTGCATATTAGTTTTCTGAGCAAAATTGAGTGCATCCTATTTATAAGCTATTCTTCGCAATTTCAAAAATTTCCATATGCAGCAGGTTGATTTATGTAACTTATCTGAAGAGATAACTTTTTACAAGGAATTATATCATTTTTTTATGATTTTGCATTAAATTAGTTCCTTAATGTTGTAATTATTTGTTATAAATTTAAGTTGTTATAAAAAACGTTTCAATTATGTATATACCTTTCTGAGAGGGGATTCGTTTCTCACTATTTATGACCTTAAACCAGAAATTGTAAGTGTAATAGTACAGATATACATGTTCACATATATGTCTCCAACATCAAATAAATTGGTAGTGCAGTATTTTTATTTGTGTAAATATAATAAATTAAATTTGTAAATTATACTTAAATACGTCATTAGATAATGATTATTGCCCCGAACATGGGTTGGGTTAATCACTTATATTGAAATGCCTCATTATTTGAATCAAGATCTTAATTATCAATACAAACACCAACTGCAGAGATAACTTTCACATTCTAAATACTAACGGTAAAAACAACATCTGTGATTCAGATGATATTATTTAGATTTTAGATTTAGATTCAGATATGACACTGCTGTCATATGACACAAACTTATATATAGAAAAACAATATATTATTCCTGAGAATATGAAAAATATTTATCCATCAATAAAAAAATTACTTATCACCATTATCCAACAATGTTATATACATATATATATATAAATACTAAAATAGGTACTTATAACTTTGATTCTGTGAGCCAATTAAAACTTTGAGGTTTCCTATCAGCCGATGGATTTATCATGACGTTAATTACATTTGGTTTATCCACTGATTTTAGACTAATATTGAGTGCTTCTTGCAACTCTGGTATTGTTGTACAAAAGTGTCCCTTTTCATTAAAAAGTCCCATAATATTTTCATAATGAGTTTCAGCAGTCAGTGCTGAAGGAGGTGTTCTAAAAAAAAAAAATAATAATTTGCTAATATTTTTGTGTTCCTTATATTTGTTTCATAACTTGGTTTATTAATAAACTAATAATGTGCCCTTTAAATGTAATTTAAATAAAAAAAAACTGATGAATAATATTTAAAAATGATAGGCATATGATGAACATATTGCAGATAGCTACATAAACCATTAACAAAATGACAACCGATTTTATTAATAAAAAAAATCCTTGCCAAAACTTACATTAATAACAATTTTTATTACTTACGTTTGACTAATTTCACCAGAAGCCTGCATTATATTCATGGTATCTTTATCAAAACCACCATAAATGCCATTATTGTTAACAATAATTATAGTGATAGGTAATTTGTAGCGATACATTGTTTCCACCTCCATTCCGGAAAACCCAAATGCTGAATCACCTTCGACGCAAATCACTTTTTTTTCTGGCGCGTAATCTTTGCACCAAAATGCAGCAGCAATAGCAAATCCAGGTCCCACCTAGCAATATTAATTCTAGTTGAGTGAGTGTGAAATGTCTTCCTATACAATTGATTCATGTTTATGTTAAGGTTGCTAAAAGTAATAAAACGTAAACTAAATATAAGTTCAATGAATAAATATTAGAAATGCTTATGAAAACTTTTAAATATACTTATCAATTTTCCAATCATTTATAATTAGAGTTTTAGCACCTGTAAAGTAAGCTGTCACAAAAAATATAAATTTTTGGTAGTACTGTATACACATATATGTACGTATTTCTACATACTATTCATAGTCATACATACTATATATGCATACAAATTTGATAGGATTTAATTAGTGACATATTCAAATATAGATCAGTTTTTTTTTTAACTTGTTTTCAAATATTCGAAACAGTCAGACAACATACCCCCATAGTTCCAAAAGTGCCAGCATCCAATCTGTGCCTTGGTAATATATTTGGCAGCATCGATCTGCCTATATCCATTGTGTTTGCCCCTTCACTGATAATCATGCAATCTTTTGGCAATATTTCTTGTATATGGTGAAAAACAGTATAGTAATTTAATGGAACGCTGGTGTCTGAAGATAATTTCTGAAGAAAAAACAACGAAATAAATGTTATAAAACTATTTTCTGTAAATGAGTGGGGTATTTGAATTGCAAAAACAATGTTCTTAATGTTTTTAAATGTGTTTTCTATATTTAACTAAATCTTAGGTCCTATTTATTCATCATTCTGGTATCCTGGAAGTGCTTATAAGATTCACATTGGATACTTATAAGATTCAAACATTTCTGACAGTCTCTTTTGTTTCTATAAGTGAATTGGACTCTACTAGTGGAGACATGCTCTCAGGCAAGTAATTTGGGATGATTTTTTAACTTCCCGTAGGGCAAGTTATAGTAATCGCAAAAAAATCGAAAATGAAAATTTTTATATATCTTTACGTTTCAGAGGTTTCTGAACATTTTGGCATACCTTAGAAAAAATGGATGTATGTGTGTGTGTGTGTGTGTGTGTATGTGTGTGTGTATGTATGTATGTATGTATGTGTGTGTATGTATGTGCGGATACAAATTTTCGTCGACGATTTCGGGAACACGGATCAACCGATTTGAATAATTCAAAAAACATTCGATCCGTATTGATAAGGAGACGTGCTGATTAGTTTTTGGCAAAGGCAGGTCAAGCCGTTCCGAAGATACGGGGCAAAAAGTTCCGAAAACGGTAACTCAGTTTTTAAGAGAACGGAGCGTCCGATTTTAATAATTCAAAAAACATTTTATTTGTATTGACAAGATGAAGAATCGATACAACTTTCATGAAGGTAGGTCCAGCGGTTTCGGAGATATAGAGGAAAAAGTAAAAAAATGAGCCATTTGGCGGTCAAAAATGATCATTAGACATATGCACATCAAATTATCAGACATTTTATAGAGATTTTAACAATAAGTATACATTTTGTTAACATTCCTATCGGTTCCGTACCAATGCTTATGCGTTAGACAGCGACGCGGCGCTTACGCGCTTTATATTTTGTCCCTATGTAGTTAAAGCAGTACGATTGCTTTGAAAAAAAAGTTCAGATCTTCCACAATATGTCAAAATAAAGATAAAAAAATTTTTTTCAAAAAAAACAAATTTTTTAAAAAAAAAATTTAAAAAAAAAAATTTTTTTTTTCAAAATAAAACTAATTTTTTGTCCAATTTATAGTTTCTCAAAAATCTTATTTTTTCAAAGTAATTTTTTTTCAAAAATGTTAATCGTTTTAAAAAAAAAATAATAATTTTTGGTACGGGAAGTTCCAGCAATTTGCCTTAAGGCACGATGCCCTAATTGCCTTAAGACAGAATTCCACTTACAGCTAGTTTTATTTTATAGTCATTTAGAAAAAGTGATGTTGTTAAACATTGCTTTATTTATATATGCATAACCTAATCAAATTTTAAAAATACTGCATAACACCAAAACTTCATTAATTCATTTTTGGTTGTCTGATAAACTTGTTAAGTGTGTTTATATTTTAAAAATTTTCATGTCCCACAGTAAAATTGGATACAATCCGAAACAAACATTAAGAATACTTAAACATTCATAAAATATTTAGTATATTAATATTACCTGAACAATAGTTTTATTAATTTCGCATTTTTTTCCCAAATCTTTCCACCATTGTGATTCTCCAGAAAATTTGAATTTTTTCTCTGCAAGTTTTTTTCCCAATTGTTCAACAAATGGTAATATATCTGAGTGTACAGCAACAGTAGATTTAACACTATTATGCAGTTCTTCAGCACATATATCAACCTAAAATATAAGGTGCTTTATTGTTGTGATCTTTTAAGATGTTGCAAATTTTACTTACAATTGAAGTCTTACTTGCATAATATTTGAATGCTCTAAATAATATCATTTTTAAACTGAATTTCAATTTCATATACAGTATTTGTTTTCAACTTAAACAAATTTATTAATAAATAAAAAATATTTTTTAATGGTTTTTCAATATTTAATAATTAAAGAAAAAATTGCATAAATCATAACCGGCAACAAATATTATTTATTATGTTCATAAATTTAGAACAAAGTGAAAAATATAATGAATTAATTATAACTATTGCATGCTATACCTGTATTATTTTCACATCTTTGGAAAATCTTGGCGGTCTTCCAAAATGAAGAATCCAATTCATACGCGCGCCAAGAAGTAAAATCACATCAGATTTCTGAAGAGCCAAGCTTCTTGCTGGAGCGACACATCGTGCATCTGTGTCTGGAGTAACACCTTTTCCTGCAATTTTCAACATGATTTGAAAAAAAAAGAACTAATACAAATTTCTTGATTATATAAACAGATTGAATAATTTAAACCGTTTAATATTTCAAGTCTTCAAAATTTCAAAGTTAGAACAGAAAATTTGACAGAAAGTTTCATAAATTTTCTCATATATATTAAAACCTCTCTTTTATATAATTTTTATAATTTTCTTGACAAATATTTAAAATATTTCTCATATATTATATGAATAAAATAATTTGGCAGCAACACACTTTTATTTGCTACAATTATGCAAAAATTAAATGTATTAAATTAAATGTATTAAATATATTAAATGACTTAATACATGCTTTATCACAATGTTGGAATAAAGTCAATTTTGGGTAAAACAAATTTCTCACACTAACCCATGGGTGTTGCCAAAAATGGTAAATTGCATTGTTGTATCAAATCAGTTATGGCTTTTTCAGCTCTAGCATAGGCTGCCCCTTTTCCAACAATAATGAGAGGCCTTTCTGCTTCTGATAATAATCTCGCAGCGTCCAAAACACTTAGTGGATCAGGATTACAAAGTGGTGGAACAGGATGAGCATATTGAGGAGGTAGAGCAGAAACTTCAACACGACTCTTTAATGACACATTTCATTTTATGTATTATTTACAATAATATTACTAACTTATTTTATTTTAGTAAGCAAACACAACTGCATCTACATAAACTATGCTATATTTTAGGCAATAGCAATGTGTTTTAAGGCAAACATTTGTATTAGAAATCCTTAAAAATTAATTAAAAAAAAAAAACAATTCAAAGCTCACAAAATAAAGTATATTTTTAAGATTCATTTAATAAATGTTGCAATAATGTTTTGTCTTCATAATGTTTATGGCAATTTAGATCAGAGTGGAAAACATTTAAAATTGCTTTTCAAAACACCATGATTAATTTACTTGTTGAGCTTAAAAACAAAAAGGTGAAAATAAATCGGATTAAATGTTGGATCGCACATGCAGAAAATATATTTCTGTTCACTCACACCAACAAACAAACAACTTCTATATATTTCTGATTCTTTTTGCAAACAGATTATTCAGAAGAATAGAGAAGCAGAAAAATGGACCCATATATATTCCGCAAACAAATGAAGAATTCTAGGTATTTCAAGAAGAATTTATTGCAGATTTAACTCTAATTCAATATAAACTTATTACCGTAAGTAAAGTGCCTGGAAAATCTAAGTATGACACTCCTGGTCTGCCATATGTAGCACATCTCACGGCTTTCTCAACATGCATTGGTATAAGTAAAGCACTTGGAGGCCTCGCTGAATACTTGCAATATGGTCTACTTAGTTCTACCTAGTAAATTGATTAATAATTTATCAATAAAATATTAATAACAGTTAATAAAAAAAAAACTACAACTACAACAAATACTGAACTTATATATATATCTCCCAAGGGCTCAAATGGTTCCAAATTGATAAAAAACAATTCTCTGAAAGTTTTAGCTCTTAATATTGTCTTTTAAATAGAGTGCAATTCAATCAAAGTTTTGTATGGCAATAGCATGAAAAAATTTTCAAAAATTTTGCAGAGCGTCGAGTTTTCAATAAAAAATGGCACAAATTTTCACTTTTAATTCATTTGTCGCTGAGTTATACCTAAAAAATTTGTTTTTCAATTTTCAAATTATTTTTCATGCTATTTCTATACGAAGTTTGATTGAATTGCACACTATCGGAAAGTTAATATTAAGAGCTAAAACTTTCAGAGAATTGTTTATTATCAATTTGGAACCATTTGAGCCCTTGGGAGCAAGGAAATTTGAAAATTCCATATTAAGAACCACCCTAATATATATATATATATATATATATATATATATATGTGTGTGTGTGTGTGTGTATATATATGTGTATGTTTAGATAATTTTAATATTGGGATTATTGTATAAAAATGTGTTGCAAATAAAAAGAAAAACATTTTATGAGAATCTTTATTATTCTAAACTTGACAAAAACAAATTAGCATGTATGGCAAATCGTTAGTGGGATTAAATTATAAAAAAATGACTAGTATACAGAGAAGTACCATAAATTTTTAACACGTTTGGTTTCTTAATATCTTACTTGTGGACATTCTTGAAAACCTCCAATTCCTTCATGATCTTGTGATGTTGAGCCACCAATGACAAGCATTGGCCAACAGTTGACCTGGGCATTAGCCATGCCACCATAACAATGCAATAGACCAGGACCGGAAACTACTAAGCATGCTCCAGGCTTACCTGAAACAAATGGAATAGTTCAACTTACATTATACAAAGATTAGAAGATGGAAAATAATATCTCACCAGTTAAGTATCCAATAGCTTGAGCTGCATAACAAGCAGCCTGTTCATTCCGCATGCCAATATATTTAATGCCCACGGCTTGCATAGACATTGATAATTCAATGACAGGTATGCCAATAATGCCAAATACATATTCAATTCCCTTTAAAAAATGCAAAAAAGAAATGATCAAGAAACTTTGCATAAGATGAGCGTTTCACGTTTTTCAGGAGAAGTACATAAAATACATATCCCAAGCATTAGCACTTAATATTACATAAAAATGTGGAAGTTATTATTATATGCTCAGTACTTTATTATTACAGAAAATAAATTGCATAAATTTTGAGTGAAAATTGGAATCAAGTACTCTAAAATATTTTGCTTTAAATTAATAAAATTACAAATGCTACAAACTCTGAAAATTATGTATATGTTAACAATTGTGTAAATACAATACACATTATCGAGAGATAGATAGAATTATACATTAAATAGACAGAGTTATAATAGGTAATCAATGAGTAAAGATGGCATAAGTAACTACATGCAACAATATCTACCAATGTCAATCTAATAATATATATATATTTTATATACTACTTTTTTGTATATAAAATGCCACCCCTGGCAATTCACTTTTCCTAGATAATTCACTTTGAATTAGCGGGCACATATTTATCTATATGAAATGTGTTCCAATGATCAAAACACACATGAATAAAAAATGTATCATGTATCAAGCTTTTACCAAAATAATAGCCAAATTAATAAACAACTTTATGCATAAACTAACACCAAATTTTAGGTCTTATACAAAGGCAGTTATAATATATACCTGCTCTTTCAAAGCTTGGCTTAAAATTGTATTTCCATCCAGTTCTGACATTTTTTAACGTGTAATATTGCACAAATAAGACTAAGGTATTATGAAAAAATTACTGAGTTTATAGTCCAGCAATATTACATATCAGATATTGTCATAACTTTTTAGGTGTAAAGTCCACAAGGTTAACATGCAACAAACAAAGAGATAAATATTTTGCTAATCAATATTTTTATACATAACAATGTTTACATTTTTTTGATGATCGTCGCTAATAATTGTGTTCGACCATTTGACAGTTATAAGCAGGGATCCGGCTCATTCATGAATTCATTGTTTATTTATCGTTTTAATTTAATTGCCATACAGCCTGCGCCAGAAATTCATTACCAACATTAGCAATGAATTGTGTGGAATTTCATTTGTATTTGATTGACATTTATTTTTTTTATTATTATTTTAATACTTTTTACAACTGTCCTGAAACGAACAACAAGTAAATTATTTGACATAAAACTAAAAGCGTTGGCAAAATACAAATTAACTGACCATCGCCAGATATTTGTCGAAGGCCTTGTCTATTGCTGCAGAATGCAGAAATACTTTATTTTTAATCGGGCCCTGGTAGATTTGTTCTGAAGTTTTCTGGCGAGCAAGTTCGGGTGATCAGCTAGACGATTTCAATATTTGTGTGAGTAAGCAATTACTTCATCCTTAACTGTGCTAACTTGTGTACCAATTTGAAACATACTTTGGTGCTTTCAAAATTTCTTTTAATAACTTGTTTTGAAATCTTTGAATTATTAAAACGTTTGAGTTGGAAGTTCATCCCTATAGCTGTATCCGTCATGCCCAAATTGGTTTAATGATGGCTTTATGGAGGTAAAGATTATTATGTGTGTCAAGTTTTCATTTTCATCCGAGGAGCCAATAATATCTTCTTCTGGCTTCTTCAAGCTGCTTTCTCTTTTTCATAATGTGTTCTTTCCAGGTTAGTCTCTTATCCAGGTGTAAACCTAGATATTTGACTGCATCTGTTCGATCTATAATTTTGTCATTAAGACTTACTGTAGGACAAGTCCCTTTGCAAAGAGTGAATGTGATGTGTTTTGACTTGCTGCTGTTAACTTCTATTCTCCACGAACTTTTAATCATTTTTGTATCACGTTAAGATGATCCTGCAGCATTTTTGATGTAATTATGGGATCTTCATGTGTTGCCAGAATGCCTGTGTCGTCTGCATATGTTGCTGGATTGACATTTCTTAATGTGTTCATTTTCACCGCTGTCAAATTTATTATTTTTACTATGTTTTTCCTTCACATTTGAAATTTGCTATATTATACATTTTCAAGTAACTGAAAGATAAATTGACTTATACAATTGAATATGTAAAAGTGTATTTTAATGAAAGTTGAATTATATAATTTCAAAAACTCTAAATATTGTAGAAAAGCTTCATATTAAGTAATTTATTGCAAGGAATATATTGATTTGGCATCGATTCAATCGTAGTCTATTGCAATAAAAAATATTAAATATTTGAACAAATGAATAAAGCAACCATTGTAATTTATTTATTTTTTTGACCTCACATTGCGATATAGCTATATTTGTATTCTATCAGACAACCGTTATCCAAACGCAAATTGAAGTTGATACTTAGCTATTTGGAGCAAGTTTGAAATCCAACAAAAATTTGCTCGTCAATTTAGAAAATCAATTTGTGATGCACATTTCTACTAACATTGATGAATAGTTAATTTTATGCTAATTTGAATTAACCGAATATGACCTTTTATAAATTATTAATAAATGAAATATTCAAAATTTATAAAATTAAATTGAGACATACAAATACCATGCATGAATTTTTGAAATACAGGTTTCACATCTCAATAGTGTAGTGCAGTGCATTGACTTAAGGTGTTGAGATTGCTGATCAAGGCGCATAATACTTATTTTTATAATATGTACTTATCAATTGAATATTACTTTTGATATATATATATATATATATATATATATATATATATTCTGTTTCAATGGGCCATTTTAAAAAAACTTTGCTGAAAAATCAGAATTTAATTGAAATTGAGCAAGTGAAATTTTTAATGTAGATTTACTTTATATTTTTATCTAATAACTTACAAGAACCTCACTTAGGAATTCGATGTAAATTGGCATGGTTATCGAACTGACATGAAAACAAACACCTTAAAATAACATATGTCCATGATTTGTGCTAAATACTGAAAGGACATCAATGTTGGAGAAGCATTATAACAATGCTATGCTTTCAACTCTCTGTAAGATGTAAACAGTTTTCTATTTATATATTCATAGTTTGTTTTTAGATCCAATCTAATCTATTAATTGGAATTACCAGTTAAACCCTCAAGGGTTTCTTAGTGCGAGAACAAATTTGACTTAAGTATTTCTGGAATTATAAAATTTAACACATCCGATTATAATACATTCCTAAGAAATAAGATTTTTAAAACATGTAATGAAACGGTGTGAGTCATAATTTTTCAACAATTTAATTTTATGGATGCTCAACCAATAGTATCACTACGAATTTATATGCAATATTATGTAAAAATATGCATAAAAACTGATTATTTTTTAATTTTTTAATATCATTTCAAAAATGTTGGGTTATTTTCGAAAATAGTATTCTGGAAACAGGTGTATGCGCACGCCTTAGAACGTCAACCCCCCACAGGGTGGAAACCACGGGGCTAACAACTGTATCAAGCAGCCCCTATTACCCTAAAAAAATAGTCATTTAAGAGAAAAAAATTAAAACAATATTGTTATAATACAAATTAACCAAACACTAAAGACACTTTTTTGGAAATATTCAAATCAGTTGAATAGAATCAGATTTTTGAGATTATTATATCTTAATTATACCTTGCAGTGAATCCAAACTCATTTCATTACAATCTCTCGCTCCTTGTATATTTTAATGAATTTTGTTCTACACAACTACTTGAAACTTATTTTGGTTATCATGGCGATCATTATATTTTTAGATTAAAAATTTCCTAATTATTCCAATGAGTCGTTTAACGTTTGTTGAACGTTAAAATTATAATAAATACAATTTTATATATTGAAAATACTATTTGCATTCTGTTTTGATGTTTCATGCAATTTCTTATTTTCAATCTGTTTATTGACTTTACACATCCAATATTTGTACATAAAACGAAAGCCCGAGCAATTTGCCTCAAGGTACAGTTCTGCACTAATTTGTACCACTGAAAAATTAAAATAATATCGGAATTTTTAAAACACGATAAATATATGACTACTGATGAATTATTTCTGTTTTTCTGCTTCTTTTTTAAATTAATTTTTTTTAATGAGTTGAATCAAGTTTACTTTATAACTAAAAATTATTGAAAAGAAGCAACTAAAAAATACCACAAATCAATAAAAAAGAAATAGAAAGCAAAGGATTACGCAATTATTTTAATAAAATAATGATATTTTAAATGCTGTACAGTTATCCGAACATATTATATATTACAAAAAAATACATCTATTGAATAATTGTACACACAAAAAATGGCACTTTTACAATGTTAAACAGATAATGTCTGATGTTTTAAATAATTTTTATATTTCAGATATTTTAGCTAGAATAAATAAAATAGAATTCATTGAATCGTCATCTACAACTTGTATTATAATGAATATATAATAAATATGCAGCGCACAATATTTGACAAACATTAACATATTTAGTATACATATGATGTAATCATTCAAAAAACTAAAACATATATTGTATAATTATTGTTTTAATGTATAATTTATCATACGGTTAAATTTTTAGGCTACAGAGTTGCATTTTATTTTGTTTGATTATTCCTGTATTATATCATAGACAAAGAAATTAACTTTTATATTTAAACAGTTATTTGATTCACATAGATAAAAAATGGGTATGAACTACTTTTTATTAAAATAGATTAAAAATAATATTTATATAATCAAATATTTCAATCATTCTCAATTTCATTATATTACTCAAATACACGACTGTTGTTCAACTAAAAATATTAACAAGATTATAAAAATAATACTGATTCAACATAAATTTAAAAATATTTCGTTTTAAAAACGTTACTTATTTAACATTATGCGGCAAGTGCACACATACGATATCATGTCTCATAATAATAGTTATCAAGTCGTACATTTCATTATCACCCGCTATATTTTTTCCACTATTGACAATTTTTTTATTTACCCAACATAAATTACGAACATAATTTTATATTAATTTATTAGCTTCTGCTGTAACAAAGTGATAGGATTTAATATAGCAGGTAAGATATTTTATAAATTAGTTATTATAAGAACTTTTACGTAAAAATGAGCATGCTTAATTTCAGCTGAATGCCAAATAATGCCGATTGGGAACTTGAACTTGCCAATAATGAGTAGTTTTCTGTATTTTAGCGCCTGCGTCCGAACCTAAGAAAAACGTGATCCACATCTTGCCTTTTTACACCCGTGTCCATCAGCTCGTGGTCGGCATAATTCATCGCTTCAAACATAGAAAATGATGATATTTAAATTTAAATAATTAACTAGGCTATTGATATGCAACTAATTGGTATTGATTAATCGCTACATATAATAAATGAATATATATATATATATATATATATATATATATATATATATATATATATATTTATTTATATAATGATATTATAATCAGTCTCAATAGTTTTTACTCATCTTAGATTCATTGACTATCAGTAACATAGTCTAATTAAATGGGAACTATGATAACATATTTATTAAGAAAGAATGCAATTAGTAACCGAAAACCATTTTGTCCATATAGTACGGGCAAATTTACAAATGAGTTAAGGAGATATCGAGTTTCAACTAATTACAGCGACAAGACTGTGACGATGAAGTTCAACGTCTGACAGGATTGTGATTCTGGCTTACATGATGTTTTACAGTCGCGGAAACGTGACGTAAAATTAGTCAATTTGTTAAATGAGGCCAATTTGTTATTTTGACTATATATGCCATTTTGTCTGCATTTTTACTAATTATAACGAACTTGAAATTATTTAAATTTTTTTTAACAAAATACGCAAATATTAAATTAAATTAATTAGAAATTCACCGTAAAACACTATATAAATTCAATTGGTAAATTTTCAGGAAATTTTAACATATCGTATTAATATGTTAAAGTACATAAAGTACTTATAGCATATAATTGTGAATGAATCGAACTATCAACCTAAAAGAACTGTTTTATTTTGGTTATACTCGTCGTAAGGCATATTGTAATAATAGCCCGGTCAATTTAAACCTAAGACCTAAGAAGAAGAAGGAGAAGATCAAGAAAAACGATACGAAAAAGATGTAGAAACATTTGAAAATTATGACTCCCATAAATATATTTAGTTGCTCTTTTATAATTACTGCCTTTATTTTTACCAACCTAATTTCACAAATATTATTTTGCAAGTGTTCCGAAACAAACAATAAATAGGCCTACTGGGAAAACCACGTAAAAAAACGAGCTAAGCACACTACCTCGTAGGCGGCGTTCAAATATACTTTTCAAAGGCTCTGAGCAAAAAAAAAGTATTGATGCATTTTTTGTAGATAATGTTATGCTCTACAATATTGTCTCAGGTAATTTTGCGATAAAACTGACCATTTAACTGAAAATCGCAAAAGGGTCATTTTTTTACCTTTGACCTTGTGCCATTTTTTAACTTCCCGTAGGGCAAGTTATAGTAATCGCAAAAAAATTGAAAATGGAAATTTTTATATATCTTTTCGTTTTAAGATCTTCTGAACATTTTGGCATACCTTAGAAAAAATGGATGTATTGTGTGTGTGTGTATGTGTGTGTGCGTGTGCGTGTGTGCGTGTGCGTGTGTGCGTGTATGTGTATGTGTGCGGATACAAATTTTTGTCGACGATTTCGGGAACACGGATGAAGCGATTTGAACAACTCAAAAAACATTAGATTCGAATTGATAAGGAGACGTGCTGATTAGTTTTTGGCGAAGACAGGTCTAGCCGTTCCGAAGATATGGGGCAAAAAGTGCCGAAAACGGTAACTCAGTTTTTAAGAGAACGGAGTGTCCGATGTGAATAATTCAAAAACATTTTACTTGTATTAACAAGATAAAGAACTGATCAAATTTTCATGAAGGCAGGTCTAGCGGTTTTGGAGATCTGGTGAAAAAAGTAAAAAATTTGGCGGTCAAAAATGATCATTAGACATATGCACATCAAATCATCAGATATTATATAGAGATTTTAACAAAAAGTATAAATTTTGTTTACATTCCTATGGGTTCCGTACCAATGCTTATCCGTTACACCGCGGCGCTTACGCGCTTCGATATTTCGTCTATATGCAGTTGAAGCTGTAGGATTGCTTTGAAACAAAGTTCAGAATTTCCAAAATATTTCAAAATACACTTTTCTTCACAAAGTCTTTTTTTCAAAAAAAGTAAATTTTTATCAAAAATTTATAGTTTCTCAAAAATCTAATTTTTCAGAGTAATTTTTTTTCATAAATGTTAATCTTTTTTAAAAAATAATAATTTTTGGTACGGGAAGCTCCAGCAATTTGCCTTAAGTGCCCCACTATTTTATAATTGTATTTTAAACATTTTTGCCAAGTTACAGCCCATTATGAATGATAGTAACCTTGAATGCGTAAATTGACCGGATAATATTTGTAATCGAAAGTATATCATCTAGTATGCATGATTATTATTTTTTACCTCTGTCGTCCAAATACGCTTCCATTGCACCTCTGAGTTCGTAGATGGTGGACAGGGCGTCGCAAACTTTTCGTATGCGCGGTGCCATCGTTTGGATGGGCCCGGTGCACTGGACGGGCGGCATGCCGTTCACCGCCGGCCACAGGCACATCGTCACCAGGCAGCAGGATACGCACGAAAACAGCAGCATGTTAGGCTGCATCTGGTAATGATACATTAAATATATTATATACATCAGCTACGATTTATTCTAATTTGAATCTCCTAATTCCTACCCAGTGGAAAATATCGTATTTCTTTATATTAATTTTTTTTTGATAATATATTTTTTTATTTTTTATAAATTTTATAGTGTTTATTCAAAACTTTTTCAAAATAAAAATAGTTGCATGAAATTAAAAGAAATATTCATTCATCATAATTATGTGTTACCTTTTTCAAAATTTTTACAAAATATATAAATATACTCACGCTTGACTTTTTTTCACCAACTGATTTCTTAATTAACTTCCCGTAGAGTAAGTTATAGTAATCGCAAAAAAATCGAAAATAAAAATTTTTATATATCTTTACGTTTCAGACGTTTCTGAATATTTTGGCATACCTTAGAAAAAATGTATGTGTGTGTGTGTGTGCGTAGTATGTATGTGTGTGCGGATACAAATTTTCGTCGACGATTTCGGGAACACGGATGAAGCAATTTGAATAATTTAAAAAACATTCGATCCGTATTGATAAGGAGACGTGCTGATTAGTTTTTGGCGGAGGTAGGTCTAGCCGTTCCGAAGATATGGGGCAAAAAGTGCCAAAAACGGTACCTCAGTTTTTAATAGAACGGAGCGTCCGATTTTAATAATTCAAAAAACATTTTACTTGTATTGACAAGATGAAGATTTGATCAAATTTTTATAAGGGCAGGTTTAGCGGTTTCGGAGATCTAACGAAAAAAGTTAAAAAATGCCATTTGGCAGTCAAAAATGATCATTAGACATATGCACATCAAATTATCAGATATATATTTTATAGAGATTTTAACAATAAGTATAAATTTTGTTTACATTCCTCATGGGTTCCGTACCAATGTTTACTCGTTAGACAGCGACGCGGCGCTTACGCGCTTTATATTTTGTCTCTATGCATTTAAAGCAGTACGGTTGCTTAGAAAAAAAGTTCAGATCTTCCAACATATGTCAAAATAAAGAAAACATTTTTTTTTCAAAAAAAAAAAGATTTAAAAAAATTTTTAAATAATTTTTTTTTTCAATTTTTTTTTTCAAAAAAAAGTAATTTTTTGTCAAATTTATAGTTTCTCAAAAATCTTATTTTTTCGAAGTAATCTTTTTTCAAAAATGTTAATCGTTTTTAAAAAAAATAATAATTTTTGGTACGGGAAGTTCCAGCAATTTGCCTTAAGGCACGATGCCCTAATTGCCTTAAGACAGAATTCCACTTACAGCTAGTTCTATTATAGTCGATGATGGCTTTATTTTTCTAGTTTCTTTTTAATGCACGCTTTATGCGAGAATAAATTGTTTTTTTTTTACTATTGCCATTTATGATATAAAAACAAAAATTGACTCTTATCATTGGCATAAAAAAATTAGTTATAATAATTTTTGTTTTCGCACGTTGTGGGCCCCGTATAATTGATATTAAGCATTCAAATTTTGTTCAGTAATTTAGTAAGTTGTTTTCCTTAGAATTTTCTAAAGTATATATTATTTTTTTGTATTCATTGTAGCTATATAATATATGATATAACTAACAATTTCAAAGACAAGTGCTTAATGGCTCGTGAAAGATAACTGATATTATAAATATGAGATATAGATAAAGATATTATAAAATTAAATATTATTTAGCTTATCATGACTATGTTCGTATCTTAATATATTGATTTAACATATTTTTTTTTGATTTGTGTAAAATATTACCATTGCAATATTAGGTAAACTGCAATAGTTTTTTTATTTCAAACCAAGAAATTAGGATTTTCCTATATTTTATATTACTTAAGTTAAACCTTTATTTCAATCTGCAATTCATTCTGTTCCGCAAATTTCTTCATTTAAAAATTTATGAATTATTTATAATGTATCGCCTACATGAAGAGTTATAACTTCTTAAAAAGGATTTTCATATAAGATCTCATTACTTAAAATATAATTATTTTTATGTGATTTTATCAAACATGTAATATTTTCTAATAATTTTACTTTCAATAAAATATTTCAAGAGTCAATTAATCTTGATTACTCACATCACAATCAGTGTAATGTATTGGCGAATTCAATTTGTGGTTTTAAAAATATAAGGGTAGGGTGGGACACAAAGGTCCAATTTGACTTTAAGTAATTATACTGTTTAAACCAAATGAAGTACATCGCAACAAACAACACGTTTTAAACAACTATCGACTTATGTTCAATCAAATCCCATTTAATTCCTAATTACAGAAATGTGTTTTTTACTGTTTTTTAAAATGTGTAATCTGTCCCTTTTTACATCATAGGCCATGAAAAAAGAATTAAATAGTGGACAAACAGATCGGATGTCTTGATTTTAAATTTTAATTTAAAAGAATTTTACGAAGCAATACAGCTACATTATTCAACAAATGCAAAATATACATTTCACGGGCATTTTATTATAAAGATAACACTACATAGGTATAACTAAATCTGGTATTTCGTCAGAAGAAATATGTATTAAGAAATGTATCACTTCTAAAATTGCTTTCTTTAACATAATTATTTTTTTATTTACTATATTTTATTGTTTACACCTTTGCATGGGCAAAGGTATAGTTGGCCCTTTTTGGCCTAACCATAGGCAAGCTTTTATGGAGGTTATATAAAAAATCTGTTGAATATAACTTGAAAATAACTATGCATCTTAAATAACAATTAAATAACGAACACTCAAAAATATGTTAAGGTCTTGTAAACTAAACAACAGTGCTCGTAACCAATGAAACTAACAACCAAAAAAATACATTTCTTATCGATTTTCAAAAATTGCCGTTTACCTCATGATAGCGTAGTTGCTTGGTTTAAGGCGATGGCTGGGTAAACATCTTTTTACCTCTACTTTCAAATATTGTTATTAAAAAATTTCTAACTTTATTTGTTATTGATATATTAGTGGTGGGTCTTTTTATCCGCGGACCTTCAAGCCCCGGTTTACCCTATAGAATATATGTGGCAATCAATATTATTAAAACTATAAAAAATAATTAATATTTACATTTTTATATCAAAACAAACGAATGCAATTTTTTCATGCAATGATTATTTTATGTTTTTAAATAATTTCAAAAATTTAAAATGTTTGAATATCGATTCGTAATTCAAATTTATTTCTGTTTATTTATTCAAAGAATTTGAATTGTTCTTAAGTTGATTTTAAGTTTTATCTAATTGTTTATATAATTTTATAATATTACTTTGTGTTCATTGTAAATCAGTGTCTGTTCGGTTTGTGGATTTTCGTAAACCCTGCCGACTAATAAAACAGTTCGATATTCAATCGTAAAGCACAAGCCCCAGTTTTATTTGCGACCTGTTGCCCGTTCCCCATACCTAGGACTTGACGCAAGTCCTACCCCAGGAGAATGGTCCGACTGTTTGATTCATGACTTTCATAAAAATCCTTGTTCGTGCGTGTTTGCCTTTGGGCCCGTATCAAATAAAAGGTTTACACATCTGATTGCTGCAGTTCTCCAGGAACTGATTCGGCTAAGAACAACTTGTCCCTAGAGATATATTTCATAGTGCTCATATTTCTATTCGGATATATAAAGTTTTGTCGCAATTTATTACAGAATACATGAAATATTTGAAATTCGAGTAATCTTTTATTCTCGTTAAAATACTTTCTTGAACATTTTTATTTATTTTTATATCTTAATACCTTAAAGTACAACGTTTTTCTTAAATTGGACGAGCAAGATATATTTACGTATTACAGCTTGTTAATAATTTTCGAACGACATGCACAGAAAGGACATGATTTTTGTTTCGAACAAATTAAAGTTGGATTATGTTCATTTTGACAAGTGCCCGATGCCAACTCTCATGTGTTATCTAATTAGGATGATCATGCTTACATAATATTTTGTAACACACACTAGCACACATACACACAGACACACACGCACACACACACATATATATATATATATATATATATATATATATATATATATATATAGGGCCGGCTCTGTGCTCCCCTCTGTGTCTTAACAGTTTATCATTAAAATTATATAACTTTTACGTCAATTTGAAAATACTATTTAATAAGTCTGGATTTAGTACACAAAAAAATAAATATAATCTAAAAGCGCATATAATACATTGATTTATTTTGAAGATCGAGGCATTTGGTCATAATCAACTTGTTGTCTTCTATCGTTTTTGCACTACCGAACTATTTAAATTTTTTTTTAATTCAAACTTTTTAGGACATTCAAAAATTTCAGTTCATTAATGCTTGCAAGAAATTTTTTCAATTTTCAATTATTTCTAACCCATGTGTAATATTAAATTAAGTATTATATTAAATAGTAATATTTGGGTTTTGAAACAATTTTCTTATTTATTTTGGGAGTCTTATGCAATTTATTCTATTTAAAATTAAAATATATCCTATTATAATAAATTTAGCCTTTAATGATTAAACTTAACACTGGTACTTCATGATTGATTATTTTAATTAATTTAATTTTTCATTATTTAAAGTATCCAAAAATTGCATCGTAAATTTCACCTAATTGATCGTTAGGGCCGATTTGTATGTATGTATTCATAGTGCATCAGATTGTTGTTTCAAAGTTAAATTTTTAAAGTATTTTAAAAATATTGTTCAAAGATTAGTACACGATGCAAAGAAATTTTATATTTCTTAAATGATATTGAAGAAACTATATTATAAAATTTATATCCGAATCTCGTGTTGGCGCCCCCTAAAATGTGTGCCCGTATTTTTCGCTTGTATCGCATTCAAAGTAGGACCGGCTCTGTATATATATATATATATATATATATATATATATATATGTATATATATATATATATATATATATATATATATATATATATATATATTATATATATATTGAGTGTGTTAGTTCAGGCAGTTACACCAAGTAAAAACACTAAAAAAAATACTT